TGAAAGGGGGGGGGGCGGAAGTCGGCATTCCCTTTTGTATTTGGTTCTGCTGTATAGCGAACTAAAATCCCTCGCGAACTCTCTATTTGCTCCGCTGCGCGAAATTTAGTCCTCGCGAACATAAATGCATTTACAGTACCTGTGTTGATCACAAGACTAAAATGTTCATATGTAAGGCATACAAACTAAGGTCTCTCCCCATTAGCGATCATGAGCAGATGTTTGTCTCTGCATGTTGGTTTTCTGTGTTTTACATGTATGCCATTCTCCTTAACAAAAAAGGATTATATATTAATCGGTTTTGTGTTTAGCCCAATGGCATTTGACCTGGAAGGGATGGAGAGTTCCTTTAACAGTTCTCAGTGGGTGGATGTGGAGGACACCATCCCTCAAGTGGACGGCAGTGCAGATGAGAAACCTGGTAAGGGTTAAATGTTATATCTGAAATATCCTGATAATTCTTGATAAAAAGATGGTAAGACAATGCCCTAGTAACAATTAATAAAGTAATGCAATGCCCTAATAACAATTAGTAAAGTAAAATTCATAAGTTATTAAGTCTAAATTACATGTAGATTAACTGTCGAACCTCTTCCAAAAAATTGTCTTATACATGTACAGACGTGTACATATAAATTGAAGGATTGGTCAGTTATGCATGTTTTCCTAATTGTTTACAGGATGTTTAGAAATAAAACTTTTGGTCCAACACAAAAATTCTCTCACCTAGAGCTTTCGACCAGTCACTCTGGTCTTCCTCAGTAGACTGACCCAGTGAAGCTTGTCACATGGCTTCTTTGAAGTGTGACATCAACACTGGGTCTACCAGATACCTTTGACCCAGTGTTGACGGCACACTTCAAAGAGGCCACGTGACAAGCTTCACTGGGTCAGTCTACTGAGGAAGACCAGAGTGACTGAGAATTTTTTGTGTTGGACCAAAAGTTTTAACTTTAAACATGTAACTACCAACACAGATGAACTTTCATGATTGTTTACAGGATGTCCCTCTTTTACAGCTGAAATGCCCATAAGGAAAAGACTGGGCAACACGAGGATCACCAAAATCCGCCGGCCTGAATCTCAGGACACCAAAAACTACCTCTTGAACATTACTTCCCCCATCAAGTCGGCAAACTGTACCGGCAACCACTGTGATCCAGCCAAGCAACTGAAAATATCCATGGAGAAACTAGAAAACTCTTCAGCGAAGAAGACAAAGGGAAATCTCATAGAGAAAACACGTCAGCCCATACCATTTGCTTCCAATGACAGCCTGTATAAAGTAAAAGAGTCAAAGATAACGTTACACAACAACTTGAAGGCAAATGTAGTAGAGAAACCCAAATCGGCTCTACAATCGGTCTCCAACGACAGCCTGTATAAAGTGAAAGAGTCGAAGATAACGCTGCACAACAGCACGATAGTTGTGGAGAACAGTCACTGCAGCAAAGTGGAAGACGCCAGGCCACATATTTTCATGGACACTGTCACGTCGTTAATGAACGTGGAACACCCTGGGGATGGCAGGAGCGTAGAAATGTCGCTGAAACAAGACGGAGTCAACGAACTGGCTAACCTCACTGTGACTCCAGACATGAGCGACTTTTTTCCGGCAACTATGACTTGTGGAAAACTGCGTAAGAGTTCCAAGGAAAAGAAGTGCAAGTCCTCATCCACAGGAGGAGTGAGAAAGAGTACACGTGTCAGGAAGATTAAAAAGGATGAAGACATGGAATCCTTGGGTGATGACAGTCCTACGGAGGACAGCGATTACGGTGAAGAAACATGGAAGGATAGAAGCAGCAGACGGAGCTCTACAGCGCAACAGGGAACTAGAAAAAGCACACGTGTCAGGAGAGCTAAACACGACGAAGACATGGAGTCTTTAGGCAGCGATTCAGAAGAAATGAGTTACGATGAAACAGAAGAAGACAGTGAGGAGGAGGAAGAGGAGGAGGAAGGTAGAAAAAGGAGCTCCAGAAACTGTTCTAGTTATGGTAAAAGGAAGAGAATGTCTTCTTTGCAGAAAGATTCCAAAAGGTGGAGAGAGGACTCCCTATACAGGATGAAAAATTACACCCTCCGCGAGCAGAAAAAAGCAGTGAGTTACAACGAGGAGGACAACTTTGCGGACGTGTTTGAGGTGAGCTCAGAGGAAAGCCTCTTTGAGGAGGTTGAAGAGGAAGACAGGTACATAGAAAAGAAGATGGCGACGTTCGACGAAGAGACATACACGTTCAAAAAGAAAAGAAAAATGCCAACAAGATCTAAAACAACACCCAGATCCCGACCAAAACAAGTGGAATCTCGGAGGTCGTCCAGTGAAGACTCCAGCGAAGGCCCGGTACAGATAATCAATATAATAGTGAACAGGTTTAAGGGTCAAAAGGAGCTGAGGGTAAAACTAAGGAGAATACAGTGTGAAGACAAGGTTCACCTTACCCCAGACACGCTGAAACGGTTAGAAAATCCAGAAAGTCCACCACCACCTGAACCAGAACAACCGGAGAGCGATGAAATGGAAACGGAGAGTGCAATTTGCGCCTCATGTTCAGTAGCCCGCGTGGAGGACTGCGAGTCAGACAGTTGTATCGTAGGAGGAGAGACTCGGAGACAAAAACGAGAGATGGAAGAAAAAAGACAAGAAGAAACCGTTGTCGAGAAAACCGTGCATGTTGAAAACAACGTCATGCCTTCTACGTCCACTTTCTCCGGGTTCCCCTTCCGTGAAAACATGCTGAATTTCCTCAACTGGGACAAGAGAGGGACGAGTGAAAAACTGAACAGACTCGGGCGGTCGATGAAGGAAGAGGAAGAACTGTGGAACCAGAAGGTCCGTGAGAGGAGGAAAGGACAGCAGAAGATATCCAAGGGTGGGAGGAAGAAGAAGCCAAAGCCGGAGGATCAAGTAAAGGATCCTGATAACACAGTAGCTCCTGCTGCAGTGGATGTGAAACCCCCTGTACCTACAGCATCAGACACACCAGCCCCAGTCATAACTCCATTGGTACCAGTTAAGATGCCGGCAGAGCCAGCAAAACCACCAACAGTCCCAGAGACACCCACTCCAGTAGCTAAAACCAAATCCTCTCCATCAGGGAAGAAGAAGGGTAGCAACTCATCAGCTAAGCCTAAAACTGCAAATGCATCAACAAAGAACAAATCATCTAGTTCATCTCCCAAGGCCAAAGCCAAAAAGTCCGGTGCAGCAAAAAAGGCAGGCACACCCCCGTCAACAATGTTCAGTCCAGTCACTGATGACAGTAAAGTCAAGTACAAAGACGCTATGTACAACATGGCTTACTTTTCCTCTACTGAATCAGAGAAGAGTTCGGGTTCACCTCCAAAATGCTGGTCTCCAAGTGCCAAGAAAGTTCCTGTTGGTTTTGGAGGGTCCAATGCAGAGGAATCCTTGCTGAATGACTTGGAAGACTGTTTGTTTGACAATGAAACTGGTGATGATACTAAGGTAGACAGGGACAGCATGCTGAAGGAAATACAACAGTTTGAAAAGACAGAGTCGTTTGATGACTCCTATGAAGATCTGGAATACATTGACAGTATCATAAAATTCTGTAGTCAGGATACAGGAGAACAAGGAGAGGAGCGAAAGAAGCCACAGAGGGATGGAACTGGGAAGGCACCATCACAGGCTATGCAAAGCTTAGCAGCCATGCAAGTTAAAGACTCAATGTGTTACAACAAGTTAGGCAGTGAAGGCAATGCTGAGATGAGAAGTGTTGCGACTGTGAGTCCAGCACCTAGTTCTGACCACAGTCAAATAGGACAGCTGTCAACGTCGCCCGCAAACTCCTCTTCAAGTGGAAGCAGACCGTTGTCAAGGCAACAGTCGTGGCACAGTGGCAGCACGCCGCAGCATCCCCCTGGCATCCCGTACGTCCAAGGAAACTTCAGCCCAGGGCCCGGCCAGCAGTGGAGTGGACAGGCCAGTCCTCAGGCCAGTAGTCAGCAGTGGAACAGGCAGCTGAGTCCAGCCGGTAGCCACAACTCGTACAGCCCCAGGCCCTCCCCTCAGCCATACCCTCCCTCAAAGACTCCACCCTACCAAGTGTGGCCAACAGGTCCGCCTAGAACCACGGTGAGCTCCCAGTTCCAGGGAAATATGAGCCCTCAGGGCTACAGTCCGAATGGCAACTACAACGTACAACACACCCCTCCTCCAAATCCAGCTATACCAGGGCAGCCAACAGACCAGCCCATGCAACAGCCAACTGGCGAACAGGGACTCCAAATAAAAGCTGAAGGGAACTACGTCAGTCCCAGCCCCCAGTGGTCAAGTCAGCAAGGTGGTGTGCAAGGAGTGAGCAGGCCCCCGCCTTCTTACGAAGACACGGTGAAAAGCCGTGGCAGAGTTTCGCAGCAGAGTCCGTCCAGCACCCCTCCACAGATGTGGCCGTCAGGTGGGAGCCAGGAGATCCCCATGCAGTACAGAAGGAACAGTGCTCCACCTTCCCAACAGTACAGTCCCAACGGACAGCAGCCCCTCAGCCCCCCCACCCCTCCTACCCAGATGAGCCCCTTCTCAGGCTATCCCAGTACCAACCCTGACAACTGGAGGACGCAGTACAGGAACCAGTATGGACAGTTCCAGCCTGGCCCTCGGCAGGACTACAGCCAGCAGGTGCCCCTCCCTCCCTCTGGCCCTCCTAGGTCTAGTCCTGTCTACAACATGCCGGCATCCCCACACTGGAGCCAGTCACAACCTACCAGTCCCCACATGTCACAAAATCCGTCCCCCAGCCACCCTCCTAACACCGGCCCCGTGTGGCCAAACCAGAGAGTAATCTCACAGGGCAGTCCCGGTCTGGTTCATACCGGTCCAAACCAGATGAGTCCTGGCATGAGTAGACTCCCTGGTATGGAGGTGTTCAGTAACAGTCAACAGATGCATTCCCAGGTACCTCAGAACATTTCCAACCACAGCCAGGATTTGGACCGGTCAAAGTGCTCCCAGGAAAGCACCAGCGACATGTTCCACTCGGCGTATACGGTCTTAAACGACAACGAAGACTTGGACGAACTTTTGGAAAGAGTTTGCCACCCCAAGCAGGAGACAGCCACCAATGCAATGGACAAGGGCAACTCGAACATAGACATGCCAGCAGATGACACAAAAAGACCAGCTGTGTGGGAGTCCCACCCCTCTATACATAACAACCTAACAGAACTCGGGCCGAGGAGGCAACGCTCAGACAGCTTGCCATCGGCAGTGAAACCTCAGCTAACACAACCTAAGAAAACCCCTACCCAACCTGCAAACAGGCAGCGTAGCCAGTCCTATTCCCAACCCTCGGACCTGAGACTTAGAGGTGACGACAGGAACACTCCACCCAAGTTTTACTGTGAAGCAGGTCGACCCTTAGCGGAGGTCTCACCTGATCGACACAACATTGTCCGTTTGAAACTGAAGTCCAAGCTACAGGCTGTCCGCCACTACAGCAACCACAGTCCGCAAGGCTCTCCACGCTCCAGCTCCAGCCAGGGCTCCCCTCTCCACTCCCCAACATGTGGGCCCAGGTTTAGCCCCCTCAGAAGGATGTCCAGTCCCGCAGAGGAAGCTAACAAACGTAGCAGCATCCTGCTGGCCTTGCTGAGAGGGGGGAAGACGGCAAAGCAGATAGAGCATGAAAAGAACAGTCCCATGTCACCTACTTCCTCCCAGAGCTCCGTCAGCGAGGGCAGCAGAAGCAGCAGTGTCGGTAAGGACGATGTGAACATTCCAGAAACTCCTGATTCGGACCAGAGAAGACCTGACAATAGCACTGTTAAAGCGGAAACAAAGAGCGTGTCTTCCCCCTGCCTCCAGTCTTCAACAACTTCCACTCCAACTGGAGATTGCAGCAAAGAATCAGGTGGTGAAAACTGTTCCAATGGAGCACTCAGTGAGACAAAGGAAGAAGCATCTTCTTCTAGCGAACTGCAATCACCTGAAAAAAGTACAGAGAACACACCCACAGCACCTTTGAAGGACAATCCAGAGAGTGGCCATGATCAAACAGATGACCCAACAAACACACCCAACTCATCGAGTGACATGTTCAAATCCATGGAGAGCTGCAACAGTGATTCAAAAGACGAACCGTCCCCACCAGGTAGTCAGACAAGGTGTAGAAAGACAAAGAGAAAAGCTAAAAGCACCAACGATACAGCAAGTTCTGACAACACTTCTCCACAAGAAACTAAGAACAGCTCTGATAAACAGGTGAAAAGGGGAAAAAGAAAAGCAGCTGGAAGTAAAAACAACGCCAGCGGGGACAACAAGTCAAAGTCATCACAATCACCTAACACTACAGACAAGAAACCCACACCCAAAAGCAGTCAGAAGGAAGATGCACCAAGTAGTAATCAGGGACCAGGAAAAACCTACCCCTCCCCAGTAGAGCCGGATGGTACCAACACTGTAGTGATAGGGAAGGATGGGAAGGTATGGACCCCGGCCCTGAAACCCCCCGCAGTGAAAGAAGTGGTAGAGTCGGCCAAGAACCATGGTCTGGGAGAGTCCAGCTACCAGGAGCCATTCTGCAGCAAGCCCACAGACCTTCCTGACAAGCCCATGTAAGTACTGAAGATATAGCAACAACATACCTTTCTGTTCATTTTGACTCATTATATCATCTACATGTAAACTCATGATATTGTACTTGTGCATATAAACTCTAACTTACGTAACTTACAAGAAAACTAACCTTAGAGAAACACATAAAATCTCTGTGTTAACTTTGCATCTCTAGTGATGCTGGGTGTCTTTTGATCATCAAAAAGATAATTTTTTTTTTCAGATTTACCCTGTGCAATCGATAAGAAAATGGCCTTAAACATGTAGCAAAAAGGAGACATACCAAACAAGTTAGACTGGAGTTAGTTAGTTTCCACACTTTGAGCATTTTATGTCAGGAAGCCATGTGCATGTGCTGGTGATGTAGCCTGTGTCTTGTGCCTGTGTGTGTGTCTGTAGGGAGGTTGGTGGGCGGGTGTTGAAGCTTGAGTCTGTGCTTCCCACAGCCCTGCCCACCTACCAGACTGAGCTGTCCACGGGGGGTCTGACTCACTGGCAGGCTATCCTGGCTTCCACCAGGCCAACACAGCAAACTCAGGTACTTGTCAAACTGACACAGCAGAAAAAAACCCACTCCAATCTGTCTCTCCATTAACACCAAAATCAAGGCAGTTAAGGTGGTGAAATTGGCATAGTGTGTGATGGATAGTACAAGATGAAACTTGATTAAAAGGAAATTCTCACTCCCCATTGAATCATTAGATCAACATCTAAATTAGCAGCAACTAAATGATTGAAGCTTTGGCTGTGGCTCTAACACGTCTTCTCGCTGTCGGCTCTGGCAGTTGGTTGGTTGTCATGGTAGTTCCCTTCCAATGTCATCTCATTCCAGTCTCCATGGTTTTTAAACACTTCTGAACTGCTTTGGTTGACTAACATGGCATGATTTCTTCTGTGACTAACAGCTCTTCATGTGTGTTTCAATTCCTCATTATCTAAGATATGTAACATTGGTGTTATTCACTCCCCAGGGACAAGACTGCGACTTCGACCTCCTTGCGGAGCTCCAGAAGAAACCCGAGATCCGGACAGCCGTCACCGGAGACCGCCCCGTTGTCCTCACCCCCTGCCGCCTCCCCCCGCAACCCGAAAAAGTCGCCACGTGGCTCGCCGCCAAAACGGAATACCTCCGGCAAAGGCAACTGCAGGAAAACCCCAGTACAGAAGAGAGAGAAAAGAGTCATGAGGAGCAGAAAAGTGCAGTAACAGACGTAGAATTTCAAGAGGATACACGTAAAATTCATGTCTCCCAAGCAGACAATTTATCTAAACGTAAAGAAAATTCTAGTACTAGTGCCAAAATACCGTTGCCAGGTGTTTCTTTGGACACCAAAAAGCCACATGTTTTTGAAGAATTGTTGCTTGAAGAAATAACTTCACCTACTGAAGACTGTGACAGAAATTTAACGCCAGTGTCCCCTAAAACCTTAGTTTCAAAGTCTCTAACAACCGAATCTTTAAATGTTAGGGAGACAAAAGAAGATGAGATAAGTTCTAGTGAACGTCAAAGTCCCGAGGATATGTCAGGGTCTACGCTAATGCTTGATCCAAGCCCCCCTGCAGGCAATGCCATAGAGAAGCAAATCCACAGTACTCCAGTAGCTCCTAGAAGACCCTCAGAGCTAAACTTCCCAACATGCACACCCATAGGAGTAGGAACCAGCAGAAAAAGTGTTGTAGAAAGTCCAACAAGCCCAGGAACAAGTGAGGACAGTATTTCCAGGAGGACAAGCAAGGCTCAACATGATGTTTTGAGGAAAGTGGTCTTGAATACACAGCTTAAGGTGGGTCTGCTCACAATTTTCATTCATTGATTCACTCTGTACATTTGTATTTGCACGTTTGTAAATGTTGGATGGTCTTACAGTAAGAGTGACTAAATTTTAGTATTACACAGAAATGTTGGCCTCACAAAATGTTTGTATGGGTAATAGATTCATATAGCATTCCCCCCAAAATATGTATTTTAACACTCCCTTTCCTGCCAAAAATAGTCATTTGAAAGTTTTTGAAAACACGACAAAAGACGTATGGAGAAAAAAACTTGATGGTTGTTGTTTCTTACAGAATCAGTTCCACACCCCAGCCATGAGAAGGAGCATCTCCCAGATAGAAGGCCCGACTCTGGATAACACCTACGGGTTCAAGGTCACCCAACAGAACCTACAGGATGCAAAGGCACTACATGAGGTATGGCAAGGTTATTGTCAAGTCACCTGAAACACATAGTTGGTAATATACTTCCAATACATATTTTAAGAAGGATTTTCTCAAGTAGAAGATGACTGTCAAGAAAAAACATGTCATTAAAGATTATTACATCTTTTGATGGTGAAGTTTTATCCCTTTTTGTTGTGAAAAAGTAGTAGTATGAATAATATGGTGGAGACTCAGTCATATACCTAGTTTTATTTGATCATTTGCTGCAAGATATGTCATGTATTTGCTCATCGTAAAAGTTTGTTGTCATTTCCAGATCCAGAACCTCACAGTGATCAGTATGGAGCTCCATGTCCGCACAAGGCGTGAACTTCGACCCGACCCTGAGTACGACCCCATCTGTATGCTGTTCTACTGTCTACATGATGATGGTCAGACGGCAACAGGTCAGAGGGCAGAGGTTACAGGGGTCATCATTGTTGACAAGGACTCAGTTGAAGGAGAAGACATTGTGGACGTGAACCAGCCAAGTACTTCAACAGGTTTGTGAGGGGTTTTTGTTGATCAATTTCCATGTGCTTCTTTTATTGCAGCAAATAGATGAGTATGTGTTGGTGAAGGTTAGGCATCCAGGTAAAAAGATACGCCAAAAAGCAATTACTCAAGCAACTGGATATGATTTGGGAAACGGTCAGACGTTTCAGGTAGCATGGACTACCTTTTGTCAGTCTCTTAGTGTCACTGACGAAAGGCAGTGGATGCTACCTGAAACGTTTGACCGTTTCCAAAATCATATCCAGTTGCTTGAGTAACTGCTTTTGGGGGTAGATGAGTATGTGCATACAGTGTTACAGTATTGCAAAACAGTTGAACCATCAAGAAACACAAATCAAAAAGGTCTTGTAGTGGCACAGGCTATAAGCAAAGGAAGAAGACACTGGAGTGGTAAAAATGGTATTCTGTGACACCTTTCAGCTGCTCCACCTGTCAGAAGAGCTCAGAACTGCAGGCCCCTGCTGCCCAGATCAGGTGTGACCAGTCTTCAGGTGACGTATGTTGCAGAGGAGAAAGAGCTGGTTCAACACATTGCCCAACTGATCAGACAGTGAGTTGGTCTTACCCATATGTAGTATTACAAACTGGGTCACAGATCTTTCTATTTGGCAACACAGTGTAGGTCTTCTACTTCATCCAATGCTGTTGTTTCAAGAAGTAAATTTGATGACTATCCTAACCCCCACCCCCATCCTCTTTTGTAGATGGGACCCTGATATTCTTGTGGGTTATGAGGTACAGATGTTGTCGTGGGGCTACCTGCTACAGAGAGCAGCCACACTGGACATGGACCTCTGTCCACTGTTATCAAGGGTGCCAGGTGAGCATAAACATAGTTTAAGTGTGTTTCTTATGATGGGAAAAAGAGATGTATAAACCGTACACACGTTCCTACCATTGGACTAGCCCCCTGCTGTACTGCTATCATAGCTGTGTGGCCCAAGGGCTATAGAAACCGAAATGGGCACCACCTTGTACACCAGTAGGTATGGAAGGAACTTGCATTCAGTGATTGATAAACAGTGTATACCCGATGAAGTTAAACAGCCAGTTTGATGTACCATTGTCGAATCTGTCGGTCAAGATGAAAAAGCATTTTTTGGTCCTTGTTTTTGTTCTATTGAGGTAGATTGAATGTTTGTTACTCTGCCTGAACAGATGCGGCAAAGGAGAGCACCTTCTCTAGTGATCAGGATGAGTGGGGGGCAGACCAGATGTCAGAGATCAACATCGTCGGCCGTATAGTCATCAACGTCTGGAGACTCATGAGGAGGGAGGTAGGACAAACTACGTGTTATTTTAAATGTTCAAATTTCTAAACAACAAAGCCCATAATGGAAAATTTGGTGTGAATTCTTGTACAAGAAAAAAATTGTAATGTACCTGATAATCTTTTTGTAGCTATAAAGATATGTCAAAGGAATTTGTAAGGTGCTGCTTTGAAACAGAAGTTTTGATTTCATTATGTTTTGTCTGTCAGTAACACTTGTGATGTTGGTCCACAGTTGGCCCTGAACAACTACACGTTTGAGAACGTGGCGTTCCATGCCATGCACCAGCGCGTGCCCCTGTACTCCTTCCGCACCCTGTCAGACTGGTTCGACAACAAGACTGATCTCTTCAGGTGAGCTTTTAGGATTAAGAACAGCAGCATCTTCCTTCTTAGCTAAGGCCACACTTGTTTAATCTTTGTTTTTGGATTTAAGAAAAAAATAATGCTGAACCAGAAAGATAAACATTCATGTGAACTGAGTTGGAGCCAAATCTTTTCCTTGGTACATTCATCGAATCAAAGTTCTTTTCAACCCTCTGGGTTCATCTTGTCCTCTTGCTAAAACTAGACACAAACAAGCAATAGACATCTTCCCTCCATGAACGAGGTTGGTGTTGTGTACAAACAAACCACCCCATTAGCAAGGCCGGCAGGTCAATGACCCAAAAACAACCAGACCAAAGAAATATATAGCCTGTCAAACAGGAGGTAAAAATAGATACACTGTGGTCAAACACAGACCACACTACTATAAAATAGGGGTGATAATGTAGAAATCCTTTTAAATTAAGCAATACAAATATACGACAACCTGCTAATGCACTCTAAAACACAAAGAGACTCAACAACTACTCACATACCAAAAATTATACCAAACCATCCACCAGATTTTCCAAACATTCAACACAAAAAGACCAACGTTAAACATTTTGTAAATATCAAACGCAAACAGCTAGGAAACCCAAATTTAAACCACTAAACCATAATAATAACAACTACATGCTACCTTAATATCGCACAAACAGTCCATAACGCGCCAACAATAGAATAAAAAAATTAAACTGCAGTACCAAGGTCAATCACCAGGGGCTCAAAGTCAACCTACACAATCTCCAAGGCCCCATCCATCAATCTGCCAAATATCATACAGTTCCTTTTCACCGATCTTCAGATATCAGACGAAAAATGAAACGGAGCAAAAACAATGCCCCCATTACATGGAGGGTAAAAATGCCTAAGAACCAAGAAAGTGAATTAATGTGGTCAAAGCAGCACTCATACTCTTTACGGAGCCATTTTAGTATTTGCAATCTAGAGCTGTGCCTAGGATATGCGATCAATTGTATTCTCTCCATGACAACTCAGTAGATATAACGAAAAAAAGGCTGGTGCTACTTTAAGCAGCACATCATCAGAACATACTGCGCCTGCGCAAAACCTTGTTTTTTTTGTGGTTTTCGTTGGATTTTTGGTCAATGTTGCGCATCAGAATTTTGCCTGTTGCAGATGATAGCTTTTCTGACATAACACTTGGAAATGACAGACGAAGTGTTAACCTTATATGCGCAAATGCAACCTTATATGGGATGTTCTGCCAAAGTGCTATGCAAAACATGTTAAAGATTTCCCGCAGATGCAGAACGTTCTGCCGACGTGCTACTTTAATCACTTAAGGCTTACATACCTCTTTGCTACACAGGTGGAGAACCGTTGACCATTTCGTCACTCGTTGCCGAGGTAACCTACAGCTGTTGGAACAGATGGACCTGATTGGTCGGACGAGTGAGCTTGCCCGACTGTTCGGGATCCAGTTCTACCACGTCCTGACGCGGGGGTCCCAGTACCGAGTGGAGTCCATGATGCTGAGGATAGCCAAACCCATGAACTACATCGCAGTTTCACCGAGCATGCAGCAAAGAGCTAGGTGAGACTGAGGCAGTTAAAGCCGTCATCACCTTGGTGTACAGACGTTTTGTTTTCAGTACGTCTGTTTGTATTTTTGTAGTTTTGTCTACATGCTAGGAACATCAGGACACTGACAGGAAGTTAGGTCAAAGGTTCTAGAAAAGGGTATCCCATTTCCTTTCTTCAAACTACTGATGCATGCATGTCTATTGTTTTATGGGAGCCAGTGGGGAAATGCATACACAGAATCAGTGAGAAATTCACAAGGATGAATAAAACAATTCATATTTTTTAGTTCTTTATTTCTACACCTCAAACTTAAATTCATAAAACTTCTACATGTAAATATTTCATGGATATATGTGATCTTCAATTTGTGTTTGTTTTTTCTGCAGACAGAGAGCACCCGAGTGTCTCCCTCTGATTCTGGAGCCAGAGTCCAGGTTCTACACCCACCCTGTACTGGTGCTGGATTTTCAGTCCCTCTACCCCTCCATCATCATCGCTTACAACTACTGCTACACCACTTGTCTGGGCAGGGTCGAGCACCTGGCTGAGTGAGTACAGCCTTAGTACTATCAAGCAAACTTTTGCCAGCAAACGCAGAATACTTTGCTCCCCATCTTTTTCACAAGAAGGAGGTCCCATGATTTGTATTTGTATTTGTTGGCAATGATACTTGTCATGACAAGGCTGCACAGGCATACTTAGCTGGTCATGGCTGACCCATGAAAAGTACAGACATAATAATACAAAATGAATAGCAAGTAGAATCTAATGTTTGTTATCAATAAGGTAAAATACAAGTCCAGTCCTGCAATAAAAGGATCATGCATCTCAGAGCAGTGCCTCCTAGCAGATTAGGGAATACTGCACACTTACAACTTGTAAAATTATGTATTACAGCCTTATAATTCGTCTTTCAGAAGTTACATGAATTGTCTACATGTTCCATACAGGGCAGGAGAGTTTGAATTTGGGTGCAGTAGTCTGAAGGTGCCTCCTGCTACTCTGAGGAAACTGCAGGACCGTCTGACGGTGTCACCTAACGGTGTGGCCTTCGTCACGAAGGATGTCCGAAAGGGCATCTTACCAGGCATGCTGCAGGACATCCTCAACACTCGCATCATGGTCAAGAAGTCTATGAAGGACTACAAACAGGATAAGGTAGATACAAGAATAGTTACATCTAGAGCTGTGTACCTAAACAAATTTTAGGTACAGGTACAGGTACAGGTACACAGGTTTAGGTACAGGTCCGGACCTGAACCTGTACCTAAAAAATTCGACCAATTTACATGCTCTTCTGAACTCTTTCAATAGCAACAAAAACATGTATACACTTGATAGTTAAGGTTTAATTTTGGTTTATGGAGAATGCTCAGATAAAATATAGGCAAAAGTAAGGTATTATTGTTTTCATGAACACACTGTCCTTACATTGGAACCCATTGGCGACCAGCTATTTCCACATTTAAGGTCACAAATAGGCATAAAATTGGTGTGAAATTGTTTAGGTACAGTACCGGTACGGAGGGATTAGGTATTTTGGACCTGTACCTAATCAATTTTTCCGGTACAGTATCGGTACTGAGTATCGGTACACAGCTCTAGTTACATCCTATCTACAGGTCCTTTCTTGTACTTCTATTCAACATATTTGTATGTAACATATATATAGGGATAAAATGCCAAACATTTTCAAGCCAAGTGATTTTTAAAAAATGTTTTTAGCTCCAAATTTGTTGCTTGGGAAGGTTTTTAGGGGCAGGGAGGTTAATATTTTAGTAAAATTGTTTGTTGTGTCATGTACATGTAAGGTAATGCTAATCCGACAGTTTGTAGTCCAAATGAAACAAAAAAAATATTGACAAAAAGGGCTAAACTTTCTTGCCAACACTGAGTAAACTGAGATATTCCCAAATTTTCGGCGGCCGATAATTTGGGTAAGTCCCAATTTACTCAGTGTTGGCAAGAAAGTTTAGCCCTTTTTGTCAAAATGAAGTATACCAACACAGATGAACTTTCATGCTAAAAAATATTGTTTGTTTCCACCTAGAACCTAACCAGGATGCTGCACTCCCGTCAGCTGGGTCTGAAGCTGATCGCCAACGTGACGTACGGCTACACCTCCGCCAGTTTCTCTGGCCGCATGGCCTGCATCGAGATTGCAGACAGCATCGTCAGGAAGGCCAGAGAGACTCTGGAACGGGCCATCCGATTGGTCAACGACACGCCCAAGTGGGGGGCACGGGTGGTGTATGGCGACACTGACAGGTCAGTGAGGTCATTTACGTATGATTTATTCAAACACTGCAAGGGATGGAGAATTCTTCAACCTTCTGTATCAGAAATAGACAAGTAATGTACTTAGTCCTTGTACTAATGTTATTCCAGATGGTGACATAACATCAATGGCCCAATTTATGGGCAATCTTCAGGCCTAGGCACAAGCCTCAGCTGTCAAAACTCTGCACAAAAAAGAACCCAACATGCTTATCAAGTAGAGTAGAGACTAGAGTTAACCAACACTTGTGCTGGACTCAGAATTTGAGTTGTAGCAAAGCTGAATTGCACTTCTAACTTCTTGACATGCTTCACCTCTGTTGAAGCAGTAGAAGTAATGATTTACAAGATGACACTGCTCTTTTTATGTGTTGTATTGTGTACACTCAGTAAAACTGTCTTGTGCCGTTCCACACAGCATGTTCGTCCTCCTGAAGGGAGCCTCCAAAGATAGTGCCTTCCAGATCGGCCAGGAGATCGCGGAGACCGTCACGGCCGCCAACCCCCAGCCCGTGAAGCTGAAGTTTGAGAAGGTTTACCTGCCGTGCGTGCTGCAGACCAAGAAGCGATACGTGGGCTACATGTACGAGACGCCGGACCAGAGGGAGCCCGAGTTTGATGCCAAGGGGATTGAAACAGTCAGGAGGGATGGTTGTCCAGCCGCTTCCAAGGTCAGACATACTGTTGGTGTATGGAATAATGCTGGATAAACACAACCCAAACCTAACCTACAAGACTTTTAAAATTAGCTGCTATGTAACAGTTCCTCAAAGAAAAAGTGATTCCTTAATATCTAAGATAAGAATCTGAGGGATTCCATTCTTCACTTCAGAAGCCCTTAAGCTAGTTGCATGTTGTAAATGGGAGTGCTTAAAGCATGAACTTTAGGCATCAAACCTCTGCATGTGAAAGGACAAACTTGTCAAGAAGTGACCTGGTGTACTTGGCTATAAAAGTGAGCCATAGCAAAGCCAAATTGTCTATCAAAAAGCATAATATTTTGTCCTAAGTATTATGCTTTGAGTTTGACAGGAGTAGAAAGACTGTTCCTGTACATGTATCTAACATCATTGCTATGTTGATGTTTACAGATCCTGGAGTGTTCCTTGAAGACCCTGTTCACGTCCAAGGACGTGTCCCAGGTGAGGCGTTATGTGGAGAGACAGTGTACCAAGCTGTTGGAGGGGCGAGCCAGCATGCAGGACTGTATCATCGCTAAGGAGTACCGAGGCATGGCGTACTACAGGCCTACAGCATGTGTTCCCGCACTGGAGATCACTAGGTGGGGAGACTTAGTACTTACCAGAGTATGGATGCACAAAGCACATTTAGCATTTAGTTTTCTTGATATATTTCCAGGGTACTTGCCACACAAGGCCTAAGGTTAAGAAACTTTTACTTATCCAATTTTAACATCATTTTCCACCTTAACTGGGGGTTATACATGCTTGCATCAAGTACAAGTCTTTTTCGAAGCAAGCTGTAATAGTTATTGTAGATGCAAGAGAGGTGCAAGAGATCATTCTGTTGACAAGAAGTTTATGAATCCATGCTTAGTGGATAGTTCATTTGAGACGTTCTAGATGCAGACACAGGAATAGACATTGTAGATTTTGCATTGACTATTGCATCATTCCAGGAGATTCCAACATTGTATCATTCACATCATTGCTTATCTAATGGCCTATTTTATGTACAATCGTATGCAAATTCATGTAGAATGAATTTGTAGACTCAGATAGACCGATTTTCCAGACGCCTGTTGTCGAGCGACCGTCGCGCGGAGCCGCGGGTTGGTGAGCGCGTGCCGTACGTGATCGTGTACGGGAGCCCGGGCCTGCCCCTGATCCAGCTGGTCAGGCAGCCCCACGAGGTGCTTACCGATCCCAACCTTCGGCTCAACGCCACCTACTACATCAACAAACAGATCCTGCCTGCACTGAACAGGGTCTTCTCACTCATCGGGGTGGATGTCTTCAGCTGGTGAGATGGGCATTTTGTGTATTTTTATAGTTGGAAACTCACCTAAAGTATGTACAGTACTTTCTGGCAAGATTTGGTAGTAGAGGGATCATCCTTCAAAGGCTATACCATTCTTCTGTTGTGGGCTTGAATTTGCACATTGCTTACAGATTATGATAATTGTATACTTAAAGATTTGAATACATTCTAAAGCAGTGGTTCTAAAGGAATGGTTCTGTATATTACCTTTTACAGGTACAGGGATTTGCCGAGGACCAATCGCTTTGCAGCACCCGCACGGCTTCTGCCAGATTCCAGAAAGGTTGGTGTTTGGCACAAATTTTATGTCTAGCATTGGGCTTTTCAAAAAGTAGTAAGACGTAACACGGTTTGGAATTTCACAGTTATATAGGGTTTGATCACAGAAACAGTTTACATATTTGTATATGTACAATGTAATTAAATTGAATACAATTTATATGCTTGTGAATATGATTTCTTGTATTTTTCAAAACATAATTCAGCTCCTCTTCTGTTGTAATCTGGCATGCTTACCAACATTTTAGATACATTGTACCTGCAAGTTCATATCAACATTTTACTAGATATCTGCAACATACCTTTATTAACAGCCATATCGTATATGTAATAATTGATACTGACAGTGCACCATGTGTTGTGTACAGGGTACAATCTCCCAGTTCTTCCAGACTGTGAACTGCCCTGTGTGCAACGGGCCGGCCCAACAGGGTATCTGTACCCAGTGTCAGGGTGATCCACAACAGGTCGCCATAACACTCAACTGCCAAATACGGGCATGGGAACGGGCATATCAGCATCTTCTACAGGTTAGTGATGAAATCATTTTTTATATCAGTAATATAGTAACCTGGTGTCCATCCTTTTCTAGCTTTAGTCACTCCTAAACCATTGGCATTTGCGTAAAATGAAATGACTATTCTGTCCACGGAAATAGTACATTTTGGAATGGTTGATAGTCACCAGAAAATGCTTTGAACCACTCGTGGCATTGCTTGCCACTAAAGACGCTTTGGGCTATTTCATTTTTTGGCTTGAAGAATTAAGTATGATAGGTATATCTTTGTATTTTACTCCAGGTGTGTCAGAGCTGTACTGGGTCTCCTGGGCAGCCAAGCTGCATCTCTCTGGACTGTCCAGTACTGTACAAGTACGTGAAAGCCAGGAATGACGTGGAAAGAGCGCCATACTTCCGTGAACTCCTAGACAAGACCCTTGACGGGTAGCACTTGTGGGAAGAAACCTTCGATGATTACAACCCCAGCTTGGTTCTGTTGCACTTCAAGACTTATCAAGTGAACAACTCTTAACCATGTCTTCATTGTGGGTCACAGTGTGATACATTGCCACGACAATGCACATGAGGCTCATGCATGCTGTGTCTGATCTATGTTGTCATGCCAGTGTCTAGCATGTATTCTGCATTACCCAGAGTTATCCATTTTTCAAGCATGCATCCCCCAAAATGGCCAGTGATTTCAATGATGTAGTGCTTCTGCAATATTTGATGTGGTCTGACTTTGAGGCATGGTCCACTTCAGTATTGTAATCTGGGAAAAAAAATCTCTTCCAACTTGTTGCAATGATACTTAAGGCAGTCACAAAATTACTAGTACAGAGCTTAAGGCTATGCGTAAATCCTGTTTCTTTTTTTTTTTTAAGTCCTGTAACCGCATCATCATGGCCAGTAAAATAATTTTGTGTCACAGACAGTTGCAATGCACAAGCCGTGTGTCAAAATGAAATGCAATCAGGATGCTAGAAGAGTGGCTGAGGGTTTAGCGTCCAGACTATGCCATAGAATTGTAGGAGACATTTGGTGAACAATTTCGAATACCGTTCTTTCTTATGTACATCTCTCCTTAAGGAAAGCTTCCTCCTCTCATGTCGGAGTCACTGTCTGGCTACTTCTGCTTGGGTCCTCCTCACAAGTTGTACTTTCCCTTCCTGTGATAGGATGTGCCTTACAGCTCCTTTCTCTCGCATTTCTCTCAACATTCACTTGTACTTACGTGCAGTATTTAAATGGCACTTGTGCCGTACAATACTGCGATTGCCAACCTTTCGATTACTTAGTGTTTAGGGTGTCCTAGGACTATGGTGACTAGGCATTGCAAAACTAGTCCACCAGTTACATAGATTTTCATTAGTTCTTCATAGTTGACTGTGTAAAAATGTATATTACCCCCAATTCGGGGCACTATCAATGTTGCAGCAAACAAGTAGGAGTGTTCAAAGTTGTGTTCTAGCAACAGCTTTCATGACAACCTATCAATGTACTTCAACTACTGTACCTAGAAGTGGTCAACATTTTGAAGTCAATGTTATTGTTACTTTATGGCTATGGTACTGTATTTAGTAATTGTGTAGTGAAAAGACAAAACATGTTAGTAAAGTGAAACTGTTTTTATGAAGCACTTTCGATGGAACCCCTGTTAAATGTTATACTGTAAGAAGAAAGTACCAAAGGGCTATTTTTGTACTAAATTATTGTGGGGTCAGAAGACCGTGATTTAAACGTAAACAGTAGGATGTTTTGGCATGTATGAGATGGCCAGTCTGTGTCAAATGTGTACAGTGATTTTGTAAAGGTGCTTTTGAACATTTTTATATGCTGTCAGAACAAAGATTTTCTTTATCTTGAAGCCTCCTTCTTCATGTTTTTGTTGACCCTTGCCTTGTAAACACACATTCACGACAATCATAAATGAATGAATTAGGCTGAAGTGAGTACCATTTTACATACCAAAAACTGTTGGCATTAGGCTCTTTATCAAGTACTGCTAATCTTATCTTACTAGTTGACTATATAAAACACAAGAAATGCTACCTTAAAACAGGTAGGTTGTACGACGGATACGTCGTAGTAGTAGCTCACACATGTAACTTAAGTCACAAGGTGCATATGTGTACATCTCACACTTGCAAAGTGGAAACAGGTACTGGAAAAGTCACAAGGTACATCATACACTGACTCACGCGGTGTATCTGATGAATCATGCTCTATAACTTGTATACAAAACCAAGGAGGGTAAAAAAAAACTCCTTGATATAACACACAGTGTACTCGGGCCCCTTGCTGACTCTGATGGGTCATGATAAGTTAATATAGCAGCCGCAGTAATGTTTGGCCCTACTAGTACATTTGTTGTAGTACTTCACTTCTACAGCTCCGCCACCTTGCGACAAGCAGCAGTATGAAACTTCACGGAAGCAGAATTATAGCTTACTTGTAGTAAGCCCTGATGGGCGCAGTTCACAAGCTGCCGAAACACTGACATGGTAGTGCTTTTCAATCGACCTGAGAAAGGTACATCAAGGACATGGGTACATGCGCCAAACTACGTATTCGCGACGTCGTGTTTGAAGTCGTCTTTCATTTTCTTGAAGAGTTCAGGTTGGCAGATGACATCGATGGCCGTCATGGCGAGCACCTTAGCCTGGGTCAAGGTGTAGGGCTGGGCCTCTGGAGCGCCTGGAGAAACAAACGTACGAGGTTAGGCCAATAAGTAGTTGCTCAAGCAACTGGATATGATTTTGAAAACGTCAGACGTTTCGTCAGTGACTGGTACGAGGTTAGAATCAAGACAAAGGAAAATTGGGGCTTAAAGAGAGAGAGAGAAGTTTAACTGAGGTAGGAAGGGAAAGAGGGAGATCATGTATGTAATACATATACATGTACCTCAGATTGAAAACTAAATGTGATTCCCCCAAAAAACTGCTGCATTATTTGTCAAGATTTTGGCGCTGGTGACGATGACAGATTAAAGCTGAGTGAGTCAAGCTTTGGGCTAATATTACTGACATCATAGAACCTTATACTAGATATTCCTCTCACCAAGGACATTATGTAGAGAATTACCTGCGACTTTGGTGAAGAGTGCGGAATGTGTAGCAGCAGTATCTCCGATGGAGAACTCGGGATGGATACTTGGCACGACGTGGGAGACGTTGCCCATGTCGGTAGACCCTGAGAACATCTCCCCGGCACAAATCTTCTGGTCGGTGCAGAAGTCCATTCCAAACTCTCGCGAGTTCTCCTCGTAACGGGTGATGAGGGTGTCGTTCTGCAGGACGTTCAGATAGTGCTCTGGGCCTTTGTCGAACTTGTATTCCAGCTGTGAAATATAGTTTTGAAACATAGTCAGGCAGCAACATAAACAGCTGACTGAAGAGAGCATTGGCTCTACTATGTACAATAGCATATTGACATATCGACGATATTTTGAAAATTAAGAAAAAAAGTTAAGTCATCGTTGATATTTGCGGTATATGGATACTGAAATATCAAAAGTTTTACATTAAGTCAAAACTTCACATCCTCTTCGTAGACCTCTCTAATGCTCGCCCAAAACAGCACATGGCCAAGTTTTGGTGCTTTCTACCTGCATATGCGGTATTCTAATTTGGTATTGACTTTTCAAAAGCTCAAATGACACCTTTGAGGAAACAATGTGGTGGGGTGTAACATGGTAAATGGATACTAAATGATTTGGGATCCATAAAATTTGGGAGCCGTAAACTACAATGCGCCGCGACTGCATGAGCGCACTCGGAACTTTGAGGTGGCTTATTTTTACTCTCCAAGCAGAGGTTGGGTTTGGGGTTATTTATGGCGTGTTTTTAGACTTTTTCTTATCGGGGTTTCTTTTTTGCACTGGAATTTTTCTTTCACCCAACCCAACCCAACCCAGCCCAGGGGTGAGTGCCCACAGAGGTTGGGTTGGCCATGGGTGAAAGAAAAATAAATTATTAAAAAAGTGGCCAAAAATAACCCAAAACCTAAACCTGACGGAGGGGAGCAAGGGGCCAGTACCTGGCCTGGGCACTTAGGCAGGTAGGCAAACCTCTGCTTGGAGAGTAGCTTATTTTAGCGGCTACCCACCTTGCACCCTGTCGCGACGGCTGCCGCCTGGAAACACGCGACCACCTGTTCCTCCAGCAGGGCCAGGTCCGATCGCAAGGGGGCGCGCAACATGAACTCCAGCTTCGTCTCGGTTGGAATGACGTCAGGATGGGTTCCGCCGTCCAGTATTATACCTGTATAAAGGACGGGACAGAGTTTTTATAAGGTCAGAAAGTAGCACAGTTGAGGCATCATCACTAGAAAGCTTTAAACAACTCCTGCAATTAAATGTGCAAAGATTGTGTGTAACAAGTCGTTCGGTGTGATATACTAGTAGCTATAGCTGCCGCCGATGCGAAGCTGATGTGTTACGCCGAAGGGTGGTTATACTGGCTCTACCGATACAGATACAGACTGTATCGTGTATGCAACATTTGGAATCCTTACGGTTAAGACAGGGTTAGAACGTCCTTGGTTTAGAATAAGAACTATCGACACACATCTTCTGTAAAACCTACCGTGCACCTGGTGATGAGGTCTCATCTGCTGCCTGAGTACAGAGATGTTACTGTAACACAGGACGGCTGCGTCCAGGGCGTTAGTCCCCTGCCAGGTCTGGTAGGCGGGGTGGGAGGCCTCGCCTTTGTAAGTGACGCTAACACTGAAAACAAACGAAAGAAACGAGTAGTTAAAATTTAAGCATAGATTCCTTACTAGCTGAAATTGGACCTCTTTGTCTTAAATCTAACTATGTACAGAGCGTTTCGCATGTTTGACTTTTGACATACGCATTCTAATCTATCGCAACAACAAACTGGACATCTTAACTCGTGACGTGTCAAATCAGAAGGTACAACAAGTGGTACCTGACTCTCGCCAGACAGCGCCACCTGGCGATACTGCAGATATCTGGATGCGCCATCATGGCGAAATCGACGTCCTTGAAACAGCCCCGTTCGATGAGGATGTTCTTTCCGCCCCCTTGTTCCTCCGCAGGTGTTCCCAGCACGGTTACCTGCAGTTCACAAAATCTGCGTCACCACCAAACCTCTAGTCTCTCTACGTGTCTAGAATATTCATAAGTTGTATACGTATAAAGCGAGACCTTTGAACCCCCTGACCTTGGGCCTATTTTTGTAGCCGACATACCGTGTTTACTACAGAACTGGGGACTGGCACAGAAAAAGGACATCCAATACCAAGCCACTGAAGCATCACAGAGTATGTTTTGTTTTCGTGTACACATAGGGCACGTCGGAAATGCGCTGCAGATTTGTTTTGGTCGTGTTCTGTTTGTCGAACTTATTTGCATTCAGTGTTGTGGTTGCTTACATGTACTCAGGCGAGACCCTCTGAACCTTACGGATTTCTCACGTTACGGAATTCTTTTCAAGTTCAAAGCATCATTCAGCTAACGTTCTTTAATAAATAAACGTCGTCTATATTCTAAGAATTGGATATAGGTTGCATTTAGAGTTAAACGGTCCGTCACATATAAGACCACACTGTCTGAACACAAGGCTATTCACCAACCTTGACTGGTTGTTGGAAGTCTTGGATCACTTCTTTGATCGCGATCCCGGTCGCCACGCCCACCTCTGCGATCAGGTTGTGTCCGCAGCCATGTCCGATCCCAGGCAGGGCGTCATACTCACAGATCACACAGACGTGTAAGCCTCCCTCCTCCCCACACACCGCCCTGAAGGCCGTGTCCAACTTGTAGTGTCGGTCCACACGGAAGCCCTGCTTCTCCAAGAAGTCAGTCAAGACTTGGTGCGCGCGGTGCTCCTTGAAGGCGAGTTCGGGATTCTTCCAGATCTCCTGGCTGAGATCCCAGAGTTCTTTAGAGCGGGTCTGGATCGCGGCGCTGGATTTTTCCTTGATCTTGGGGACGTCCATCGTCGGCGGTCTGCGATCGACAGTGACCAAAGGTCGGAACGGACGGGGACCGTTCTGAAAACACGGAGAGTCAATGGTCATGTAGGGACTGTACATGTGCAGTGATACCGGTGATGCGGGCAAACGCGCTATGATTTTGAAACTTTGAACAGTGCATAAGAAAAGGTAAATCTTTTCGATCGAGTGGAGCCGGTTTGATTCTAACTCCATTGTTTGATTCAAGGGCGCTGGCCGCCTTTCACATGCCATGGTTTTGATTTGATTGATTTGTTTAGTTTAAAAGAATGAGAGTCGCGTTTTAAGATTGTATGCGTATATTTGTGTGGTACGGGGTACCCTGGGGGTACGGGGTACGAAAATTTGCATCACTGCATTTGCCATTTTGCCCATGTTGAACACTTGCATATTCAAGGCTCTACAAATCACTTACCATTGTACAGGTAACATCTGGCTTTTCCAGAGGAGGTTTCCCGTGGGATCCCCATGGGTTGTCATTCATCTGATAGTCGCCGATAGTCTCCATACTTTTATGATGTGCACTTTGCTACAAGGTATAGAATTATGTCTAGTTATTAGAATTTAAATCATGTAAGTTAGTCTGTAAGATTGTGTATAAAAAAATATACGTAACAAGACATCTGGGCACTACGGAAGTATTGGTTTGGGTGGCTGTGCCACGGTGGTGAGTCTGGGTGCCTGGCGAGCGAGTGTAAGATCCCTCTGTCACAAATGGGATGCCCCTAGGCTAGAGCTGTGGGTTTTTGTATCTGTAAGTGTTTTGCAGTTTTTATGTACCTGTAAATTATTAGTATATTCAAGAAGATATGGAGATACGGCTCAGTCTCACTGTTTCATGCATATGTTTTTAATAGCAATATTCACTTTGAGGCCGGCTCCTATGGAAAGGGTAGCCACAAGAAAGTGCGCACTACTAGTACTACTAGAGATAGACGCATACTAGTAGTTAGCCTATTTCCCTTTAAACTGTTGAAACCGTTCTGTTGTAAATAACACCTCAGGTTCTGTTCTACTTCATGTCGGTGACGCAAACCAACATAAAACAAACCACCAGCAAAGTTGAAAATAAAATTAGAAGATAAAATCTAGAATGTTAAATCTAACTCTAAAAGCTAGCCCTATAGTATAATGATTATCATACCTCCAATTTGTCAATACGTGTACAAGGAGACTCATTCCCTGGTCGCGCCATCTTGAATGTCGATGGAAACAAAGAAATGGCGCCCCCCCCCCGTCCATTTTTAACACTGACGTATATGCAAATTAGGTAATTAACAAGTTTCACACAAATCGTGCAGTGCTATTACTAAAAATGCCTTACAATCGCCTCGCCTGCTTTCATTGTCCCAACTACCGGGCTCATTATGTTCTGATGCGTTTTAGGATTCAGTATTTCGAATTTGGAAAGAAATGCCTTAATTAAGCTTTGGTCATTTCTGTACATGGTAAGTTCAGGCATGGAGTTGAGACCTCCTTGGTTCAGAATGGTCGAATTTTTGTCTTTCCGTCCCCTGCCGCCGGCTAGGAGGAAGTGGCAATAGAATGTTCTTCGGCGAGAAATTTACAATATTTCAATTATGAATGGAAGAAGAAATTCATGTCAACTCATACACTACACTACACTACACTACACTCACTACATTCACTACATTCTTTACAGGGGTGTGAAATCATCGTCTAAGGCCCCGGGCTATGCTATTTATGTGTTGTTTTAGTAGCTCTTCATTCCTGACTGGGTATTTGCTAAGACCATGCTAAGACAAATGTCGGCCTCATTCCCCTCCTGTGTAACACGATACACCACTCACCTCTACACAGGTACCAGCTGGCTGGTCCAAATGTGTTTTGCGGTGAGTTTTTGTTCCCCGCGGACTTTCGCTCCACAGGCGGCCGCCGACTTCCTGCATGACTATGAGATTTGTCCTTGCCTACACCTACAAGAAACAAAGGAACACACAAAAGAGTTACTTAATTCATTCTTAATTCTACAGAAGCTGTGAGACCCTCAGAGTCAGACCACAACACGTGTTTCTACAGCTGACATGGTTTGTCTGTAACATCCAAGCAGATATAAAGGACCGTCGCAGTGTTTAATGCCTGTTTTTGCAACATTTACCACGTCTGTCTGTCAGTGAACTTTTGCCGGGGGCAAGACAGTTTTCAAAATAGCAACCCGCTGGGGAAATGGGTGCAGCCTGGGTGTCATCTGCTTATGCTCCAATGGACTGAAGATCAGCGCCACTATAGAGATTAGAGATAGGCATAGGGAAAAATGTCACCAATGATTAATAAAATAACTCCCGACCTCTTTATCTGCTTTCTAGCGGGCGTTTCACCAGTTCAAATCACACTCCCAGAAACCAGGTGAGAATACACAAAAATAGATGGCCTTGGCCTGAACGAGGACATTGGGCTGTTCCAAACAATAACTGTGGAGGGGGGTGGAGTGGAAGAGGCTGGATTGGAGGGAGGGAGGGTAGGGATCTGAACGTCTGGATTGGAACTAGGAGTAGGTTAGCCTGATTAAATCGCTTTGCGATTGCCTGCCGGCCGCCCAACATCCAGTCGCCCGAGGGGCCACTAAAGCCGCGGACGGCAGAGTTCAACACAGACCAGAACTAGGGAGGGTTTGAGCAATTTTGGACGAGGAACTAGGGAGGGTTTGAGCAATTTTGGACGAGGAACTAGGGAGGGTTTCAGCAAAAACTGGATTGGAACTAGAGTGGGATCTAAAGTTAATTTTTGACCTCTTCCACCCCTCCATAAATATTTTTTTTTGGAACAGCCCATTTGGCCTGACAGAGCTGACATGTCTGACATAATTTTCTCCCTTCATGGCGCAGTTCTTACCTTAAATATTGTTGTCACTGCTCCTATACACTGGAATACGCCTTCTTGTCTGCGGATAAGTACTCAACATCTGGATGTGTAACCAGAGTAGAAGTATTAATCAAAAATGACCGACATCTCTAGAGGGCTTTCCCCAACAAAACGGCGACCGGTCCCACTGCTATGAGCGGACGACTGCTGGTCAGTGTTTACAAACAGACACTTATTGGGCCAGAACAGGTAAATTGTGTGGATGGCATCAACGCGCGTGTGCAGGAAATTTCGTTCGCCTGCCCTCCGGCGAAAGGTAGCAAAAAATGCCAGTGGACAAGTCGTAGGGTTAGCCTTGAGTGTACGCATTTCATAGACTCGGGGTCTGTAGTTGATGCCTTTCAGAGAGTTTCCTTGCTGTGGCCTTATTATATTGCGTCATATGGGCCAGCCGGTTCTAGCCGGTCACAACCAGTGCTCCATCGGGAATCCCCTGTTGAATTATTCTGTACGCAGCAAAACCCCAAAAGGATCAATATTTGGAAATTAGATTATTGAATGATGATCTCATATTAGTGACTAGCAATCCGATTATGCAATTGAACTACTTCTGAAATGGAGGATGGGATGGGGGGGGGGTAGTTACCTTATTATTATATTCTTATATAATAGATAAGTTCCCTAGCTTTGGACATTTAAATGAAGCAGAAAAATTCATATTTCTTATGAAACTTGACAAACCATGTATCAATAGTTCTATTTGCTCCTACATCTATAACTGCGTCAAGAAGCGAGAAGAAGTCGAACAATGTAAATAGTAGATCACATTAGTATGTATAGTTTAAGTATCATTGCTGTATCCTTTTTCCTTGTCTATTCATGACCGACAAACGTACAATAAAGGTCATTCATTCATTCATTCATTCATTCATTCGTAAGCTTTAATTCGAAAACTTACGACGAAGTCCTATTAAACCTGTTCCAGCGAACGCATTTCCAGCAAATCCTATATCTGCAAATACCATCCTGATCCCCACTTGAGCATTTCCTTTTGGCTTGAAAGAGTCACTCATGGGGTGCCGAAAATTACAAAGACATAGAAAGGTCATTTTATTCAAAGCAATTCGACGTGTATTATGTATATATACATGTCCATAAAGAATCCATTGATACATACTGCAAATCGACAAATCGTGTTTTTGTGCTGTTGCATGTGGTCGCCATTGTAGCTGCAAATGCGAACCAAAGTCATGAACATTGATGATGTTTCTAGTTCTTGCCACGCACACGTAGGTTGTAATAGCAGACTAATCTATGGAAAGGGCAAAACCAAGGTAAATACGTTAAGGACGCGCAAGGACGACGCATTGGCCAAGGCGAGTTAGAAAGAACTTGACTGCATAATTTCTGTATCGGTAGAACGGCTCTTCGGCGTACTCACCAGCTTCGTAGGAACGCGGTGCGACAGCAGCCGTTTACTTTAAAATAAACTGCCCGTCTTTCATGCATTTGAACACCTATATCTGCAACCTAGTAAGAATGCCCCTACTCTACTTGGTGGCATAGGGTTCCATCATAAACTTTCATCTTACTTAGTATTACACTAAAATTTACAGTACCGTAACGACAAACCAACCAACACGATACATGTAGATAAACAAATGATAAGACGCTTTCGTTTTTGATGTGTTATAACGTTACAACACTGTACGATAGGACTTGAACAGCATGTTTTCATATTTATTCATGACACCATGTCATGGCTTTGAACGCCAGACTGATTAAACTGAGCCAGCACGTCGGCAAAACGTACTACGTGCGTGACATCCAGAACGTATTTCTACATGTAGCATTTCTACAGAACGCATCCTGTAAAGCAAAAGTCGTGTTGGCATATTCAGGGATGATGTCTCGTCTGTAGTTTTCAAAGATCAATGTTGCGTCAAAAAAGATATCTGATGTAACGGACGAAATTCTGATGCAACGTTGACCGAACAGCCAATAGAAACCGGTTTCGCGCAGGCGCAGTACGTTCTGCCGACGTGCCAACAGAGCCTGCTCAGCAAGAGTCACGTGGGTAGATCTCGCGGGTTCTCGTCATCTTAAGGTACCGTGACGATCTGTCACAACTGCTGAGACGTTCTTCTTTGTGGCCGCTTGCATCTTAGACGTTATATTGGTCGTACTATCGTCGTAAGACAGCAATCTGGTCATGACGGCATCGTTGTGATAGTCGAGCACGTACTGTAGCGTACAAAATTCAGCTGTCTAGCCACGGAAAAGCTCTCCGTCTGTCAGTGGTTGGTTTTGTAACGGCCTGCTTCAGAATTTCACATCAACATCGTACGGAGGCGTGCGACACTGACTATGACTGCGGTCACGCTGTAAAGCTTTACAGGTAAGAAACCCTAATTACTTCTATTACAAGAGGTTAATGTTAGATGGATTAGCATAGCATATAGAAAAGAATGAGGGTAACTTGGAACTCTTTGCTCTTTTCACAGCCGAGGGCACACAGTCGGCTCACGAAGCACGACCAAAAGAGCTTACGTAAGCGACTAATCTTCACAGGTTGGGTGGGGGAACACGTATTGAAATTGTCTACATGTTGAGATTGTCTGTGGCAAGATCCGTGGAGCGATGTTTTGATGTTTAGATTACAGTTTCTCATCACGTAAAAGGATATGTGTGCGTGTCTGTGTGTACGTTCGCATAATCTTGTAAAAAAACACAAGATGGTTGGTTGCCTTGTTTTTATGCAGGATTTCTTTCCTATAGGGTTCAGGACAGGTCGAGGTGCTGACGTGGGCGTACTTTGACGTACTAGCTAGCACCACCCGGGAACTGCGACTTGTACAGTTAGAACAAATATTTTTGAAATGTAGTACTAGTGCATTCATGTTACTATATCAGATCTATCAGGAGTAAATCACAGATCTAGCAGCTCCTCGGCTAGTCAGACTCATAGACAAAGTAGTCTGAGCTCCTATTGGGCTGATTTTTGTAGTGCAATTCAAAGCCTGGTGTCCTTTTGGGACGTCTTATTTAAACAACAGTCTCCTGGCTTTAGAGGAGAACGGCCACAGGCCAGCGTTCACCTCCATAGAGACCTGGATAGAGAGTTAGGTAGTTTGGTCTAACATAAGCAAGAGTTCGTAGATTCTAGACATTCGAGAAGTATTTACAGTTTTTTTTTCAAAACTTATTGGCACAACCAAAGAGATGGCATGAAAAACTTTCAACGGGCGAAGTAGGACAGAAAATCTGAAGGCTGAGAGCTTGTTGTGACAAACCCTGTGGGTGGAGCCACCTCCTCCCAGTCTACCAGCCTGTATGTCCTTCCAACTTGATCATCAGGTCAATCTACGGTAACCAAATCTCCCCCTCCCTACCTCTCTACTGCATTCAATTGCCTACTTCTTCTTTGTTCAGTACGAATACAAGGAATTCAAACACACAGACAAACATATCCTCCGTACCATAAATGATAAAGGATAGTCTCAGCAACATGGTCGGTCCAAAGAATTCGATCCTTGTGATCATGTTGCTCATCCCCAGTACGTGGCAGACTTGCCCCCCTTGTGCTCAACTTTGTCACGAAAAAAGAAGAGCTAGAGGCCTAAGAGGGTGGGAAAAAATGGTAAAATGCAACGTGACCGGATTAAATTGTTCCAAGCAGGAGTTAGGCTCTTGCCTACAGGACGGAGTTCCTGATGAGCTGATGCTAGAGGGACACTATGACAGAAACGGGACACTCAACCATCTACCCGAACTGCCAGCGTTGAACGTCCTAACGCTAAGCGGTGGTAACATCAGGGATATCAGGAATGGGACGTTTGAAACGCTGGCTTCCCTCCGGCAGTTGTCGATGAACGGAAACTCTTTACGAGTCGTCGGAACCTGGTTTGAAGGTCTTGAAGCCATGGTGAGACTGTACATGTTTCAAAACAAGATAGAAAGCATCAAAAGGGGAGCGTTTCTCCCCCTCAAAAAGCTCAAGTTTCTTGACATGAGTTATAACAGGATCCGCTCTATTCAGGCGTGGTTCTTTGAAGGATTATCAGGCCTTTTGGATTTAAAGTTGAACAAGAACAAAATATCACACATCGCAGCCGACGTTGTTTTCTATCTGGGGCTTGTAGGTGACATCAATCTCAGCGACAACATGCTACAGACCATCAACCCGCAGTGGTTTCAGAACTTACCTCCCAGAGCGAACGTTTACCTGGACAATAACCTTCTACCCACTGTAACGCAGGAAACCATCGTCGCTCTTCGGGGGAAGTTCCTTCGTGTGTTGAACAACCCGTTTCGCTGTACGTGTGCGCTGACCAGCTTTAAGACAGAGGGGAAGGTTGACAACCTGTACTGCAGCTACCCTCCACATCTCGCAGGGAAGAAGATCTCAGAGGTGTCCCTAGAAGACATGCCATGTCCTCCCCCTGTAGCCCAAGTTTCACGTGCTGACAACGGGACCACTCTCCTGTGTGAAGTGTACTGGGAACAGCGACCGGACATCAGCTGGGTCGGTCCAGCAGGCAGTAACATCACCAACACGTCTGGCAATGGCATAACCACACACTTGGAACACGCTGTCACTCCAACAGGCCATTCGATATCTTTCTGGACAAACGGTTCAAGCCAACATACAGAGGCATCAACATTCAACTACATGGGCAAGTCGACCTACAAGCTAACCATGAGCCAGAAGGCCCTGCAGGCATGGGCAGAGGATGCCTGTCGCTGTGTCATAACGTACCAGGTGGACAGTTTCTCAGCAATGACGTTAGACCTGGTCATATCGTTGTCCACTTCAACACCGAACGATCCCCATTCCAATAATGCTCCCAAGAATGAAACAACTACGGAGAAGATGCCGGTGGAATACTTCTTACTGCCGCCGAACCAGGATTCCTGCACGCTGGACTTGGTCTACACGGGGGTGACCTCCGTGAGCGTGAGTTTCCTGGTCGGCCTGCTGGTGGGCTGGTGGCTCATCCGTCCCAAAAGCTCGACGTCCGAGCAGCCCAGCAACCCGTCCTCCCGACGGAGTTCCCAGGAGTCTCTCCACCACTATGAAGTCATTTCTGACTCGGACGCCGTTGCATCACTGCCTCCTAGCGACAAAAACCTGAAGAAACGTAAACGGTGGTCGAAACACACCGAAATTTTCGACAACCCTCAGTATGGGCCAGGGAATGTGAAACAACATCGTTCAAAACGTACCGAAATTTTCGACAACCCTCAGTACGGACCAGGGAATGTGAATCCACATCATTCGAAACGTACCGAAATTTTCGACAACCCTCAGTACGGGCCAGGGGATGTGAAACCACGTCGTTCGAAACGTACCGAAGTTTTCGCCAACCCTCAGTACGGACCAGGGACTCTGAAACAATATTGTTCGAAACACACCAAAGGTTTCTTCAACGTTAACCCTCAGTACGGGCAACATTGTTCAAAACATACTGACGTTTTCGTCAACCCTCAGTACGGACCAGGGAATGTACATGTGAAACAACGTTGGTCGAAGCACACCGAAGTTTATTACAGCCCTCAGTACGGACAGGCGGAGAGAAGGCGCCGGTGGTCAACGCCAGTACTGGTGGCGTACAACGGCGGGATAGGTGCAGTTCCTCCGTTAGCCGAGGGAGGGGGGCGCACGCAACAACTGCCGCAAATGAAGAAGGACTAACCAATGGCATGAAAAGGGGAGGATATTCATAGCCATGATAAAGTGTATCCATAGACAGTGCATGTTTATATAACATTTTATTCACGCCTGCAGTGTTGTTGGTGTAGATACACATACACTAGAAACTGCAGTACCAAAGGTCGGCGCTAGGGGCGCGTGATTCTTTGAAGTTCATTATTTTACATTTCTACATCGGTATAGTTACTAGCCAATTTTCTAGCCGATGACTACGTTGGACGATAGATGAAGATCTGTTTGCTGTTCTATTGCAATTGTATCCCAGGACTAAAAAGTTGGGATGGATAGCAAAAACCCGTATACCTTTCACGCAGCATCAGTGGACTTGCATAGTGTTGCCGAAATTGTTTTTTTTTTTGTTGGTCATTCAATGACCTTTGATGCGTCACACACACGTGTTTTGTCGATCGTATTGCTAAGGCTGATGGGAAAAGGTTTAAACGTTTCCAGAATTTGTCAGTGACGTCACTAAGGCTTGTTTCTCGCGTAATTATCCAGTTCAAGATGTTCGATTACGACTATCACCAGGCCAACTCTTTTATTTTGGTCAGGATGTGACGTTCTAGAACTTGAGGTAAAGTTTGCTAGTTGAGACAGGCTGAACCTCAGTCGTTTTCTAGGATCCGGAGATATGACGACATACGTACGGGTACGGGTGCTATTTCGCACAGAATGGAATCTGCTTAGGGTACTCTTTTCCCGATCTACACTCAAGGCGCTGCACCCAAAGAACTTGCTTCAAATTACCTCGTCACTCCAGGTTAGAAAAGTCGGGAAGAACGCCGCTGATTACTGCAGAAGAGTTGGCTGGCTCCGTCTAGCCTTGACGATCGGGAGCGCCTCACTGATAGCAGCGGCGCCCACACGCGAATGGTGGCGAGTCACGGGGGACGATGTGGACAAACTGATCGGGCGGGCGGAACAGTCGTTCGGTGAGGATGAGTTAGGTCGCTGTTGTCGGACCATGGCCTTGCGAAAGGCCCTACAGGTTGTAGAGCCCATGGAGGGAGATAAGAAAGTCGAAGCGCTTTCGAAGATTTATACCAGGCTGGCTGACCTAATGACAAGCTTGTATGAGGCAGAGTGGATCTATAGGGAGGGAGTGCACCTGATGGAAGAGGGCGGACCCACTAGGAAGAGCAGGTAGATACCATGGATTTTATAGATTGTAGATAGTGGATCACTTCAGTCAGGTAGGAAGATTGAAGCTGCTCATTCCTCTTCACGTAAAAGAGCCCAACACACTTAAGAGAGATGAGAGTAGGCGTGAGCCGGTGTGCTTGGCTGAAAACGTGAACAGTAGCGAAGCCGCAATGCACCGCGTAATTAACTAGCTACATGAAAAATTGATAACTAACGCTGGTCACCGTTAAACAATAGTTACTGTAAACGGTATGAGTATCAGGTGAAAAGACGAGTAAACTATAGAAAAGTTGCAAAGCAAATGCATAATGTTTCCATTCGCATATGGTCTGCTCTGTTAATTCTTACTTAAACACACATATATTGGGACAGGGGACTAAATCCCCTCCTGCTGTAAAATTGCAACACGATGTAACCCAACTCTAGTTACCATGGTAACAGACGTCTGGTTCAGGTCATTGGCCTTATTTGTTTGGGAAGAAAAAAGAAACAGCAAAAACAACAAGTTTTCCTTCGGTAAACATAATTATTGTTATTGGCTAGTCTTATATCGTATGAGGGGGTTGAGTCTACCATGTCAGATTGCGTTGTTGTTCCTTAGCCTCCGCAGCAGGCTTATAGAACTGGGGGTTTGGTGGGTCTTCGTCTGTTTTCTGATTAGCCCAGACGGCGCCAATTCAACCAGGCCGGCTATGTTGTCTACATGCAATCAGAAAAAAGCACATAAAAGATCCCAAAGACCCTGAAGACCCCCAGTTTTTGGCATGCTTTGGAGGCTATTGTTCCTGTACCAGGTACCTTGTGGAGGGGATGAGGACTCGGCAGGCGGTTGCGTGGCTGAGCTGCCTGTCCCCCAGAACACCGCCCACACACCATGCGGCCAGACTGCTCAGGAACACCGCCGGTGCCCTAGAGACGTCCGCTCAAGAGAGCATGGCCCGCGGTGCGCCGAACAGGGAGATACTGATTCAATTAGGTGGGTTCTTGTTTAAAGTTAAAACTTTTGGTCCAACACAAAAATTCTCTCACCTTGAGGTTTCGACCAGTCACTCTGGTCTTCCTAGGTAGACTGACCCAGTGAGGCTTGTCACGTGGCTTCTTTGAAGTGTGACGTCAACACTGGGTTAAAGGTATCTGGTAGACGATGTCGGCCCTCCTTCACCTCTCTCAGGAAATAGTCTTGTTCAGTTAGCCTGGGTACCATCCGGATTTTCGCTACGCAACGCTCGAAAAAATCACTCGAGCGTTGAGTAGCGAAAATCCGGATGGTACCCAGGCTATTGTTCAGTGTCCAAAATCCTTACTAGTGAAACAAAGCTGTCCGGGTGACTCTATATGGATGTGTGTTCTTGTTTCAATCAATAATACATGGTGCTTGAAACCTTAATAGAGGCTGATTGGATACATCTATAACATTTCCAGCTCTACTATATGTAAATTTGATTTTGCAACAGGCTAAGGCCTGGTATGTCACCCACCTTGCTTTATAATAAGGCCATACTGAGTCAAGTACAAGGATCGCACCCAAAAACTGATGCGAGCGTGCGACAAAATTAAAGGTTGGACAAAAAAGAAAATTAGCTATAGTTAAATATAGTTATAGTTAATATAGTTGAATAGCAAAGATATATATTTAAAAAGTATTCAATTCAGCCTATGGTTGCGATGTACTTTTGACTCGATCAAGATGATCAAACAAACCATTCATTCATTCATTCAAAATGAATCGAAGTAACGTACAAGAAACGAATACAGTTTTTTTTTCGCGTACATCGATCATCATAGTCTCTGTTTTCTTCTTACATCTTTAGCGACCACAATGCAAAAGTTAGGCCAGCAGTACCATCTACCCGAGGCCGAGCTGAGCTTACACAAGGCCCTCATGATATACCAGCACATGTACGGGCTCACCCACCCCGACACCATACGCGTGTTTAACGACCTGGGCAACCTGTACAAGGGGAAAGAGGACTATGACAGGGCCATTAGGTATGTAATGACTCCACCATACGATATTGTCTTGTCTAGTTACTTCACAGCATGATGAGTGTTTTTGGTATGTCTTTGTGTCTGTCTGCATGTGTTTCTATAGTGCAAGTCCTTTTTATTCCGCCAGGGCAGGGGTTTCTTACCATCTGGTTGCCCTTTTCAATTGGAGACAGCAAGGGCATTATAAAATGTCTTTGGAGACGAGTGACTTGAAGAATACGCCGAGAATTCACTGTTTAAGGCCCTCTTGTGCTTTTTTCTGGAAGAAACCCTCTGGATGCCGTTTGAATCCACAAAAAATTAGCAATGTAGCCGTCCGCTTGGGACAGAAATAGTAAAATTCGAGTACTTTTTGACGTAATCAATTGCAGCTGCTACAATCGGGCAATTGAGCTGGGAAAGGCGCATGCGCCGTGGTTGGTGTCCTCCATATTGCGTAACCTTGGCACGACCCTTGCGGACATGGACGACAAGAGCGGGGCTAGGGCCACATTCCAGGTCAGCTTTCTTTTTCTTCTGTCAAATTTCCGATCAAAAGTATATTAGTTGGTATGGTTTCAGTCACAAACCTTTTACCAATATGGCAATATCACTAACCGCGCGTTACATGTTTAAAGTTTATTCCTGTTGACTACGATAGAAAAGAACTTGAGGGTCTTAGAGTGCATAGTTCCTACTTTGTTTCCATTCACAGTAAAAGGCACGAAAAGTGTACATTTTTTGAGGTGCGAATCCTGAATTTACTTATTGAGCATTTGTCTGTGTAGTGCGACTCCAGAATGTGTAACAATCGTGCAATAATTTTCAAATCCAACAGATGGCGCTGAAGGCCGCACAAGACTGGCAGAGTTTGCTGGTGAGAGAAAATAGCGACTGGAAGCCAAACCTGACAGAGGAAGGCGACTGCCGCGACCTGCTAGAATGGATTGAGGAAATGGATTGAGGAATAAAGTAGAGAAAAAAACTGTGCTAGTGTAAGACAAGTATGAAATTTATTTCTTTTATTGGTGCACACGGTGTATACGTAGGTCCATTTTAAATGGCATTTTATCATTCTAAGCAATCCAACGTAACTATTTTTCATCAGACCCCTGTGTATTGTTTGTAATAAATATTGTGCAACATCTCTTTTCTATCTCACAAATAACATAAAGGCCCTACAACCATCCCTGAATAAAGACGGAGCTATAGGACATCTACATGTACCACATATCGTATACTCCCCTCATCTGCATCAAGTGACGTCTTAAAAGTGCTGTAGATGTCTGTGCGTTTGATTCCTTTGAAAAAGTTAAAAACCACCTGTCCAAAATCCGCAGAGATCTAACATGCTGAAAGTATATCAAAAGCGTCTACACATTCAAAACGCTAGTGAGCAAATCTATTGTTCAAGCCTAAGACATTTCCAACAAAACATGTACCCTAGCGAGTAGGAAAGCACAAGGATCAGCATTGGCCAGAACAGCGCGTGAAAGACTAGCCATTTACTGGCATTGACAACTGTGCGGGAAACTTCCCTCTCGTTCCCATCTTCATAGTAACATGGGTACGTCATTCCTTCTTGTCCCCAGGATCTTCTGTACGAGGAGACAGACAAGCTGTTTATGATCAACGTACTGTCCCGAGCGCACGGTCGAGTGGCGCACTGAAAAAAAAAGAGAGAAATTATTGATAACATGATGCCAGCGGTGAAATAGAAAATTTCCTATTGATTGATTACGAAAGGAAGGCTTCAATACCTTTAAGTCTAATTACTCTGACACATTGCAGCCGTGTTGTAAGTAGGTGCCAAGAGTTTCTACCCGCGCCATGGGTGTTTCTGGAATGGCATTTGGGGCGCTACAGTATATTAGAGCTGCAACCTCAAAATGATTTTGATACCGAGGGAGGCCAACAGGGTGCCCAAAACTAATTTGTCTTCCCAAGACCTACTTTACATACCAAATATCGTTACAATCCTAGCCTCCATCAGGCCTTTCTACGGGAATAAGGATCGTAGAATTCGGCAAAAAAGAGAGTAAAATTGGCCAAGGGAGTCCGGCCGCGGGGAGGTAGTTTCTTTCCCCCCGAAGGCCAGTCAAACCTACGAGGCGTCCAAACTCCCCTGGCAAATATTCTCCTATATGAGTATATATAGCCAGCGTAGTTTATAGTCTGGTAGAGACTATTACAATCCATTCAGATGTGAACTTCTACTGTGAGTATATCCCTTTATACCTGTGGATCGTCTCCCATGATGGCCTGGGTGTCCACCAGAAGACTGGTGAGATTGACCCCGCTGTCCGTTAGGTAAGTGACGTTGATCTGTAGACACGGGAACTTGGAGAAACACGGGTGTGACCGGGTCCCTCCACACCGGCAACCCACGTCCCCGCCGACCAAGCCCGAGGACACGACGGTACACGTCGTCGGCAACATTCGGATTCCCTGTAGTGCCGGAGCGGCGATGTGGACCCCACACATCGCTAGAGCTATGATTGCACCAATCGGTATCATCACCACGAAAAACACACACAGAACGACGTAGCAGTTCCGACCCGCCATGTTTGTACGGGGGTACTGACGTCCCTGGTCGACTGTTGAGGCCTTTCGAGGGGTGTAACCGCTACGTGATTTGGCGAATTCCAGGGCACGGCTTGTCGGCGTTTACATCTCTACCTCAAGCCGTTCTTCAGAAATTATGACTCGACAGTGGCCAGTGGCGAGGCTGCGAGGGGCATTTCTGGTTGATTTTGGCTATGACCCAGTAGGTCACTAGGTCAATTTGCTTGTACCTGGTACTCAGTAAGTGTCGCTACATAACAGCTTACAGTATAGCGTGGACGGCAATTTTTCAAAAGGCGAACGGATCTCGCTCTCATTCCGATCTCGTGTGTGTGTGTGTGTGTGTGTGTGTGTGTGTGTGTGTGTGTGTGTGTGTGTGTGTGTGTGTGTGTGTGTGTGTGTGTGTGTGTGTGTGTGTGTGTGTGTGTGTGTGTGTGTGTGTGTGTGTGTGTGTGTGTGTGTGTTCTTTCTACCGTCTAACGAAGGAACCAGCGAGAGCCGAAGGCTCGGAGGTTCCTGTGGTCCCGGTGCATGGTCCCCCGGAAAATTTTGAACCGTCTGAAATGACATTTCCTGCATTTTTGAGAGGATTTCAAGGAAAAATCAGACATAACTTTTGATTCAATATATTCAATAACAAAGTGAATAGTTTTTCTAGGATTCCAGCCCCGACGGTGAAACAAATCAGTCCACTTTTAAAGAAAAATTTCGGACCTTTAGATCAAAAGTGGACCTTTTGTCATTGTTTTTTTCCCGCCCCCCCCTCCCTCGACTATGGGCATGTTACGAACATGTATGTAAGTTCTTGGAATGTGCAAATACAATCAGTCTCGAGGACCATCGATGCAGTGGCCTCGAGACATCAGATTACATTACAACAATCCGTACATGTGCTCCTCTTGTTTGCCTATTCATATCAGTCCACGTAGGCAGATTGACTGAACATGCTCAGTGAGGGAGCAGCACATTCGTAGGTCCAGCAGCGTGACAAGAAGTTGCTAGAGATGTAAACGCTGGACACTTACAAGAGGTAACGCTAAGATGAATACGTATGGTTTAGTCATTGTGTTAGGTATAGAGAGTGTCTTTTCCTTCCTTGGCCGTATGTGATGAAAATGTTAACGTTGTACCGCCAGAGAAAGGGAATGGGCACTTGAAAGAATGTGTAACGCAGGATCACAGGCAGACGTTCCTGGCTCAACGAGGAGTGAGATCGCGGATTGAAAAAAGGGGCTCTGGTCTCTGATGTAAAAGAAGAAGAAGAAGAAGAGCATCCGACTCTCCGTAAGTAAGTTGCGTTGCAAAATTGACAACCTTGCCAGTGATCGGTAGCACTCTTGTTGTAACCACTATTTCAGATTTCAAACCAAATTGCCACATGTGTCCGTATTTCAGCCTCTAATCGGCACCGTGGATCTCTGGAAAAATAGTAGGAATTGGTCGAAACAAAGGGATAGTATAACTATCCCTATATTTTGGCCATTTTTTCCAGCGGGCCGTGGTGCCTGGTAGAGACTATTCATATTTATTTCACTGCAGATTGCTTTGCAAGGTCAGCCAGATCAATCCTTTTTAATCTATGAAAGGCCACGCTGACATGTTTTTATGAAGGATGTATGCACGTGCATTGATTTTCGTCTGTTTTTAATACAAAATACCACTGGGTACAACGTACGTGTAGGCAATTCTTTGCGACAATATCGAAAATCGCGAAAGAAAAACAGCAGCCTCCTATCGACCAAGAATATGTGCATTTAAAATAAGAGGAAGAAGAAGAAAGGTACTGGTCTAGGTCGATATGACGCAATTCCTGTCATGAAATTATTTACAATTGTTATTCATAGAGGGTGGGCGAACTAATCTGAGCTCTCTCTTCGCAACCAGGGGGTGGATTGCAAGCTTACAATATTGGCGGTCCGGGGCTGAATCTCCTGCCTCTACTAATCTGTCAGATACAGTGTCCGTGGACCATATATATAGCATTATGTTAGACACATGCCAACTAGTAATCTTGTTATTTGCCATACATTGTACCCGTGACAATCGTTGTGCAATAAACCTTGACTTGACTAATGGGGCAGGACATGCCAGGGGCCTAACTTTCTAACAATTGCGTCACATGATGCCATTTTGTAGACCTTAAAAATGAATACATATTTTATGTATGACTATATTTTCTTTCTCATCCATGCAGGTTTCTGTAGCAGCAAATAGCGAGTAGATTTTAAAGAGCTGCCGACGTCCCCGAGACGGCCCATTATACATAACTTATCAACAAAAATGCAGAAAGTCAAGTGGATTCCTCTGCTTGCATACATTTCTAGTTTTTTTCACTTTTAGACAATAAGTACCAATTGCAAGGATTTTAGACACTGAACAAGACTATTTCTTGAGAGGGGTGAAGGAAGCCATTTACATCAGGGCCCATCACCCTTCATTGAACCGCGACGGGGGGCCGACATCGTCTACCAGATACCTTTGACCCAGTGTTGACGTCACACTTCAAAGAAGCCACGTGACAAGCTTCACTGGGTCAGTCTACTGAGGAAGACCAGAGTGACTGGTCGAAAGCTCTAGGTGAGAGAATTTTTTGTGTTGGACCAAAAGTCTTAACTTTAAACAAGTACCAAATGTATTTGTAATGTATCACGAGAGCTCATACTAACGGTAACGTCAAACATAGATGATGTAGTCATCTTGGCAGCATGGCCGGGTCAAAGACATGGATTGTTGTCTTGTTGCTTATACTGGTCCAGACGTCGTCACAAGCTTGTCCAAATTGCACCGAACTTTGTACCAGTATAAGTGTGGGTTGTGTCATCCCGGGGGCACATTGTCGGCGCCGTGTTAACTGTCGCGTGACAGGAGCGAACTGCACCAGTCAGGAACTTGCCTCTTGTCTGCCGGACTCGTTTGATGGCCTAATGCTGACCGGACACTATGACAGCAACGGTACACTGAAACCCCTGCCCAGTCTTCCCGCGTTTAACGAACTGTATATTGGTAAGCGGATCTCGGACATTAGGGCAAGGGCCTTCGTCACGTTGGCTTCTGTGCAGAGGCTGGTATTGAATTGGAACTCTATCCGAGTTGTTGGCAAGTGGTTTGACGGGTTAAAAGACACGAAGCAACTTTCCCTCTCCCGGAACAAGATCGAAGGCATCGCGAGAGGAGCCTTTGAGCCCTTGCAAAAGCTAGATACTCTAGATTTGGATAATAACAGGATTCAGAATATCGAGTCATGGTACTTCGAAGGATTGTCAAGTCTTTCAAAACTGAGGTTAGACCACAATAAAATCTCGCGCGTCGCAGCCGATGCTTTCAACCACATGCAGATATCAATTCTTAACCTGGACTACAATGTCCTCAATAGCCTTAGCGCTGAAAAGCTATTTGAAAGACTGCCTCATAAAGCCACAGTTTACTTGAATAGTAACATGCTGTCAACGATAGGGCAAAAGTCACTTGTCGCTCTTCGGGGGAAGTACCTTCGTGCGTGGAACAACCCATTTCGCTGCACCTGTGCACTGCCACTGACCAGCTTGAAGTCAGAGGGGAGGGATATCATGCGAAGAATAAATAATCTCTACTGCAGCTACCCACCACATCTCGTAGGGAAGAAGATCCCAGAGGTGTCCCTAGAAGACATGCCATGTCCTCCCCCTGTAGCCCATGTTTCACGTGCTGACAACGGAACCACTCTCCTGTGTGAGGTGTACTGGGAGCAGCGACCGAACATCAGCTGGGTCGGTCCAGCAGGCAGTAACATCACCAACACGTCTGGCAATGGCATAACGACACACTTGGAACACGCTGTCACTCCAACAGGCCATTCGATATCTGTCGGAACAGACTGCTCCAGCCAACACACAGAGGGATCGACACTCAACTACATGGGCAAGTCGACCTACAAGCTTCGATTGAGCCAGGAGGACTTCCTAGAGTGGCCTGAGGACTCCTATCGCTGTGTCATAACGTATCCAGTGGGTACTTATTCAGTCAGCATGACTTTGTCTTTGATCAGCCCAAAGGCAAACGAGTCTTTGACAAGTGATGATAGGGAGGGAGGAAGCGGTCCATCGACTGACGTGTCTCGAGCTGGAGTCCTGGCAACTACGGAGATGCCGACGGAATATTTCGAATTCTTACTGCCGTCACGTAACGACAAGCTCCCGCAGCATCCTTGTACGCTGAACTTGATCTACACAGTGGTCATTGCCGTTAACGTGAGTCTTCTGGTCGGATTTCTGGTCGGCTGGCTCATCTGCCACAAGACATCGCCCGACGGCCCGGCAAGGAGAGATTTCCCGCCGTTACTGACCCCGTATCACAGGGGTTCGCTGTTCTCTCTCCATCACTACGAAGTAATCCCTGACGAGAAGATCTCATCATTACCTCACAAGGCCAAGCACTTTTTGAATCCTCAGTACGGACAAGGCAACATGGCGCCACAACGGCTGTCGAAAAAAGTTTTCGTCAACCCTCAGTACGGCCAAGGAAACACGACAAAGCAACGGAGGTCGAAAACTACCGACGTTTTCCTGAATCCTCAATACCACCAAGGAAAGGCAAAGCTTAAGCGGCGTTGGTCGGCACCTGTGCTACAGAATGGTCAGTTAGTCGGTCAGCAGGAGCACCCATGCCCTGAGGAGAAAGCCAAGCAGATCAAGAATCTTCGTCGTCTTCGACGAAATCTCGAGGAAAAGAAGAGCCGGGCCCCATCTTCCCACCGCTACACGCTCCCACAAACAAAGATGAAGTTTAGAGAGTCCGCCGGGTATGGAAAGGAGGGATGTGACTGAGATGGTCGTGAGGACGTGCATTGGCTAAAAAGTCAAAATTGCAACTCGCGTCGCCTTAATGGCCCATTCTATGACTATCACAGGCTTCGTGAATTTGCCACCGTTGTAACTGTTCCAGCTACCGCTTACCAGCGTCAATATCCTTCTGTAAAGTAACATTCTGTCCGGGATTCCCTAATCGCAGCACTGAATAGATTGTACCTAAAAGATATTGTAGGAAGTTTGCAGATTGTTGTGTCAGAAAGAGTATTTACCAATTAGAATTGAATTGGTGTTACTTTTTGCTTGTTTCTTGGAGTAATCATTCTATTTATTTATTTATCAATGAATGCCGAAATTGCTTTTAATGATGATGATGTTTTGTCTCAAGTTTTTGGATTAGGTGTTTCTGTTTAACGTTTGCACTGTGGGCTGCTGTGTAGACGAGTATACAAGAGTAACTAATTTGGCATATCACTGGTCAAGCTACAATACTATTAGAACCAAATATTTTGCACTAATTTTTGACAACTCAATACTGTTATTGACGCTTAATGCACTGTTAATGATGCAAAATGAAAAAATCAGCTTGTCTATATGAGGCAGTATGCATAGGAATCTGCATTGATGTAACAATTTTACACAAAGAAATATATTAGGAGCTCTAAATAAGATTGTAGGCTTTTGTGGAGCCAATCTAGATTATCAAATACACATGTATTCATATAGCTGTACTTAGTACACTGCTCTTTACATAGTTATACATTTTACAATCGTATGCACACTGAAATTAACTTCAGTAATAAATCAAGCACAAAGTTTTTAAAAATATGCTGAATGAAGGGAAGCCTTAATTGAGAGTAATTCATTCCCTAGGTCTCACCAACTTAAGTTTGCAGTTTTAAAATTGAGTTTCAAACTCTCTACCTCTGCAGAGTACTTGTATGTTAACCTGTCTTACTCTCAAATTAATGTATATTTATATCAATATCAAATAATATGAGTACAATATCTTAAAGATGAAAGATCACATGATACTATCAATCTGTTAATACTAAAGTGATCAAATGTTTTTAGACAGCTGCACATATCACAATTCAGGATGCATTCCTGCGATGATGTTATTTAGTAAATAAACTTCTAAAGTTCTAAATTCAATCATTGGCCAAGTCCTGCTGAAACTCCACCCTGATGGTGTCCATGAGCTGTGGCTGACAGATGACATCGATGGCTGTCATGGCCAGGGCCTTCGCCTGGTTCAGGGCATAGGGCTGGGACTCCAGGGTGCCTGGAAAGTAAATTACATAACAACTAGAAAGGTAACATTTGCAAAGCAAATGCATAATGTTTACCTTCGCATATTGTGTGCTCTGTTAACTCTTACTCAAACACATTCATATATATTGTGACAGGAGTCTAAATCCCTCGTGCTATAAAATTGCAACATTATGTAACCCAATGTCTGCTTCAGGTCATTGACCTTAATTGGAGAAAAAGAAAAAGAAGAGGAAACTGAGCAAAGATAATATGTTTTCCTTCTGCAAAGCCAAGGTAAACATAATAAGTACCAATGATATGTGGTGTTGTGTTCAAATTATAATGGCTCAAGTGTTTATCATCATGGAATCAAGAGGTTCTGGGTTCGAACCCCTGATATACACTTATGTTGTACCCTTAGGAAGGCCACTTTACAAGAATTTTCTCAATTCACTCAGGTGTATATGAGTTTTGTGTAGCCATCTCTGGGATGAGACAATATCTGGATTTCCAATGTTTGCACATTAAAACGTTATGAAGGAAACTAAATGCCTGTTGTACCTGCTTGTAGTGTGAAGTTGCGTGAGTGTATAGAAGCGTCTGTCGGCAGGGCGAACATCGGATGAATCCCGGGTACGACGTGCGTTACGTTCCCCATGTCCGTAGAGCCGGACACTGCGCCGGTTACGGACTTGTCTGGACAGTTTGTCACCCCGAGGACCTCAGCATTCCTCTCGTACAGGGTTGCCAGGGTGTTGTTCTGTATCAGGTTGGAGTACTTGGAGGCATCTCTCTTAAAGCTGTACTCCACCTAGCAGTTTATAGAACCAAAACTGCAGGTAAATCATTGTCAATTCTATGAGACTTCTTCAAAAATTGTTGGTTGAGAGAGTACTGCAAAATATTCAACATCTACATGCCCAGATGATGAGAAGTCTAGAGCCTGAACAAGTCACATAAGCAGTTTACGCCACTACTATCCAACAGTTACCTAGCTGTAATCTGTCAGTTTGGGACTGAGTCAATAGCATGGTGTTCCAAAATCCCCATGTCTCAAAACCCTACGTTAACCTATAACTTCCAACAATGCTATATCTTTGACAGACCGTAGGGGTGACAAAACATAGGGGCATCGGAACATATAAGTTTCCAAACATACGGGGGGTGCAACATAGGGTTGTCACCTGAAGGACAAGCATATATTTTAGCTTGCCTGAATACTACGTTAACTTCCACAAAGCACTACAATGACTTCTGTTTTAACTGTGCCACCAAGCAATGGCAAGCATACAAGTGAAGGGTACCTGACAACCTGTAGCTATGGCAGCCGACTCCACGCAGCCTACCACACTCTTCTCCAGGTTCTTCAGTTCGGTTTCCGTGTGTGCTCGCAGGTAAAATCTCAGTGTGGTCTCTGAGGGGATGATGTCAGGATGGGTCCCTCCATTTTCTATGATACCTGCGTCAAAACCAAAATAGGATGATCATATACAAAAGAAAGTATAACTTGACATCCACACTGCAGTTCAGTCCCGCAGAGCATATATGTGTTGCATATACAGTACCATCTATATAGCGGCCTGTATATGTACGATTTTAGGGGTATTTTTTGCGCAACGCATCACACTGCAGCAAAACGAAATGAATGGGAATGTAACTATGCCACCACAGGGCAAAAAAAAGTCAGGGGTCATTGACCTGATTAAGATATCAACTTATTGAAAAATATTGTCAAAAAATGCCAGCAGAACAAGGGTTAATAACGATGCCACCGTGCACCTGGCACCGCTAAAATAGCTACAAGAACACCTGACAAAAGCTGTAAATCTTGAACACCTACCGTGCACCTGGTGATGAGGTCTCATCTGTTGCCTGAGTACAGAGATGTTACTGTAACACAGGACGGCTGCGTCCAGGGCGTTAGTCCCCTGCCAGGTCTGGTAGGCGGGGTGGGAGGCCTCGCCTTTGTAAGTCACCTCAAGCCTGTACAGAAAAAAAAAAACACTGTACATGTGGCAGAGTACATTTCTTTGGCCAGTGAGTGGAATAAAGCTTTTGTTTATTCCTTAATTTATTACATAAAGAAAAATAATGCATTACATATTAGTATTTGTGTATGTGTAATGTGTATGTGATTCCCAATTACAATACCGCATTGCCAAAAACACAATGTAAATGCATTTCTTTAGATAAAAAAAACAAAATGCTGTTGTATGAATGTAGCAAAGTAACTTTTAGTAAGTAACTGCTGTAGAATTCTATTTTTCATCTATTTTTCACAACAATGGTTCTACCTATGACCAAATGTGAAAAAAAACAAACTGGACTAAGGTTGGCACCCACGTTATGATGGCCAGACATCGCCAGCGCGAAATGTTGTACGTGAAGGGATGCGCCATCATGGCGAAGTCTACGTCCTTGAAGCAGCCATCTTGGATCAGGAAGTTCTTCCCACCACCTGCCTCCTCCGCTGGGGTGCCCATCACTGTCAGCTGAAATGTAACATGATATTCAACCACCATCTTGGAATTTAAGGTAAGAGGGGGGATTCCATTTTATTGTTCAGGGGGTGATAATTTTTTTTGCCTCCAAGTAATGTTACAAAGGTTTTGTTTTTAATGTGTTTGTCTGTGCATGTACAACATTACATTACTACAATAGACTAGAGGGACAGGAAGTGAAGGAAGAAATTGTGTAACTGTAGCTTGACAGGTAGGTCAAATTGGAGGTCAAAATACTAGTAGACCGTCCTAGCCAAGCTTCTCTGTTGAGGAAAGCGTAACAATCTTACACCCCTTGCATATCTGCTTGGAGATTTGCCGCCTAGGAGTTGACATACTAAGTAGCCTTCACAAACAAAAACAAATCTGACCATCAAGAGAAACATGTGACATTATTTTGTTGTGCATCTAGTTTTATGAAACATATTTCACCTTGACCGGTTGTTGGAAGTCTTGGATCACTTCTTTGATCGCGATCCCGGTCGCCACGCCCACCTCTGCGATCAGGTTGTGTCCGCAGCCATGTCCGATCCCAGGCAGGGCGTCATACTCACAGATCACACAGACGTGTAAGCCTCCCTCCTCCCCACACACCGCCCTGAAGGCCGTGTCCAACTTGTAGTGTCGGTCCACACGGAAGCCCTGCTTCTCCAAGAAGTCAGTCAAGACTTGGTGCGCGCGGTGCTCCTTGAAGGCGAGTTCGGGATTCTTCCAGATCTCCTGGCTGAGATCGTACAGATCTGAGGCGCAGTTCTGGATCGCTGCGCTGGATTTTGCCTTCAGATTGTCCGCGGACATCTCAAATTTGACTGTCAGATCCTTGGTCGAACATAAAACCTACCAGGACAGGGGCAGGCAGTGACAAACTTGTGGATGAACTTTCAGCTTTCGTCTTTTGGCTGTACCATAGACACAAGAGGGGTGCTAGGATGACATATGGACAAAAAGCGTGCTTTAACAAGTACTTAACAACTACCCATATATATCATATCCTTAGATAGAAAATAAAAAGGTGAAAAACTACCTTAACCCTCTTTCTCATCACCCAGAAATGTTTCTTTTTTGCCTTAGCTACCCTCCATCATTTTTGGTATATCCGAAAGTTAAAGGTCACAACTCAAGATGGCGGCGCACATGAGGTTTGCTCGCGCTGCGGTCCAGATATTTCCAACAAAGTGCTTTTCCCCTCGACTCCACGGCTGTAGTAACGTCAACATTCCTGTCAGATATTGTAGTTCCACGGCTGCGAAGAGGGGGTTGGTCCTGGGGGTGTACGAGAAGCGGGAGGGGGTGAAGCTGACCCCCGGGGCGGATTTGTATAACCAGCAGACAGGGGGGAAACTGGCGGAGTACATTCGTCTGGCCGGTGAGTATAGAAATTAGCTTTTGTTTATCGCTTGGATTTTTTTTTGGTATGAAGGAAAAATTATGCAACAAGTTGATCAGATAATCAAACGAATTCATCAGATGTTAACTGATCATAAATATTAAATATGTGTATCATATGTGTATTGTTTATGTGATTCCCCATCTTCTTCTTTCTTTTGAGGAAGCCGCCTTCAGCAGTTTGAAGATTCTGCTTCCTGTCACTGATATTGCCCTGTCACTGCCATTTCCAGATATTGCTATTTTTGTCCTACTGAAAATTATGGCAGTAAATCAGTACATATGGGTAAGGGTGTGAAGTCTGCCATATCTGATTGTCTCCCATGCCATGGTACACTCATATTTTTAAGATCAGTCTGACCAGCCAAATTATGGCTTTTATACTAGTACTAAAGTTAGTGCAAATTTATGATGAAATGTATATTTTTCCCCCTACATGTACAGGTCCAACAATAAAGAAAGGGAAGTCCCGAGTGTTCTACGGACTGGATGAGACCTACAGTGCTGTAGCTGTGGTGGGTTTGGGTGCACAGGGGTTAGGGGTCAACGAACTGGAGGGATTTCATGAGGGAAAGGAGAATCTGCGAGCTGCAGCTGCAAATGGAGTAAGGTAACATAGTACTGATCCTGTTATGAGCTTGTTGTTAATGGGACAAAAATTAATGCCTTTATCATCTTGACAGACAAAATTGGCATGCCTCTAAAGATTCGGTTCATCTTGCTTGAAATTGACTACCAAAGCACATGTTGTACTAGATGTGGCAACTTAGGAAGCCAGTATATACATACAGGAGGCTTCCTGAGTTGACACGGCTAACGTACAAATGTACAATGTACATGATTTAGGCATCAAGTTCTCCATGTATAATTTGATTATTGTAGGCAGCTGAGAGACATCTTGGGTACCTCCACCATCGAAGTGGATGGTTGCTCGGATGCAGAAGCAGCAGCTGAAGGAGCAGATCTGGGCCTGTTTGCTTACGACGATCTCAAGGCAGAAGACAAGAGGAAGAAACCGGTCGAGACTCAACTTCTCAAAGACTCAGGAAGCCCAGAAGGCTGGACTAAAGGGAGCCTCCTTGCAGATGGCCAGAACTTTGCAAGAAAGCTCATGGAAATGCCTGCCAGCCACCTGACACCCACTACATTTGCCAGCATCACTGGAGAAAAATTTGGGTCCATCGGTAATGTTGAGTTTGAGGCAAGAGATAGAGCCTGGGCTGAGTCTATGAAGATGGGAGCATATCTCAGCGTGACCAATGGATCAGAAGAGCCCCCTGTCTTTGTGGAGGTGAAGTACAGCGGAAGCCCCAACAGTTCCGCAGCCCCGTTGGTGTTGGTGGGGAAGGGGATCACGTTTGACACCGGAGGAATCTCTCTGAAGCCGCCGGCAGGCATGGACATGATGAGAGGGGACATGGGAGGGGCTGCGACTGTCTCAGGCGCGATTGCCGCCATAGCTGCGCTGAAGCTGCCAATCAACGTCGTTGGTTTGATCCCACTCTGCGAGAACATGCCAAGCGGGAGGGCGACGCGACCGGGAGACGTGGTGACGGCCATGAACGGGAAGACCATCCAGGTGGATAACACGGACGCGGAGGGACGGCTGATCCTGGCAGATGCCTTGTGCTACGCACATTCCTTCAACCCACGGGCTGTCATTGACCTCGCTACTCTCACAGGTGTGTGGGAACATCCACATTGTTTCTCTGTCACTCTGTCATCTCCTCAGATTATAACATGTAGTAGATTACAAAATTTCACGACTTTTGTCTTGTTCCGACAGTTTCTTTTTGCTCACTATAGTTGACATTAATCTGTTGCATTATTCATATATCTTTAAGTTAGTTTCTGGTCTTAGAATTACATTGTAATCAACTTAGCTTGTAATCATACATGTGCTTAAAATTGTTTTGGTACTGCCACTGTGTCAGTAAATCTATGAAACTTTTGTAAGACTTCACGTATGCCAGCATTAGGCATATTCTCTACCTGACATTTAAAATGTATTATGATACTTTTTGGTTTCCTATATGTGTCTCAAATATTGGAAAAAAATAGCATTGACACTGTGCGTCTTGAATTTGTTTTGTTTGTTTGTTGACTTTCGCAGGTGCCATAGACGTAGCCCTTGGTTCAGCTGCAGCAGGTGTGTTCAGTAACAGCCGGGTGCTGTGGAACCTGCTGCATGACGCAGGTGTCAGTACAGGTGACCGGCTGTGGAGGATGCCGCTCTTCTCCCACTACACCAGACAGATCAGCCCCAGTCAGCTGGCAGATCTCAACAACACCGGCAAACATGGAAGGTAAGGAGCTTGAGAAGTTGTGGATGGATCCAAATGACTCAGTGACCGCCCTCTTCAGTGGCTAAAGAAAGAAGGTGGATGCCATCTGAAATCTTCTACGCTTTACACAACTTTATACCAGTTTAATCCTTCGTTGGAACCAAATGATATTTTGTCTGTGGGTTGGTGTAAGTAAAATGAAAGACAAGTTTAATTGTGGAACTCCTAGCAGCTTTCTATGGTAGTGCAGCAGAACTTCCACTTTATGAACATGCTATGGTATAGGGTTCCCTGCAGCTGGCATTTTTTAAAAAATCTTATGTCGGTATGTTATTTCATTATCGATATGGGGGCAAATGTATATGTCTGTTTTTACACTTGAAATATTGAATGATGTTTGATCTCTCCTCTTACAGGCAAGCCGGAGCCTGCACAGCAGCAGCCTTCCTGCGGGAGTTTGTGCAGTGCCCCCAGTGGGCTCACCTGGATATTGCAGGCGTCATGGCAAACAAGGATGAGGTGCCGTACCTGAACAAAGGCATGGCTGGACGCCCTGTCAGGACACTGGTCCAGTTTGCTGCCAAACTAGCTAACCAAAAATGGATTTAAGAGGCAGTTTTTGGAATAATTTTCAAACCTGACAATACAGCAACATTTCATATTGCACATCCAATACAGATTTACTTGCAAATATTTTGGCAGTCCTTCTGCCACCTTCCTTGTGGCAGTACTACTAGTACTTCCCACTGCTAGCTGACTTTGTATTCCCCGTCATCATGGCTCTTAATTGAAGTAACTGAAACCCCAGCTTTTAGAGGTTTTATGTCAATGTGGGAAATTTATACTCAGGTACTACAGTGGTTTAGGTAAAAATGTAAGGAGGAATGCAATTCTTCAGCTACAAAAATATCAACGCACATGGAGAGGGGACCAAAATACTCCATACTGCAGCTAAATTTCTTTTAATGTCTTTCTTTTACCTTCTTTAATCTAATACTCTGTCATGTCTAACCAATCATGTCTCTGTTGACATTTTCTAGAGAGCTTTTGTTATAGATATAGTTAATCTAAAAAAAAGTGATTCTATTGTCGGTAAAACAGATAACAGCAAATTAGTGTAATAATAAGACATACTGACTCTTTACTGAATAAAGAAACTTGGGAGAAAAAAAGTTAATTTTCGTTTGATTTCCTGTTACATGTATGTGCATATCTGTTACCTATTTCACAGAGGTTTCAGAAGGAACAGACAGGCTACTGTTTGTGACAATTTTAATGATTGTTGCAAGTGAGAGGAACCTCTTTACTCACAATTTGTGTTCACTATACAGTCCTATATATCATATGATATATGACAGCACCATACATTTCTGTGGAATTGATCATAAATATAGAACAAAAGTTGCTATCAGGGCTTTGAAAAACATCTCTTCATTCTGATGCTTCACAGAAGCCATAGAAGTAGGAATCAAATGGTAGTCTCCATACGAGGCCAGTTGGCTTATGGCATTGCCATTTTTCACACTGGCCTCTTCTAGCACTGGTGTCACCAGAGATATCAGAACATCAAAGTATGTAAAAGTAATGAAAAAGGCAATCATATCAAATGCACCTAGGCTAGGTCCTGCAACTAAGCAAGTTCTTTTTTCACATTTGTGGATCATGTGTTACGTGATTGAGACCAGCTCAATATCTATCAAAAATTTCTGTCACTCTGACATCAGAGCCCGTGTGTGGTAATGTAAAGATAAAATAACAACAATGTTCAACATGTCTTCAGAGAAAGATTGGCAACATCGATACTTGTCGTCAAAAGTTCTCCTTGTGAAATTCGAACTTCGTGTGGAACTTGTTCTTCTTCAGACATATCCTTTTGATGCCTTTGGACATTCCCTTAGGCCCGCATAGAAACACTCCTACTGTTGTGCTGAAATGACAAACAAAGAAGCAAACAAGCAATGCATTACTCCTTGAATTAGTTTCATAAAGCAATACAATGGCCCAACTCACCATATTTTCAATCCCTCAGGTTCAGTAGAAATTTCACAACCAGAAAAAAAGCTTTTTTTGGCAGAAATTGATGGCTAACACTAAAGTTAACATTTCTGATTTTGGTCTAACTCATCCATATTCAACCAACAATTGCAAACATTTACACATACAATTAAATATCGCAATTTCAAACTACTATTCTGAGAATTTCCAACATCATATATCTAAAGTTAGCATTGTGACTTGTGAGACAATTCTAGAGTCTTACCTTGGGTTATATCTGGCCACCTCGTCGAAGATATGTCTCCACTGTGGTCGCCCCACGTGTAAGCGGCTGTTCAGGAATGGGTATTCTCTCTCCATTATCTACATCAACAACATGGGGACATACCTTGTCATTCCAGGGGAGATACGTCGAAGAAAAACTACACCTGTCACATGAAAAGTGTGTACTGACATTTGACACATTTTTAGTCTTTTAGTGCTTCATACGACTTTGTTTGGGATAGGGGCGAGGTTTTCAAACAATATGACTGATCGAAGAAATAATTAAGAACAGTATTCTTGACTATCTTACCTGTACATCTCTGCTTCTGGTTAAGTGCAGGTAGATATTCAGGAAATCTGGCCTGTTTTCGTTCCATGCCTGCAAAAAAACTATTGTATTAAGAGCAACGTATACAACACTAAATCATATATTTAGACTTACGGGAAGTATTTTTGGGTTTTATTGACCTTTATTTCTTATGTCTTGCCTGCTTTGATCTCCTGTAATTCTGCCTTTCAATCTTCCCTCTACCCACGAGCTGTCAACCTACTCTGTCCGGGCAAACAGACCCACAAACCCTCAGCTCAACCACCCAGAACCATACATCCGTATTGGGAAGTACATGTAATCATTACTGTAAATGTTTCATGTAAGTACAGAAACTGTAGTGTTTACCTGCCGCTGTAACGAGGAGAGGACTTGCGCGATCCACAGGAACGACGTGATGTTTTTACACACCCAGATCAGGTACAGCCGTCTCAGTCTCGTAGACGTCGTGCCTTCGTTTCTTGAAAGGAAAGCAGGAAGTCATTAGTACAGATCTGATCGCAGCTACCTATCATGTTATGCATCGACTTTCATAAATTTCTCAGAAAAAAATCCAGGGAACGCAGTACATATTGTATTGTTTTAAAGGTACTTACAGTAGATGGTTGAGCACTGAGGCAAAAGGCGTGATGCCGATTCCGCCAGCTATGCACAGACTCACGTCATAGTGGAAGACGTTTTCACTGGGACTGCCGAACGGACCGTCTATGTACAGTCTGGAAACGGATAAAATCATCGTCAAAGCGTTTCATGAGTGCGTTTTAAGACAAAGGCAAACTAACCAGGAAGTACTATAACACGAAAACAAAATGGAGCGACGATTTTTACTTACATCGGGTACTGTCTGTGCATCACTGGTAAACTCTCGTCTGTTTCGTCTGGATCAGGTAGTAGACGTTCATACAGGGATTCTGTGCAGTCAGAAAAAAATGTTTGTTAGTATTCGGAACAACATTTCGTACCAGCAAACTATTTAACTATCAATTTGAAGTATCAAACATATATATAGATTCATTTTGAAACACAATTTTCATTAAAATCTACTCACCTGTCCAATCCCCCATTTTCTGTAGGTGGATACTGAAAGTTGGATCTGTTGAGGAGGGACACTAGATGCAAGACAGGAAAGGAGAACCTTCAGTAAAAGCCAGGTAATTTGGTTTAAGAGAATCCAGGAAACCAAAGAATACGCCAAATAAAATGAATTTCGTTAACGCGTTAAATGTAAATGGTAACCCAAAATAAACTGGGCTGAGAGCTAAGTAACTTCAATTTACCATTGTAAGTGTGAAAGGATGGTACTCCAGAGTTGACACGTCCGGGCAGTTAACGACCACGTACTGTTGGTGGAAAATACAAAAACTGTAAATATTCACAAAAACATAAAGGACATAACAATAGGAAAGCAGTTTAGTCTTCTCAAACTGATTTGAGAAGACGAACTACTTTCTTATTGTTAACCATCCCTGGATGAGTAATCTTCACCAACGTGTAAAGGACATAAGTTGTAAAATGGTTGAAATTGGAAAAAAAGATCATTATAACGCGATGATAATAAAAGGAGGTGTTTGAATATCTGTAAAAGCCCCACACCAAGGCACACCTAATGTCTACCTGCCCTGGTTTGGCCGTGAAGCCGTCCTTGGTCAGCTGTAGTTCCACTACGTCGTTAGGGTGTTCTATGATCCTGTGGACGGCCGCTGGGGTGTTACTCCGTACCAGACGGTACACTCTCTCAGCACAGTACAGACAAAACGGACCCACCAGCCACACCCACACCTGGAGAACGGAGATGTTTTCTCAGGCACTTGTGTATCTTTTCTAACATCCGAAATATAACGTCAACAGTTTCACCTGAAGATCACCATATTATAAAACGGTGAACTAATATTTGGGCATCCAAGACCGTAATGTCTGAACACTTCAGATGCCAGGGTTTCCGGGACATTTTTGAGAATTTCTCGATAATACTTTTTTGGAGGTAATGTTACAAATGCATTCTCGATCGGCAATACAAATAAACATATTCAAAAGAGATTCTTGAACGTTTACATTCTCAAAAGCAGCATGCAGTTTCTGATGGTAGTATCTCTATACCTTACCTTCAGTATGCTGACCTACCCGAGCTATGATCTAGAATCAGCATGCTACAGGTTAAATATAGAGAATTGGGAATGACGTCGACGCTACGTACCTCGACCGCATGGGTGTCAAAGGTGGGAGGCCCTTTACACGTGACTCTCCGTCCAAATTCATCCGTACTTCCTTCAGGAAGAGGTTCCGCCTCCGGTTCTGGATAAGCCATCGGTCCCAGGTACGGCTCCGGTTCAGGTTCAGGTTCCGAAGTCAAGTTCAGGGTGTCATTCGACTCTCCATTGTCCATGAGCATGTGGCATCCAGGCGGGTGTTCCTCCAAGTTCAGCTGCTCTTTCAATACTCCGCTGTGTTCGGGTCAGGGGAAATGTTGAGAGTAAAAATAAGACATGATTATCTTGTCAGGTACGACAACTTTAAAACTTGGACAAGCGCTTAGCTAGTCTGCTGGAGATCGTTCGTCAAAATGACTTCCACAGTTCCTGACAAAGGACAAAGCAACATTGAGCTGACCCATCCAAGTAAACTTAACCCTTTCGAGCGAAAACTAGCGGGGAAGAACTCATAAACTAAAGGACAAAATCCTTCTAAAGTTTATTCAACGGTCGGCCTCTCTTTAATGTTACACGTCGTAAGTTCAACACAGTCATCATTACCTCAACCTCAAACGTAAGAGCTAAATAGAACCGAGCCAGACTCATTGTCGCGACGGGGGGCGATATCAACTTACTGCACCTTTGACACATTTCCGACGTCACGTTTCTGGAAGATTGACGCATAGCAGAAACAAGGAAACGGGAAGTTACGCAATCCCTGACTTCCCTGCTAACTACCGGCCAGATGCCTTCGACCTCCTGTCATTTTGCTTATCAATGTTTCTCCCACCCACGTGCTATCAACCTACTCTATTTAGACAGGCAGACACTCAAACCCACAGCTCAGCCACCCAAAACAATACTTGCATGGATATGAAGACCGACGAAGACTCTCGCAAATTCAAGGTACTAATTTTGTTCTGGACTATCAAAACGTCTTGAAACTTTACAAGACTCTTAAACCGCCTTAAAACTCAACCAAGAAGGAAAAGAAGGAGCCTGAGTAAACCTGTGAGGTCTCACCGCATGGGATGCAGCAGCATGAGGCAGTATAGGATGAGGAAGAGGTGGTGCGTGTACCAGAACAGCTCGTAGTTGCCGGTGCGGATGGCCATGGACGACGTGCTTACGATGAGCAGCAGCAACAGGACCATAGCAACACCGGTCAGCCCGGGCACTGTGCAGGGAAAATTTACTTTTCTATTAATACTAACGATGAAAAAGAAGTAGCATACAAAAAGGTTGTTAGAATATTGCTATTTCCTGAGTTTCAGAGGTCCAAAATGTAGATCAAGACACAATAAAGGAGTCATTGAAAAATAAATTGATTTTACCTGTTGTAAGTAGCACCTGTATTGGGTCCTGCGGAAAAAAGCAGAAAGGTTGCATAGGAATGAAATCTCATATGCAAAGTCCAAATAATACGAAATTAACAATTCTTCCACAAAATAGAACATTGGTGTTTTTTTTTGTCAATAGAAGTCATACTCATTTTCGCATTTTATCTTATTAATAAGAAGAAATGGAATTTTTATTGAATTTTTGGCAAAAATACCTGTTTAGGGTGCGCAGCAGCATTGACACCTGGGTATTTGACGTTGTAATGTTCCGAGAAGTTCAGGGCGTTGTAGAAATGTCCCAGAGTGTGTGTGGCTGGGGAAAAGAAAACAAAAATACAATTCAAAACCATCTCTCTTCTGTATGTACCACATTGTCTTTAGTCTCAACATAAAATATTTGTTGTCTGACCGGCCATACAATAAACCTCAAAGGCGCATGTCACAATGGGGGGCATACACATAACGTTAAATTTGAGCAGGCTGCTTTCAGACTTTGCGGTGAATTCGGGCGCCAATTATGGTGTACGTAGAATGTACTGATTGTGAGAAGTTGGGTAAAACAATACGTTAAAACGATTGATATTGCATTCCATTGAAACTGAAAGGGCACACAGACGTCTCACGCCACTGTCACAAAAGCCCACCCTTCCTGTCAAGACCATGAAAGCTGATTTCTTAGACTGTTATCTTAGGATGGATTCTAACTCCATAAGCATCCTTAAGGTCAAGACTGAAGGCCACACACAGAATCCGACAGGAAAGACATCAACCTCCCAGACTGGTGCTCCGTGGATGTGTGAGGTTCTCGTTAGATGAGAACAAGACATGTTCGTGACCTTGCCTAATGATCAGACAAATGTCACTCCCCCTTTCTCTCATCCACAGAAACGTTGTAGATCGTTAACCTCTGTGACTTTCTCGGCAAGACCGTCTGAACCGTGGCGACGATGGAATCCGCGCCCCCCGACACCACGTCCCGAACACATCACTTCCAGATGCCTCCAGACCCACACCAAACAAGAGCTTTCCTGTTTGTACTTCCAGGGGATAAACAGTTCAACCGACCACTTCTATTTCGCTCAAACTGTTTCGTACCCAACATAAAGGTTTGCTCAAAGACGTAAACGGAAAACCAAGTTGACGAAGTGAATATGGCGCTGTGAAAGAGCAAAGAGGTGTGAGAGGCTAGGACTTGTAGCATCAACAAGCTAGCAGTTGACCGTGAACCCGTAAGCTCGTCGTTAAAAGACAGTTTCTCTTGGATAACAAGGAAGCAATCAAACGAAAATGTCTTCAAGCTGGATAATGAACACGACGACGAAAGATGGTGCAGGTATGACGTCATTGGGTCTACGTGAGCACTAACACGTTTATACCGTGGGCTACATTCGCACGCAACTTTCTGGAACTAGCTCAGCAGTCATATAGTCATGTGTAGTAATATAGCATGGATGCCAGACTATTTCTCGTACCAGATACAGGCTAGCTCCTCAGCCCCAGGGTCTAATGTCCTCTAAAGTGACTCAGGGTTTGTGGCGTCATGTGTGGTAGCCTGGATGCCAGACTTTTTCTCCGGTACCAGATACAGGCTAGCTTCTCGGCCCCAGGGTCTAATGTCCTCTAAAGTGACTCAGGGTTTGTGGCGTCCTGTGTTGTAGCCTGGATGCCAGACTTTTTCTCCGGTTCCAGATACAGGCTAGCTTCTCGGCCCCAGGGTCTAAAGTGACTCAGGCGTTGTGGCAAACTTTCCTCCGAGTTGGCACACTGTCCCTGGAGTAGAGGAGCACGCCTGGGTAGGCCGAGGATATCTGGCGGAATTCTGAGAGTTGGCATAATATTTCATGGATGTGGTAATTCCACTTGTAGTGGTTGTACAGTTTCAAAGTGTCTCTTTTGAAACAAACAGTAGCGGGTAGAAACAGGAAAACCTGGCTCCTGACTCCCGGGACGCCGGGAATCGAACCTGTGCCGAACCCTGGCAGCCAGCTTACGACACCAGCGCGCTAACCACTACGCCAAAAGGTCCGGAATGGATCTTGATAGCGGCGCTTGAACCCCACTACTCAATGAGTTTAATTTCATTTAAATCTCCTTGTCGAAACATTCGCCCGGTGGGTCCAGTCAAGCTTTCTCCATGCATGTCTTTCCGACTAGCTGATCATGACTTGTATGCGCGGTTTCGAATCTCTGTACAAATGTTATGGCAAAATAAATCTTGTTAAGTCAGCATCCAACCCCCATCCATCAACTACAGACAGCTGTCGACTGTTTTAATCAGTTTGGTGTACAAGGAAACCCTATATCGTCTCGTTTACACGGAAGGGCTTTCAATCCAGTAAACTAATCCATCTCTTTTCCTATACAGCACGTCCGATCAACCTGTTACACCCGGGAAAACTGACCGTGACCGTGAGAAGAGAGTTGTTCTAAGGAAAAAGAAGTTGACGTTGTCGGTAATTACACGTCAAGGACTAAGTGGCTGTGTACTTAGTACGTACTTACCGGCGGCCACACATATCGCTGCCCCGCACAGCATGTGAAACTTCCGACTCCCGTCCAGAACCCGTCGTGCCTTCCGTCCTACACACTGGGGAAAAGTGTCGGATGATACAAAGCGTTTCTTTTGTGCAAAATCAACGTAATGACTATGTACCAATATGTTTATTAGCAACATGTAACAAAAGACAACAGAACACAACAAAACGTAAACTATTACTTCTATAAACCGAGTGATGACTTTGTCTTCCCACATGCTAGGCACGTCAGCGACACTGACAGGCAGTGAGTAAGGAGGCACTTGCAGGCAGGCAGTTACTGATGAGTTAGGTCATAATAGGTTATAAAAGGATCTCACTTCCTGTCTTCCATTTTTCTTATGCTATGTTGTCTTTGAAGATGCTCCTTATGCAATGTCATGTGTGTGTCAAGTACAGCAGTCCGTTGTCCGCTTTTAATTCATTTATTTTTACTTTTCCGTCTACCTTCAGTGAAGGAAAATTCTGTTTGTTGTTGTTGATGTGTTGACGTTGTTTTCTTCTTCTTACCTGTGTGGAGCCCCTGATGACAGCCAGCACAGTCCTACACATGGGCAGCAGGACGAGCCCACAGTTGAGGTTGAGGACGGAGGCGGACGCGCGGGACACACACAGACCCAGCTGTGGACACAGGGATGACGTCATTGTCAATCACACGTCATCCAATGACGTCATTAGTATCAGGCGTCATTGATAGACGATGATAAATCTGATGGTAATAGCCTCCGATACAGACTTCTACTCTCGAAGCACAGGTTGTGGGGGAATGATCGTTAGCTCTTTATATATGGCCCTTTTTTTTGTCGGTACCCCCATCAACCCGTCGGTGGCCGGCGACCTTCCCTGGCTAATGGATACTGCCTGGCCAAATTAATACTGTCTTTTTGCCACCGAAAGGGATCTGCTTGGAGATTAACAGACTCCCCCGGCGGGCAATTTTTTTCAACTACACGCTGATACTGGGTTTGCTTGTCTGATTGCTTGCCCTTGGGGAAAACCAGGAACCCGGTTGCTATCCCGGTCCAAAACTGTGATATTGGGAAAAAAGAACATGAAAACTTAAAACAGACAGTGGAGTCTGCAACAGAGGCTAATAATTAGCCTCTGTTTTTACAGACTATCACAGTAATATATGACAAATTAGCCGCTAATTTGTCATATATTACTGTGATAGTCTGTAAAAACATTATAAAGTTGAAAAGCAGATGGACTAAGGATGTAGTTTCTTATGCACCATTATGGTTATGCACCAAAGTTTGAATGATTATGTTTAACGTTAACCACTGAGTTGGTTGAAGACGCATACCTATTCGTTGTTGACCGTGAGGTTAGGCCCTATGCAAGGAACTGAAACTTTGACCGAATCACACACATGAGCAAGGTGTCGCTGGCCTGGATGCTTTCGGTGCCTTCTCAGGCTAGCCCCCCTCAGGGTGTACTAAATCTTGCCCTGTGTGTCAGGTCCTAGGCTAAAGCTGATGGCCTGTGTAGGTCATGGAAACAGCCTACTGCTCAGTATCTGAGAAGAGCAGCTGATTTCTGTACAAACACGGACTGTGTATTTATTTACAGCAGTCTGCTCACCCGAGTCGTTCTTTTCCCCAAGGCGCTGATAGATTCAAGTTTGTGTCGTCTATGGCCTAGCCTCTCTGGTATATGCTCTATTTAACCCTGACTTTGCTTTCTTAGAACACATTAGAATTCGGATGAAGGTGTACTTAACTTGCTTCAAGTCATATTTCACGGTGTTGGTTTGATCAAGGACATTATACAGAACATTCCGTATAATGTCCTTGATTTGATCGATAAACATTAGAATAGCTTCAGTACAGATGCCTTGTTATCAATGAGAAAGCACAATAATTCAAACGTACATTTATTTTTCTTCTCAATATGGATTGGATATCATCTTTTGCAGTCCATACATTGACCGCGTCATTGACCGCGTCAAAAAGATCGAATGGTTGTTTATTTAAAAACATTCTAGGTCGCAAATGTAAAGGGACGGGTTGGGATTTCACTTGGGAATGTTTAAAAGTTTTTTACAGTCGAAAAATAAAATGCATCAAGTTGTCTTTAGTCTTCAGAAGACTCAGGGGAAAGGCTAGGCTGCTGCCTGCTGACGCCTTCTATTGGTCTGGTAGATAAAAGCTAATACTAGTGTTAGGGCCATCATAATATATGGCGTCATATCGGGGACTTAACCAGCATCAACAAAAGGGCCAGTTGGTGCACAGATCACTTGTCATTGACCCGAGTGTTTATCAACTCACCAAGGCCTGTTTGGAAACGGAAGAAATGTTTGTTTGCTGACCGGATTTGAAAACGAAACATCTGCGGCGACCAGCAAGGGTTGATATCACAATGGGTTGATATATCATGATACAATAGCTGGGCGGATACATTCACTGCTCCAAAGCCTGTACATGTACCATACATTTGTATGCAAACGATATTGTCCTACAATATTTGTCGTCAAACTAACGTCGACAATGCAAGAATCTACGTCAACCTTTTCTCTCACGACAGCTTCGACACACATACGACTGCCCCAAGAATACTCTCAATTTTCTGCCGTGAAACTATAGTGCGACCAATGGGACTGGCCAGATCCTTTTTACGTTACAGACATCGTAAATATAACTAAGCTCACCATCTCGACGTGCTTAGATGCAAAGGCTGATATTTTAGACAGGTACAAATTCAGACCATGTTCCCCTTCAAGTCTCATTGTAAGAGATCCCAGGAGCATGACAGCATGGTAAATTGGTGAAACAACAGAGAGGCGGGGACCTGAGCGGAGATGGGCAGTTTGGAGACATTCAGATTAAATATTTGTGACCGGGGTCTGAACTCTACAAGCGATGCCATGTGAGAGACCTTGTTCTTCCCAGAGTCTTGGGAACTTGTTTCCACCACACTTTGCTGGTGGCTAAAAATACGTAGAAAGAGGCCAAAATTGAATAGCCCGGGTGCCAGACTGTTAACAGGGCCTACATAGGCCAGCTCCGCGGATTTATTGTATGCCCCGAACGACATTTTTCCAGAGTTCCCATGGGTTAGACTTAGAGACTACATGTACATATTTGCTTGGAGGTGGAGACAATACTTGGTGGAGGTTATATCCAAACACTTTTAGTATAAGATGCACAAAAAATCGCAACTGTTTTCCGTTTTACTGTACATTTGGAAAGCAATGATCGAAAGTGAAAATCCTCCACACTTGTGAACATGTAATGTGTGATAAATAAAGGTTATCGTTATATATTACATGTGCCCAATTGCATAGATGAAAAGCCTTCACATTTCAGTACTCCCTAGTCAGTAGAAACAAAGTACAGTTGGGGTTTGATGAATCTGATACACCGCCGCATGTACGGAACACTAAGCTTCTGTTGAGAGAAAAGCCGACGGCTTAATTTGACATCGAGACAGGCGTTATCAGATATCAGGGTTTCCCCGGTATACAGAGTCTCAAGGACGGAAGTCCGGGCGTCTGGTCACGACAAGACCGCAAGTCAGCAAAAACGTGTTCCTAGATCCTCAGTTTTCCCAATGAGGCTTAGCGGGCACTTAAAGTGGTACTAGTTATGTCTAGTATATTATATATAATATAGACATCGTTAAGGCCTCCATTTCCACTAGCCTGGATGCCATACTCGCCTTGCTCTTTAACTTGCCGTTCATCAACTTTATGTCAAAAAGTATCGGCTACGACTACGAGCATCTTTCCTATCGCTTTTGATGGAGACAATCTGATATACAAATGTAATAAAAGCCAACAAAATCAGCCCCGGTCAAAGAGACTAACATTTCAGACAGCCAAGGTCGCAGAAATTTCACCCATTTTGACCGTAACTAGACACAGTAGGGGAAGAATGTGGTTTTTGTTTCTCAATTTATTCCTTTTCCACTCCAGCTGAGGCAGTCGGCGAGCTGGAATAACAAACATGATCAAGCCTGAACAAAGAGAAGGGACACACGGCGGTAAGTCTTCCCGTATAACCAAAACTAGTACCTGTACTGTCTGGTATTTCTGAACGGGTGAATGAATGGGAAATACTATTCAGCTATGGTGTTCAGAGCGCTATTGGAGGCTATGAACAAGGTGTTTTAGGTTCCGAGATCTACCGTACTAATGAATGGTATCAAATGACTGATCCGTGTCGTCTGCGCCCAGTGTGGTGAAAGGTCAAAGGCCACACGGGGAATTCAAAGTCACCGACACCGTGGACTTCAAACACCACATGCATAAGTAACAGTACATTCAATGTGTACTACTAATAACAATGGTGCTTCTAAGATATTTCTATACTTTATGTTACGTGTGAATATAGACAACATTTCCTTCGTGAAAAGGGCCTTCAAAACATAATGTACAAAGTTCCATCAAGTTCTAAAACATTCGTGGTTCTATAAACTTGGCGTACTTACCCCCAGCATCTCGTGTAGGTAGTAGTACCTGGGTTCGTACATGTACTCGGTGAAGGTGCGGTGGAACACCAACACGTTGGCAGCCAGCCATAAGAGCTGTGGAAAACAAAGACAGGGGTCGTGATTCAGGTTTTTTTTTTCAAGGGGTAATACTGCCGGGGATTGTTTCCCGCGTGTGGCTCTGTGGGAAGTCCGTCAAGATCTTGACCAAAAGAACCGGTCGGCTAGTCTAACAATAAACATCACGTATTTCATCTAGTCTACATCGGTGAGAACAAAATTGACAGCTACACATAGACAGCAATGTTCAGAACAGAATACAGACTACAGAAATTGTAAGAGCCTTATAAGAGAACTTGTGCTGACAATGAGGCAATCTCTTTAAAACAAAAGGACATTTCCCCAGAATAGAATATGCTGTTGACTTACCAAAGCGAAGTAGGTAAGTGCATCGTTCGCAGCCCAGTTGCGGGCAGATCTAACCATGGCCTTGGGTCTGTGGTTCTCCGAGACACAGCCGCTCACAGGAACGATGTTACACAGCTCACTCCTCTGGATACCCCGCCGCCAACAGCCAAGAACACCGTGGTAGACTCCCGAGGAAAAAAAGTCTGGATTGAATTACTCCGTGCCCACTGCCCGGCGCTCTCTCCCGGGTTTGTCTCCACCAGCCCGGCTTCCAATCGTCTGAGTCTGACGCAAACAAAACATTAGAATACATTAGCATTATAAATAGCAAATTGTTATCAAATCGGCGACGATTTGTCAAATTTGATCCGCGGTACAAATGAGGGGTAGTTTTCTGAACAAATGGCTACCCGCGGGGAAAACTCTTTATCGAAGTCGTGTCAAAAAGCCACCGTTTCCGACACGCCACCGCCCGAGGTTTATTAAAGGCCTACTTGGATTTAATTGAAGAACGGAAGTTACTTGATCTCGAGCCCTGGGTACTGATGACTGTTATGTGTTGTTGACCTAACAGCTGTTAAAATGATAGCCAAGGCCGGCTCGCTTGGAGGAGAGTTTCATCACCTACAAAATGACAAGGCAGGCGGATGGCACACGGCCAAGTTAGTTGTGAGGAGGACAGCCAACGTTGTTGTCAAATGTCGAACGTGTTGTTAACTCGAGAAGCATAGGCTGGATGTCACCCGGGTTAGGATAACGTGTCTGCTGTGATTGTCAGGGGAGTTCGTGGCTATCCGAGCCCTGCAGAGGACGTGACCTAACATGGCTGGCATCCAGGCTATTCACAAGAAGTCTCTGAAGTCGTTATCCTGACCAGGGGACCGGCTCCTTCTAAAGTAAGTGGAGGGAAGTGACGACCTTCAACATACTTTAGATCAACAGTGAACTGCTGTAAAATTGCTAGCCTGGAATCCATCAGTGAACGCTTTATCTCCGCTCCGTTCCTCCGCTCTGCCTTCAGAGAAGGATTCCAGGCTATAAAATTGCTAGATTGTGTTAAATGTAGGAACTATCAAAACAGTAATGAAGAACGATTATAGCACAAATCAAAGGTTGTAGACGTCAAGGTGTGAAGTTACCAATCTAGGTTCCAATACACACCGCGGCGTGCATGGCCACGGAAGGTGGCAGACTGTAAATCAATGATCCGTGCAATAGACCACGGGTACGGTATCGGCTCAGTGGCAAGTCCCAGAGGGTTTCTGGCCTATGTCAATGTCAAGTTGCGGAAATTAAAGGAACAAGTGGGGCTTCTTGTCGCCCACTACTAGTGAATGTTACCACGAAGCATTTATTGTGCAATCATAAACAATCGGAGGATCTATGACCATGGAGGTAGTCTCTTTTACCTCAATGCTGAGTATGACAAATTATAACGTGGCAAGTGTATATGATACAGTAACGTTACATAAAGAAAAAGAGTTGTTGTAAGGCGGAAAATGGTCACTTTAGTCCTGTTAGTTAACATATGTAAGTGTATGAGGAGACCACCAAGAAAAAGGTCAAGAACCGGAACCTTTTCAAAGCCCGTCCAGGTACAGAAAAGTGTTTCGAAGTTGTGTGTCTTGGCCCTACGAGACTCTCCTCATACGGTAGCCATCTACGAGTACATCTGCCGTGATAATGTCCTGATCTTTTCCAGACCGCTACTTCTTTAAGAAAGAGGTTTTCTATTAAAAATGTAGGTGAGGGACTCGTCTGATAAAACAAATAGTGCATTAGCAGCATAGCAATCTCTTCTGCTGCTGCAAAATATAAGTCTGGGCATCGTTTAGATACACGGTGATAATCCTATAATTTCTCACTTTAATTTAGACATATTGGATGCAGTGTCTCTTGTTTGGGAAGGACTTGAAGTATCAATTTCACAGTAGCTGGAAATGGCGGCTTGTGTTGACACTACCGCGGGGGGTTCTTTTCCCTGGTTTATGAACTCAACATGAGTAGTGTTGAGAGATAGCGGGGCCTGTGATCGCACCAGGGGAGGTTTGGACAGGGGATTCTAGGGTTTACTTTTGCCAGCGATGATCTAATTTGTCAATTTGACGAGCTTCACAGCTCCCTTTGACTTTCACTGAAGGAAAGGACGGATCAAAATGTTATGAAAAATGGAAGGGGTAAAGTCCATCAAGCCAAAGAGCTTCCATCAATGACGAAAGCTCCTTGATCAAGCGGAGCTCACGTTCGAAGATTTGGTTTAGGTCGATCAGGAAAACAAGGTTTGTAAACAAATTAGGTATTGTAAATAATAATATCACAAGATTACAACGCTAAGTTTGTCAAAAGTCTTTTTTTGTCTCGTGCGTCAAAATCAAAAAGGTACTAGTAGAACATTTTCTCATCTGACAAAAAAGTCGTCTGAAAACTTGCTATGGGCTAATCATAGCAGATGTCTGTTTTCGTAAGTTAGAAAATAAGCACTACATACACAGAAGGCATGTGAAAACTCTTAAGACTCTGTGATATTAACCGAAGGAATTAAAGTGTCTTTATTTACGTGCAAAAGTACATTGCAGTTTGACACTTTTTTGTCCGGACAGAAGAAACGTCGTCTGCTAGACGCATTGACTCATGGGAGTCCTTACTGGGCATGCGCAGTAGATCCTGGCAACCGACCCAAACATCCAACATGGCGGCAACTCAAACAGATTTGAGCACGATTTAGAGCAAATTTTTACTTTCAAGATCTTTAAAAGTACACCACAGGACTGAAATATGCCCCCGAAGAGAGCTAAGAGTGGGGGTGGGTCCGCTGGACTGGCAAAATGGGAGCAGGCCCTCTTGGAAGCCCAGTTTGAAGAGGTAAACTTTGTGTTCAGTTTTTCGTTCAGGGAAAGTTTGTTTTTCCCGACTACCGATTTTGTGTAGTGTGATCTTTTGTGTCCTTTACAATCGAACAGGCTTGATGGTTTCGTACAGAAATTTTTCTAATATCTTGCATATTCACATAAAATCATATTAACAAACTGCAGTCTCGCTGTATAAAAGACTACGTTTGCTAGTGGTAGCAACATACTTTGTGTGGAGGGGCTGGGGGAGGGGGGCGTTTTGTACGAAGAGCTCAAAATCAGTGCACAAATATTTGCAAATTTAAATTCAACATGGCATATACTTGAGTGTCAGCGAAGCTTTAATTTTCTATGTGAAGTTCTGCACTTTTTAAAAACAACCTGGCCCTTGTTCAGAAATTACAAATTAATAGGCTGAAGAGCGATCTGAAAAAAAGTAACTGTTACTTAACTGCACTCCTTATTCATGTGATTATGAAGTGGTTTCATTTTGCAGTAGGAAGCTAAATGATTTTTCCGTAGTTGAAACAGTTCTGTCATACAGGAACAGGTATTCGCAGCAGTGTAATGAATTCACGGTGAGCTAAACATGAAAACATGAAGATAAAACCACCACATTTCAAGCATTTCAAGATCCACAGTAAAAACCCTTCTCTAAAGTGTTCAAGTGCCCACGACAGTTTATCGTGATAAGCAGTTTAAACAATGATAGCATGGCCATTAGGGAGTGAAGATATAGTCAGCTTTAAGATTTACACCCAGCCCTTTGGTAAGTGTGCTTCTATATAAGTATGTTGACCTCTTGCTCAATTTTGTATCTAAAATGTCTGAGAACAGAGAAGTTAAATTGGTGTGGCCTAAGCCAACTTGACCTCTTTAATCCATGCCAGTTTAAACAGTCTAGGTTCACCGGTGCTGTGTTCTGTATCTGTTAATCAAACAACAACATACTGAACAAACTAAAAGGAGCTGAAGACAAATTCAGTAAAATAAGTGTAACTCCCGATCTCTGCAAAGAGGATCGAGAGAAGATCAGACAACTAGTACAAGAAGCAAAAAACCGTACAAAGATGGAAGAAACGGGGGAATGGGTACATCTAGTAAGAGGAACCTTCCCCAAAATGGAAATCAGGAAAATAAGGAAAAGAAAATTGGATACTCAAACAAACGAATAAGATCTGAAGAACGTAGGGTCACAGCAGATGAGAAAACTAAGAACAGGAACAGTACCAAGAAAAAACTTCACATTGTATATACAAACATTGACTGCATCACAAACAAGAAGAATGAATATCTCGTCATTATAAATGACCTACAACCTGATATTATAATAACAACTGAAACAAATCCTAAGAGTTCGAGATTCCGTATGACAAAAACTGACCTACATATCGATGGCTACAACTTATTTACAAATGCTGACCAAGCAGGGGTCAGAGGAATAGCAGTACACATGAAATTTGATCTAGTGGCAATGGAACCAACTCTGAGCTGCCTGCGACAAGAGTGTGCATCGGAAATTGTACCAGTCGAGGTCAGACTAGAAAACAACGATAAACTGATAGTTATCGCTGTCTACAGAAGTCCGAACTCAATTCCTGAGAATAACGAAAAAATAAACAATATCATAAGAAATATCAGTGGAATGGGTTATTCACACATTTTAATTGCTGGAGACTTCAACTTCCCTGACATAAAGTGGCTAGAGGGAACAGGAACAACCCAGACCAAAACCAGTGAAGCAAATAAGTTTGTGGAAGCGTCTAAACTCTAAAGACTCCTATCTTTATCAGCACGTTGTTTTCCCAACACGGCACCAAATGAACCAAGAGAGTCATATCTTAGACCTCGTTCTCACCAACGAAGACAATATGATTAGTGAAATAAGTACCAAACCCCCTATTGGAAAAAGTGATCATATTGTGCTGACTTTTGATTACAATTGCTACTCTGAAAGACAAAACATGGGTAGAAAATCTCGACAATACAATAAAGGAAACTACGATGCTATGAGAGAGGAACTGAATGATAATTGGGAAGAAAACCTAAAGGACCTTAACACTGAGGAAAGCTGGGAGATCTTCTCAACGAGAATGAGAGAGTCAGTGAAGAAACATATTCCAAGTACCAAGGTTAAAGGCAAAAAAAGGAGACTCTCCTGGAAAGATAGTGAAACAACCTCGAAATTGAACAAAAAGCAAAGAGCATGGAAAAAATTTTGTAAAACCAAAAGCAACGACGACTTCAGGGCATATAAAAGAGCTCGAAATCAAGCACGTTGGGCCACTAGAAAAGCGGTTAGGAATTACGAGAAGCTGAAGGCAAAGAACATTAAAAGAAATACAAAACTTTTTCTGGAAATATGTAAACAAGAAGTCAAAAACCAGGCAGGGTATACCAGACTTACAAGATGGGCCAACAATGGCCACTACTGACACAGCAAAGGCTGAAGTGTTGAACAAGTTCTTTGTAAGCACATTTACTATTGAGGATACAGAGTATATACCAAACCTCTCAAACGTCAGTATCAAGAGGAGTTGACAAACATTGAACTGACCACCGAAGAGGTATACAAGAGACTAAAAAGTCTGAACCCTAACAAATCAATGGGACCTGATGATTTGCACCCCAGAGTTCTGAAGGAATTGGCTGAAACCGTAGCGACACCGCTTCGGATCATATTTAACAAGTCGTTAAGGTAAGGCCAACTACCCGTAGACTGGAAACAAGGACACATTACCCCCATTTATAAAAAAGGATGTAAGAAAACACCAAGCAATTATCGGCCTGTGAGCCTTACGTCTGTACCTGGTAAACTGCTAGAAGGATTTGTGAGGGACAGGCTACTGGATCATATGAAAACAAATGACCTTTTTACTTCATGCCAACACGGTTTTTTGCCGGGTAGATCGACCACAACACAGATGTTGGAATGCCTAGAGGTTTGGACTGATTGGCTTGACCAGGGGTATCCAGTGGATGCCATCTATTTGGACTTTAGAAAAGCATTTGACTCTGTACCAATCAAGAGATTGTTAGCCAAAATTGAGAGTTACGGATGTAAAGGGAATATTCTTCAATGGATCAGTTCTTTTCTGCAGGGAAGAAAACAGAGAGTCTGTGTGAACAATAGTAAATCAGAATGGGCAGACGTAGTGAGTGGAGTCCCTCAAGGGAGTGTTCTCGGTCCTGTTCTCTTTACGTTGTTCGTCAACGATATGCCTGAAGTTGCAACAAGTATGTTGAGGCTTTTTGCAGATGATACTAAAATATTCAGAGCAGTGGTACAGAAAGGGGACTGTGAAAGTCTTCAACAGGACTTACAAAATCTTCAAGAATGGGCCATGAAATGGCAACTAAAATTCCATCCGGAAAAATGCACAGTCCTTCGAATTGGAAAGGGGCACCCAGTTTTTGAATACACAATGGCAGGCACATCTGGGAGTATCCCCCTAGCAGCAACGACTACGGAGAAGGACCTGGGTATATTAACGGATAAAGACCTTACATTTAAGGACCATATACACACAATTGCAAACAAGGCAAACCAGTTAACAGGACTACTGTGGAGAACATTTCAGTTCATCGATCAAGAAGTATTTCTCCTGCTTTTTAAAGCCCTGATTAGGCCACATTTAGAATATGGAGCCTCTGTTTGGTCTCCGTACAGACAGAATCTGATGCTTGAATTAGAGAAAGTCCAAAAAAGGGCCACAAAAAGAGTTCCGGGGTTGAGCAACCTAAAGAATCTTACGAGGATAGACTCAGAACTCTGAAACTCCCAACATTGGTCTACAGGAGAATTAGGGGAGACCTAATCAACACGTACAAATACATGCATGGTCTGTTTGACACACAGAACCTGTTCCAACAAAAAGCAGATTCAAGGACAAGAGGTCATAGCTTGAGAATAACAAGGAAGACCTTCAAGGGGAATACAAGGGCATTATTCTTTACAAGCAGAATGGCCAACTGGTGGAACAGTCTTCCTGAAGAAGTGGTCTCTGCACCCTCGGTAAATGCCTTCAAGAACAGACTTGATAAATACATGGAGAGTCATCCAATTATGTACAATCACACGGCCCTGGATTGCCCGCATAGGCCGGGAATGACAGTCCGGTAGAGCAACGAGCAGCCTAAACTGGATGGATACCTACCTGGCTGAAAGGATCTACTATCTACTATCTAATGTCCAACACATTCAAGGCTGACCCACTTAAAAACACCTGTTTAAATAGTACAGCTCAGTACTATACAGTATGCCATGATAGGTCAGTTTACTAGCCTGGTATCCAGTCTTGCACAATGTATATAAGTATGTATATATATCTCCGTCTTTTAGTGGACCTAAGCCATACAACAGCTCAGGGTATATCGTCAAACGAAAGTTGTCAAAATCATACATTGACGGTATTGGAAAATGGGTCCCATCTCTCTTCTTCCACTCAGTCTCCCATTTGCACCTGGGTAGAGTGAGGAGGGTCGTGTTATGTGCCTTTCTCAAGGTCACAATGTCTAGCCAGGACAGGTGGGATTCAAACCCGTGACCTCTCGATCCCAATGGCCTCTTACCACCAGACGATCAACACCACTTTGATATATAATGTACATTTGTGTATCATGTATGTCACGCCTAAATTGCAGTCAGATGTCGTCTGAAAACCATCTGGTTTGATTTGTTTGTCAAAACATAATGATCGTCTATCTAACATTTGCAGTTCCTTTATAAAACAAGCTCGGTACCTTTAGCCAAAGTATAGGTCTAAACCCTACATGAATATCTAAGTGTACAGGTGTACTCACAGTCAGAAAAAAGATTCTTACTCTAATTTTGTGTGCACAAAAGTCCTCATACACATTGTCTTTTGAGCCCTGTTTGTACAAGTGTTTTAGTTCATAACCTTGACAGATGTCAGACTACACACTTACTTCTGGCCTGTCAGCACCAACCAATTAGAGTTCAACTGGCCAGTCAGGATGTCTTGTCTACGGCATCACAGAACACAGTAGTACTTTGTCACAGAATGTACATGTCTTAAACTGCATTGATTGAAGAGAAACACAAAGACTGAGCTTGTACAATAGGCAAATTGCAAAGCTAAAGATGTATTGTTCAGGCATTCAATTTCACAGTAGGAAGAAAATTTGGGGTTTAAGGTCTTTAAAATTTGGTTGGCACACGAAGTTCATTACTGATGGAAAATCTGAATTGTTTTTGGTGTGATGATTTTGCTGTAGAGAGGTCATTGTGAAAACCACAAATATCAAACTATGGCAAATATTTAAAGATTTACTCCAACTTCTAAGTACTGTGTAATACAAGCATTTAAAGTGATGGTACCATCAAAATATACGATTTTTTTTTCAACAGGTACATGTATATACAACATACACTGAAAATTTCAAGGGATTCTGTAAATATACATAATGAGGACCATGGAAAAGCGCTAGCAAAGTGGAAAACTGCATTTTGAACATTTCAGGGACATCTGTCAAATTATTTCTATAGTCTTTTTCCTGAATTCTAGAATTTAACTATACAATAATAAATCACAATGTGATATCAGTCCAAAAACACTTAAAAAAGGCACGAACCTTAACCACCCAAAGTGGTATTTCTTGAGACAAGCCGACTCTTGGTCCGGAAGTCTTCCTGCCCCCTAAAGGTCTTGAAGGCAGCGGTGTGAAGACTTGTCTACATCCAAGTAGAGGGGGAAGAATGTAAATATTTTCCTTTTAAAACATCTGGTTGTCAGATTGACAAGGTCACACTAGTCAAACAGTCTTGAGGGTCTGCATGGGGGATGCTCTACGGGGATGTCAAGAAAATGGATTTTTAGGAGATAAAGTATTAATTAAAAGTTCTACAAGTAATTTTGTAATATTGGTCCAATTCTGTAATGGTTCATCTTTGGAAGACTTGAAAGAGTGGGTCAAATTGGGATCCGGTCCTTTTTTGTCCTTTTTTGGGCAGAAGTGACTTTGGAATGGCCCATTCTTGCATGTAGCAGGGATAGGGAGTGAAATATGCCGTAGTTGCTCGCAAATGTAGCCTTTGTAGTGGCTAACAGTATTTCCTATGTCATGGCCACTCCATGTAACAGTGTACAGGACTATGTGGCCGTTCTACATTGTTTCCATACCATTGTCGGTCATTAGACTCTCTTTGAAGGGCTTAGACAGCATTAAAGCCATTATTTACTGTGGATACATGAGACTTTCTACTCACTCATCCCTACACAAAATTGACACATCAAATCAAAGGTTATCATACCAACCATATATCAAATCAATATCTAATTCTAATAAATTGCTCTTAACTAACGTTTAATCAAATGATGTTACTGGTTTAATATATGGTCATTCTAAAACAGATTTTGTATATAACCTTTTATACTAAAGATTAGTAAAACATGTGATCCAGTTTCGTAGGTTTGACAGGTTATTACTAAAAATTTGACTTACCTGTTTTATTAAAGATTAAAGGCAATGTGCGCACACATGTGTATGGGCTTCCGTTCTTACTATATTTGTCAGGAAGGATTTATGAGGGCTGAAGTGACCTGTAGAGTGAGAACGGGGTCACTGAACTTGGCTGCCACCCAGGAAGAAAATGTCCCCATAGTAAAGGACAACTTTGTAATGATAAATCAGACTTTATACTTCAGTTGTTCCATGTTGTATGTTGTTACAGAAGTATTGTTTTGGGTGACTGGCCAAAAGGTTTGTGTATGTGTCTGGACAAAGTAGGGAATGACAACTCTTACATGGATGTGGGGAAGCTATAATTTTCATTTTCTGTTTTTCTCACTTCAACATCATTCTGTAATTAATACATGTCAACTTGATTTTTCCCATTCAAGTGTATAATTTGATAGATTAAAACCCCAATGGAGCTTCCTCTGTGCTCATTACAAAAGCCACAGGAGCCAATTAGAGGGCTTGTACTATAACAGCTGGATGTTTGCTCCTGATCCTTTTGACCTGGAAGTATGGAAAGTTCTCATTGGCTGATGACCTTGGCCAGTAACCTTCCCAGCAGGCCACGTGGCCATCAACTTAACCTTGCCCTCATCAAGGTTTAATAGGCCTCCTTGCCCTCATCTAATATTTCACTCAGACACCCAAATAACCACTATAGACTGTTTCAATCAAATGGCTAGAAAGGAGGAGCAGACTTTATGGTCTGTAAGGAATAAAAGTTGGACTAAAAATTGGAAGGAAAAAAAAACTAACTGTCCATAGAGGGAAAAATCAGAAGTCTCAACTATCTGAACACATTAACGATTCATAATATCAAAACAAAAAAGTGTCCAATTTTCTGTTAAACAGAATTTTCTGTTAAACAGAATTTTCTGTTAAACAGAAAATTAAACTGATTTAAAAAGCAATATTCTACACTAGAAATCTTACCTTCTGTATTTCAATAACTACATATTATAAAGTCTACATTTTACCAACACATTTCTTTACTATTTTTATTTAACTAACACTCTGTTGATAATTGTTATTGCAGGAAGAATGGAAGCCAAACGTTACGCTTGTTGTGGGAAACAAGATGGAGGACTATCGACACGTGGACGCCCTCCACGCGGTCGTGGCTATCCCTCAGCGGAAACTCTACAGTACCGTCTCCAAGGCTGACCTCTTTGAACAGGTAACAACAAGAACACTACATTTTCGGTGGAAGTAAGACTTTGAACTACGACCAGTTCTCATTAGCATGTAGAAACATTATATTTCAAGATTGGACTGTAAAAAGAAATGAAGGTCGAAGTCATAACTTTCAGGAAAAATCGTCCTTAAAAATTACTTTTTTTTCTGACAAGAGAGACATGTATTTCTCTATATCATTTTGTTCTACAGGTAAAGGAACTTGGCAATCCAAAGGCCAAGAAGGGAAAGGAGACCCCACAGTTCTATGAGATCTGTGAGTCAGTGAAGCCCATGTTAGATGAAGGTCTGGAGGTGCCCATACTGGTCCTGGCCAAACTACTCAAGTTCAAGCTGCTAGACATCAAGGCCAACGACCTCAAGAGGCGAGAGGCTGAGAAAAAGGTAAGGCAGACATTGGTAAACAGATACCGTACATTAGGAAAGTTTAGCGTGAGTTTTATTTCAACAGTCTTGGTGTGAATCAACTTAAGTCAACCCAACCTTATAATATCTGATTACTACAATAAAGATATCTAAGTTTGATTTTTATTCCAAATCCTTATATTTTAGCCTGCGAAATTAAAACACTTTACAGTACTATCTCATAAAAGTAGCCAGATGGCTGACCTTGACAATGGCTTACAAGGGGCTTGACATGTACATGTAACACTGTGCAGCAACTGTTACAATCTGTAATGTCTAACAGACTGTTTATAGATAAGATGGACCAATGGACTGATGAAGTCCTTCTTAGGTGCCAATTGTTTGCAGACATTCTACCACATCTTCTCAGTTTTTTCTCAAAGCCTGCATTGACCATTTGTTTCTCAAAGTGCCCCGTCCAATTTATTTTCTTCTGTCCTTTTACAATCTTTCTACTCAGCGCTGACATTTGTTTTGGGGAAATGGGTGCACAGGTGTTGAGTTGCACAACATGAAATATTCAAATTGCTTACTCCTAAAATGTCAGCAACATCTGATTACATACCTTACTGCCTCTCTTATAAGAAGTTGAATCAAAAATTCTACAGCTAAGCTTCAAATTTCTAGACAGCTACTTACAACAGAGGTTTGAAAATGTTGTTTTAAATCTTCTGTAAAGTCTAATGTCCCTGTTACACATCCCTTACCTGCATCAAATCAAACAAATGAAGTAACATACCTTATCTTACAGTAGAGACCTGGTCTTAGTCCACATACCAGCAGGTGTTGAACTTCTTTCCCTTGTCTGTCGGCCCTCGAGTCCGGGAGATCTGACAGCAAACAGTCACACTACCCTATCTCTCAACACAAATACATGTACACTGCCACTCACTATATTCACTGACTCGGGTTTCAGGTCAGGTGTGTTATGTCTACCCACAGTCTTGCCCTCCCCTAAGTTTTATCAGAAATCAAATGCGATGTTAAGGGCAAGGTTCAATGTCAAGATTGCTGGAAGTATTTCTGTGTAAGGGGAGTCAAGGTCACGGTATGGCATGTTGAAGTGCACATGTATCACTGGCTGATAAAATACTGTACATCTTGAAATTTTAGTGGTGTCATTTTTTCATGTTTTTTCGGGTTAGCTCTCCATTGCAAAATCATGACACTTAAATAATTATGCATTTTCATTGTATTAATACAGGTAACTTAACTACAAAATTCCTTCAATTGTAAACTCAAGAAACCCCTTCAACTGCAAAATTAAGTCTCTGCAAAAATAGATAAATCTGCAGTACCCTCATATTGTCTGGTATGTTGCGGTAGGCTGCTGTCAAGTAATCAGCTACCTTCTTGTAAGACAAAACAGTGGCTTAAAGAAACAGGACCTTAAGAAACAAGGCTCAATGTCAAATGTCGGAAATTAATTAATAGACATCAAGAAACAAAAGAAAAACTGTAAGACTGTACCCTATTGGGGGTTGGTTATGTATGATTTAGAACAGCAGTCCTGATGTGTTGTGGCCGTGTTTGGGGTGACTGACATGGTGACAGTCCCCAGGCACACTGTATACAGACTGTTCCATTTACTTTACAATAACTTACATGATTGTATGTAACCAGTTGAACTTCAAAAGGAAAAACATATGGAGTTGTTTGAATTACAGAAGGAACAAACAAAAAACTGAATCGGAAAGTATATATCAGATATCTTATGAGATAAACTATGTTGAGACAAATTTTTATATTTTAAGGAAATTGAAAGAAAAAACAAACTAGCTCTTCCCAAATTTTTCAAACCAATTAAAATAAGCTAACAGTCAAGCCTATGTTAATAGACCTAGAATATGTTTTAAGAAAATCAACATTTGAAATTATACAAGTCTTATTTTTCCTTATTTTGATAATTATTTGAATAAGCAATTTTTGCTTTTTTCGTAATTTTTTTAATTAACAGTTTTCTTGCTATTTTTCTTCAGGCTAGGAAAGACAGGGCCAAGGGTATATTGAAACGAGGTAGAATCTATTTTAAGGAAATTTTTTAAATACAAAACAGGATTTCTTGAAATTTCTAAATGTGGTCCAAATTTGTTTTCTTGACATCATTTTCTCCAGGCTGCAGAAGACAAGGCCAAGGGTAAGACGCCAGGTAAGGATGGGAAGAGGCCCCGGAGTAAGTCTCCTGCCAAAGGGAAGGGGAAGAAGACCCCAGAACCTCCCGCCGTCAAGAAGGACACCAAGCTGAAAAGGAGAGGGGAGGAAGATGAGGAGAACAAATACATAGGTAAGGTTGGCACAGGAATCAAGGTTCTACTATACCGTGCCAAAAATGGGCTATACTTGATTTTAAAACAGTGACTTTTGTTAACTCAACTTGTTCAATCGCAGTAGGAGTGGTGGACTCCAGGCTATTTGAAAAATAACTTAATAAAGTCATTAAGTTAAAGAATCATGGAGGCTGATAATTTGTCTGTTAAAGAAAACTAAGTCTATGAAAAAAAAAGTTTTAACTTAGTTGTTAAACTTTTACTAAAGAAATCTGTCTTCATATTACATTTGTATACATTTGTATTGTAAATCATGTCATTGTTTTTAATGCTACTCATTCTACGGACTGCAGAGTTAGTTATAGGTAAGACATTGTTTCTCTTTATTATATGCCTGGTCTTATTTATCTTGTGATCTGCAAATTATTATCTCCCAATATTTCTCAACCATGCAAATGAGGTGAAGTACTAGTAGTACTCCATATTTTAGGATGTCTTAAAAAGTAAAACTGACACTAGAGTAACATTTACAAAGCAAATGCATAATGTTTACCTCTGTTAATTCTTACTCAAACACATTCACATACATGTACTACTAGTATATGGTGACAGGAGCAGAGCAGACCACGAAATTGCAACATTATGTAACCCAACACCAGTCAACATGGTGACAGACGTCAACAAATCATGTCATTGGTCAGGTCAGAGGTCACTGTTTGGAGAAGATGAAGAGGAAGAAACTGAGCAAAAACAATATATTTTCCTTCCGTAAACATAATTATTATTGGTACATACAGATGATGAGCCAGATGACGGCCCGCAGCACTACGTGTTAGTGCACGGTTTCCACCAGCCACAGCTGGTCATGGCGCTGGCAGACGTTGGAGTCAACGTGGACAGTCTCCTCAAAATCACATCCGAGGACTATACCATCTTCCAAACCCCTGAGTCAGGGGCAGGGGAGGCCTCACCAAGGGAGGAGCAGAAAAAAGGTAATACAAAGGGTCTTCTTGTAAGATTTGAATTCGTAATGCGAAACCACAAGCAAATAAAAGGAATACAAGAATTTTTTAGTATTGTGCACTAAAACATCAATTTTGCATGCATGAGGTTGTTTTTAAACGGATATCATATGGAAAAAGTTTGAAATGTAAAGCTCACCAATGCAAAGTGTATTTTAGTATAATTACAAAACAGCAGATTTTAAATATATCTTGCACAGCTATTGTTTGGTTTAAGATTTGTAAATTTTGCTATACTGGTATCATAGAAGCTAGACTGTATTTTGACATACATACAATGAAAAATGTAATATTCATGAAATATCAGAAAAACTTGCTGTCCTGTCATAAATTACATGTACTGTCCAGATGATTATACCTGTCAAAATCTACTTTGCTGTCAATGATGTGTCTATTGTTTAAAAAATTGTAGCATAAGAATACAAGCATGGATATGAAGTAAATGAATAAAACAAACTGGAATGAAAACACTGCCTTAAGTTTGCTTTCATGGCTGCAAAAGCCACACAGATTTTGAATCGTTGGTTTGTTCCTAAATTTGAACAATCTAACAAAGCCTCTAGTCAGCAGACAGTCCTATGGAATAAACATTCATTAGTTCTTCTCCTAAACTTCTGTTTTTATCCTGACCACGTGGTGAATTTTTGCCCAAAAAAATCTGAGAACCAATTCGAAAAAATGAATCTGTGTGGCCAATGCACCATACATATGTTGATTAACAGTCGTGTGAATTGTTTGGCCTTTTTTATTACCTTCCAGATGAACAGGTGGATCCTGCAGCAGGTGCACAGGAAGGTATGCGTGGGCCTCGGCAGGTGCCGGTTGGAGTGATGTGTGCTGTGGGCGTGGGATTTATGTTTGTTCTGCTGTGTGTGTGTGTGTGTGTGTGCGCGTGTGTTTGCTGAAATAATCATTACACAAATCTGCCAGCTGAAAGTGGGCTTAAGGACTGAGACACCTAGTACACACTCACTGATGATTGCGTTTGCAGTAACATGCATGATAGTGTGCTTTTGTTGTGTAGTGGTGTGTCTTTTACATTAACTAATAGTGTAACATCCACCAACTTTCAGAGTCATCACGCATGCGGACAAAGGGAGCTACTTCAGAGCATAGTCCTTCTTTTTCCTCTCTCTTTCATTCCCATTGCTCTCCCTCTTTCTTTTACTCTTTAACAGATCCTTCCCTCACTCTTTACTTCTCATCTTCCACTTCCGTCTTTCCTATCTTTTCAATCTTCAACTAAAATTTCTTTCCTTTCCTCTATCTTATTACTACTTCTTTTATTCCCTCTATCTTTAAGCACTTTCTCACTCACGTAGCCATGCCACAGTACTGAGGCACTAACCACTAATCCGTGACTAACCCTGGGGCTGTCTGTATTCTCAGTCCATTTCTTTCCTCCAGCGCAACAAGACCTGGAGAGGCAGCAGCAGCAGAAGGCGGAGGAGGAGCTGCAGCGGTTCTGGAAGTTCCTGGACCCGGTGCTGCGGCGCGCGCCGGCGGGGTCACGGCTACACGACATGGCGCGGCTGGAGTACGTGGTGGTCAACACACTCCACCCGTCGGACTGGGAGGACGCTGATAAGAAGGTGGGCATACCAGCCAAATATCTTTTTATTTTCTCCACTTAAAAACTGTTTGAATATTTTTATTCCAACTGTTTTAGGCTATAGCATTGAATTATGTATGACTTCTCTCTGAAGTTGCAATCAAAGAGCATGAAAGAACCATGAAACGATGCTATGAAATGAAATGGCTTTGCCAAAAAGTGCCTGATGACTTTATTAGATATGATCGGCTTTTGTTGCCAAGTAGTCTATCTTCACTAGTCACATGCCAGTGTATTTACTTATAGCTAGATGTTAGCTACAAGTGCATGAATCCACGATAATCGGGCAAAAGTTATGAAAATGAAACCACACAGTGCATGTGTAGGAATGTACACTGCATGCCTGAAGTTGTACAATGTATTATAAGGTGTAAAGAGTTATTATAATAATAATATGAAACTAACAAGGATCCTCTGTTACAATTTGCACGCAGCTGTCCCTAAAGGACAAAAGGGTCAGGAAGGTAGTAGTCAGTATATTGTAATATTTATACTGTCTTTGTTTTCTAAATGATGTTTCATGATGGCGGAGGTTAAAACATGTACATTCTAATTACATGTTTCACCTCCTCCTAACTTTGATGTCATCATTATCTAATTTGCCTTTGTAGTAACTTCATTTGTTTGGATGGTGTAGACTTGATAAATGTCTTTTAAGATAGAAAAACAGATTTCCAAAGAAGGAATTTCAAACTAGTTCATAACTGTAGTACATTGAGCACAATTAGCATTGGTTGAAGAACTTTTGTTTTCAAGTCAAGATTAAAACGACTGGTATTTTCATTGCTTCTTTACAGCTTGCGTTTGGCACGGCTGTGTTTGAGGACGTTGCCTGTAAGATCTATGACATGTATGACTGGAAGCGTCAGTTCCAACACTACCTGAGCAACATGAAGCTGCTACATGTACCCCTGCATGGAGAGGCACCACCTGTACCTGCACAGCCTACAGACTCAAAGGTAGAAAACATTTCTACATGCCAATTTGAAGCAGAAAGCCAGAATTAAAGAAGTTTCCATATACATGTGTACCAACGGTTGGAAAAGAAAACTCAGCTTCCAATGAATTTTTCAGAGTACCATTTTTTTAGCATTATGTTAACTGTAACACTTTTGAAAATGTTTTCTCCAGTTGTCCGCCCAGGCTCCAACTCCAGGCATCCCAGAGCTGGATGTACCAGCGGGGCCCCCTGACGTCGACATGCGGTACTACAACGAGCTGATGAATGCTGTACCACAGGAGAGTGTCAGCATCCCTCTCCTCATGCACTGTATGCTGGAGCAGGTAGGGACAGACCCTCCCTCAACCAACACTGATTAATCCCCTTATCTGGGTAAAATTGGTCAGGATTAGACCCACGTGGAGTAAAAATGAACAACCTCTGGCCAATGGCTATTGCCTAATGCTATAACATTACATTTTATAATTGGTATTTCTATCAGTAGTAACAATTACTAACATGCTAGTTCTGTAGTAACATAGTAAAAAAATGGAAATGCATATTTTGCAAAGGGAGGGCAAACATTTATAGATTTACAGTATTTGAAAATGCATGGCACTCACTGAGACTACTTTTACCAGTCTTATCATCCACAAAACCATGAATTTGCCTGAGATGCTGCTGCAACATTCACATAACAACATACTTTGTAAGTTGCTGAAAGTTACTTTTCTCCCCCTCCCAGGTGAGTGCGACAGAAGAGGACCGTGAGCCGCCCAGCGAGCGCCCTGTTCCCCCCAGACAGGACGGCGTGGACCCTCGTCTGGCCTCACACATGAGCGGAGCGGCCGTCAAACTCGCACTGTCAGCAGAGGAACAAATGGTAAACACTCTCATCTTGTCTGCTGAACTTGGCAAACAATATTTCAATTTATAGTCTTATTAGACCTGTTAGATTTATGTGGCATAATGGTAGGTGTTTAGCCCAGAACTAGGCCCAGGTCCTTGGTTCAAATCCTGCCATGTCACCAATCTTGTCTCCTTGGAAAAGGCACTTTGCATGACTTTTCTCACTCCAGCCAGGTGTAAAATCTTTCAGTTGGGGCGGTAAAAGGCAGTTGAAGAAAAGGGTTGGGCCCTGGCTTCCAATATCATGACCTTGACATAGTGGATTAACAACCCACTGCCCTTATGGCCTCAAAAAGGCTATGGGAATACCTTTAAATTTGTATGAGTGGCAATGCATTGAAAGGTGTTGGTTAAAATAATCTTGCAATGTCTCCTTCAGGCTCTGGACGGTGACCTGGACTTCGCAGCCAAACCTCCAGAAGACAAGACGGCGCAGCGCCCCCTGCTGCTGCAGCACGGGGACTGCGTGGCCCTGCGGACACACCACCTGAAGCCGGTGGACGGGTTCGACCCCCAGGGGGAGGAGCTGAGGATGGTGGGGCTGCTCCCCGTGGCCAGGCTGTGTGAACTCCCCCCGCCCTCCACACGCATCAGTAAGGAACGCGCCGCACGCCTGCAGGAACTACTGCACTTCTGTGCTACTGGTAAGAAATTCAATGTATAATATTTGTCAGAGATAATACCCAATTGCCCATGAGGTTTATGACATTGTCATTGATATAATAACAATTCCTACAACAATTTCACTCAACAATGAGTGTAAGTGACTGAATTTCAGGTAATGATTAGGAAAAATTTAAGTTGCAAATGTACACAATTATGTTTTTTTGCAAGGATGCAAAGCGTAGCAATTTATAATTTTTTTTGGGTTAGGAGATGTCATTACTACAAGTATCTGCTGGTGGTTTCCTATTGTATGGTATTTGTAATAGTGGAGTAACAGGCAGTCTACTTAAATGTGTCATTTCTTTCCAGGTAACTTGAGTCTCTCAGAGATTGACCGTGCCTTCAAACAGTTTGTGTTTGAGAGTATGGTAGGCAGCACCACTGACCGGAGTGGGAAGGTCCTGGAGCCCCCTCTAGCAGACGAGGACGGTACTGAACCTGAGGTGGAACTGGATGTGCCCTGGGATGACCCATTCCCCTTCTACCAGGAGCTGAAGAGGAGTGGACTCCTCAAGGCAAAGAAGAAACCACAGGAAGAAGAGAAAAGCAAGACAACAGGTATATATAACTGCTAACAAAATTTGCCTCGGAAAAAATCAACTTGTGATTTGTTAGTGTCTCGAATCTCTCGATTGAGTAATAGTATAAAGAGAATTCTTGGTAATTTTTTCACTGTGATACATACACAGCAATGTTGCACCAGCAGCAAGTACTGTAGTCACCTGCTTTGTGTATCTTTGTATTATACCAACTTGAAGGAAAATTTATATAGTATGCAAAGTCATGCTAGGTACTGTGGGTGTCTAAAATTTAGTACATATTTGTGCAGTTCATGACAACCATTTCCCCCTGTGTCCTACAGAGGCTGAGCCTGACAAGCAGGGCACCCCTCAGCCAGGCACACCCCTGGAAGAGGAAGGGGGGCAGGAGGAGGGAGGGGGGTCGCAGGCTGGCAGCAGGCCCACCAGTGGCAGGTCCAGGTCCCGACCCACATCTGCAAGACAGGGGTCTGCAGCCTCCAACAAGTCTGGTATGGCTTTAGTAAATTTTTCTTTTCCTCTCTTTCCTTCCCACCTTCCTACCTGTGTCTTTCCTTTATTCCTTCCTTCCTACATGTCTTTCCTTTATTCCTTCCTTACTTCCTTACTTCCTTTGTTCCTTCCTTCCATTTTGTATTCTTTGAAGCAAACACATATTAGTCTAATGATGTTTCAAGTGTCACTTAATTTACCAAATGTACATAATATTGCATTGCAGACAAGGAGGGACAAAAGCCAGATGAAAACAAAGTACAAGAAGAGGAAGAATCAAAAGAAGCTGAACAGAAGGCACAAGAAGAAGAAGAAGAGGACCAGACAGATCATGTGACAGTGAATCTGATAGAAGCCACACAGAAGCGTCAGCTGGACGACTGGTGCTTCGCAGAACACTTTGAACCCGAGGTTCTAATCCAGGTAATGATGGAAAGATTGGATGCTGCTGTAGTCTAGCATTGGTGGCAACTCTTATGGTAATTTCACAGTACATGTATATCAAACTATGAAAAAACCCTCCCTAAACTGTCAATACAACATTGTTAGCAAAGCTTTAAAAACTAGGGGAGATAGTGTAGCATTGATGCCATTTTTAATGACATGTTGTAGTGAACAATAGCCACCAAGTCAGTATATGAGCCAGGGTATATGAGTGGTTTATTTGGTCTGACTGTCTCATGTCAGGACGTGGGACTTTGCTTGAGTCTGATTAATGAATGATAGTTTATGATCAATGCATTAGTGAAGAATTAACACCATATTGCTTCATTGTGGCATCAATGTGGCCCCTATGTGACATCAATGCCACTAATGCCAAATAAATCCCCCCCAAATACCCTGTCAGTCCAGCATCAGTTCAGCATTGCACACCATACTTACATACACTTTGTTGTGCCCAGGTTCTGGATGAAGCCAAGTTCAAGTACTCCCACATGGACAGTTACTACCACAAGAGAGACCACTCCATGATGATGGTGTTCCACAACCCTCTGGGACCAGACCTGCACAACCACACAGCCTGGAACACTTACCTACACTCTGATGTGGGATTCAGGTTAGTAACAACCACACAGCCTGGAACACATACCTACACTCTGATGTCAGATTCAGGTTAGTAACAACCACACAGCCTGGAACACATACCCCCCATTCGGATGTATTAAAGCCATTCTAAGGAGAAAATACATGTTGGAATGAATTTTCATGATGGCTCTGCCTTCATTTATAGAAAATATGCATTTGAATCAATTTTAGTCATTTAATCACATTTTACAATGCAGGAACTACCTGGAACATGTGACAGAGAACATCTCAGACTGGGTTCGCGTGGAGGAAGCGAAGTTCCAGGCGGAGTTACTGGCCAAGGAGCTGGCTCTGCAGAAGACTCCTGTCACAACTCCTGACACCTCACGACCCTCCAGCTCCAAGAGCCAGAGGAAGAGGTCCCAGTCACCCAAGAAGAAGTCCAGGTCCCCTTCAGGTACAACAGACACGTGACCTTATACACACAAGACTTAACTGATACGTGACGTAAGCAATTGATCAAAAGTGGCTGATGAAGGCGACAGTGGTTGCTGAAAATTTGATCTCTCTGTAAATTGTGTGTTGGAATAAAGTTCAACGTTTTACTATGATTACTAACAACAAAGATGAACCTTCATGATTATCTGATGATTGTTTCCTTCAGGTAAGAGGTCAAAGCGGGGGTCTGCAAAGTCCCCAGAGAGACCATCGTCTGCGGCGAGACCGCTACACGTTAGAGAGAACTCACTGAAGGCCTGGAAGGAAGAACAGGACATCCTTAAAGCTGAGGAGGAGAGAAAGGCGAGAGAGAAGGAGGAGAAAAGGGCCAAGTCTGCCAGCAAGAAGGTATGATGTTGTGTATTTTTTTCAGCATCATCAAAAGTTGCCATCAGTTCCAAACAGCTTGAACTACACTTTTCTATTTTCAAAAGCTTTTGGAGAAGTTTCTGACAGGCAGAATGAAAGGGATATAAATTTTCATTTGATTTTGAATAAGTGTGGGCTACAAATATTCAGTTGATTTACTTGACACAATTTAGATACGCTAGGTGAAATTTGAATTTGAAGTTGCTGAGAAGAGTATACGTTTTGGAAAGGATGGTCCAGAATTAGCTACCGACCAACCATTGTGGTTGGTTGGTAGCGACTGTGGGAGCGGAGGTAAACTAACCAGGATGGTACCCAGGCTAGTCCAGAATGAATTGCAAACTTGAATTTTTTTTCAATTTCTCCAGGCTAGTCGAGAACGAGGCAGCTCAGCAGGCAGTGCCAAGAGCAAGAGCAGGGAGAAGACGTCTGACAAGAAGTCTCGAGAAGACAAGGAAGACAAGGAGAAGGCACAGGAGCAGGTGCCTGAGATACAGGAACCTACAGAACCTGAAGTCATCTTACCTGTGAGTTACAGAACTTATTCAACTCTCATCTTCATTCTTTCTTAGATGCTTGATAAATAGTGTGTTCTTCAATGAACAGTCACATACCAAAACAAAATCAACTTCATTGCTGCTATGTATGAATGCATCTCTATAGCCATGCAAAGTGGCATTGCTAACAGAAAAGCTTAGTAGGTAAATGATTGTTAAAATGTATTTTGGGGCTTGCTCCTAAATACTTTTTAAGAATGACAAAAGTCTCCTCTCTACAGTCAGCTAACTGAAACAATTCAAAATGCAAAATTTGCAAATTTTGAATTTGTGTTGCACACTTTTTGTATATTTTGGAAAGCAGTGCTAAAATGTCTTTAAAAGAAGGCTAAAATGTCTTTAAAAGTTAAATCCAGATCAAAGGTGTCAAGTTATCACTGAACCAATACTTCATCTTTTTTGTTTTGCTTTCTCTCTCCCACAGTTTACAGGTTACGACGTCGGAAACGAGCTGATCCATGCAGCAGGAGAGTCGGTTACGTTGTTCCCGTGTGACGGTGGAATCATCAGGACTGAGAAAACTGCTTTTGTGCAAGGTTGGTTTCTCACACCTTACACATGTTATGCTTTTAATTTGCAGTGTTTAAAAGAGGCAAAAACTATATACAGTTTCAGGGATGTACGTAATGCAATAAATTATGATCCAGTAACACACCAGCTTCTCATTAAATCCTATCCCTTACTCCAATATTTCAAAATTATATCTGTACAATGATGTTTGTGTTGGATATGGTTAGTTTTAAGGCCAAGTTTAAGTGGAGAGTTTATGATTAGTCACTTACTCCCTGCACTTCTTCAATAATCTGCTAGATGGCATTGCTGTGAGGACGTCAGTGCTGAAGGATGGCCACCTGTTTGTGATCCACATCCTGGACCCCAGGCAGAAGGAAGATGCAGAGACTGCCGGGGAGGAATCCGTCAAGGAAAAGGCAGAACTGGAGAAGTCTGAGAAAGAAGGTAAGTAGACACAAAATGTCATAGAATGGATTAGTGTACTGGGTAAAACTGGAAATGGTGGGGTGTCATAAATTCTTAGCCCTAGTCCTGCGGCGCCTAACAATTGTTGGGTTGCACATACATTACCATCCATATAGCACCCTGTATAGGTACCATTTGGGGGTATTTTTTGTGCAATGCATCACACCGCAGTGAAATGCAACGAACTATGCCACCAAAGGGCAAAAAAAAAGTCGGGTTTATGACCCAATTAAGACATGAAATTATTGAAAAATATTGTTTGAAAAAATGCCAGCAGGACAATGGTTAGGGGATTGAAAATCAAAGACTTAGTTCTGGTTTGTGTGTTTAATGTATGATATGTTATTTCCACAGAAGGCACCCAGTCGCCTCGTGCTGCCTCCCCAGATAAGAAGGAGGAGGTCCCTGCCCCCCTGTCCAGGTTCGGCTCCTTCACAGCTGTCCTGAACGACGGCATGTGTCTGTCTCTCAGTAACCATGGACCCAGCGGCAAACCCAAAATGCCAGGTAAACACTTTGGGACTTTCCTTAACATTTCATATTCATAGTGTAGCAGATAGGTCTAACATAAGGCCACACCAATTTAATTTCTTGGTTAACGGATTTTCATAGAAAAATAATGGAGCGGGCGGGCGGAAAAAAAAATAAATAAAAGCAGGCCTAGGCATCCTATTATGGCCCAAAATGGTACGATAGAAGCCATGAAGTCAACACACCAGGCTGGTTCAAAATTTAAACAATGAACTTTGAACTTTTAATGATACCATTGCATTGAAAGATGGAATAACTGTACCAACTAGGATGAAAATGACTGTTTTCAACTGTTCAGGGCAAAATATGAGCATTTTGCAGTTGATTTTGAATTTTTATTTTTATTTGCAAATCAGAAAAAAATGAAGCGGCGAATCCGTTAACCAAGAAATTAAATTGGTGTGGCCTAATGATGAAATAATTGCTTTGTTTTGAATATTGTCACATGGCAATATTGTATAATATCTTTTCTCTAATTCTCTAAATCATAGAGCCTATGATGAGCTGATGTCCCTATTTGTATTTCTGACCCAATCATAGCTCAGTGTTTTTAAACATTTAAAGATTCTCTAACCATCTAAAAAACAAAATATCAACAGCTCAAAGAAGGAAATGACGAAAGAATAGATTGAATCCAAATCGTGGCACCAACAAGTAGAATATTTAAACACCCTTTTTGTTTCTTAGTTTCAAAATTCTACAACTTTGGTTCATGAATAAAACGATTTTAAATTAATTTTTCCTCAGATGATTTGTCAGCGAAGGAGGTTGACATCATGACCAACATCCCCCCAGCCTCTACCCCGACCCCTCCACCCCCCTCCCCCACCAGAGCCAAGTCCCCGCGGGCCAAGTCCCCCAAGGGCAAACCCAAGTCTCCCAAGGGGAAGAGGAAGGAGGCACAGGTCGAGGAGAAACCACCAGAACCGGTAAGATACAAGATTTTTTTTGCCATACCTCAGGGGTGGAGCCGTTTCCATTTCTATATTTTTTACAAGATCCTCTGATTGCTTCAATTGTTACCATCTCAGGCAGGCTGCTAAAATACTAACAGCTGAATTTTTTGTCACATGTAAAAGTTGACAATTTTAATATTTCTACATTCTTATTACCATGAATATATGTTGTACAAGTCATTGATGTGCTAGTATGTAGATTTGTTACTTATTGTAATAAATGTTTCGTCAGCAATTTTTTTGAATGTTGTACAGCAGCCTTTGTACATTGTAAAGAAGCTTGTCTTGTTCACAATATTAAAAGCTTAACGTGCTTGCCTTTTCCCACCAAAGCCACCCACAATTCACCTGGATAGAATTAAGGACATTGTGAAATTCCTACGACTGAAGGTATTTCTCAGCTACAACTGTCACGGTGGTATTTCAACCAAGCACCTGATTGATAAAACAATCACCCATTGCACACCTTTGATGTTGGTGAAACTGATCACCATGTGATAAATAAGAAATAAGACCAAACTGTAAACCCCTTTTGAGATAATGGTACATCCCATTCTACAACCTTATGTCGGCAGAACGTACTGCACCTGCGCGAAATCCGTAATGTATTGTACATAGCATTTTGGCAGAATGTCTCATATAAGGTTGTATTCACTCATATAAGGTTAGCATTTCGACAGTAGTTTCCAAATGTTATGTCAGAAAGAATATCCTCTGCAACAGGCAAAATTCTGATGCAACGTTGACCAAAAACCCAAGGAAAAACGTGAAAATACGGGGTTCTGCGCAGGCGCAGTACGTTCTGCCAACGTGCTCCTTATGTGCTTGTTGCTGATGTGGACTGTACCATTTCCCCCCCTCAGGAGGAGCCCCCAGCGGAGCCTGAGGAGCCTGAAGAAGCGCCCATCCCCCCCTTCCAGCAGCTGTTTGTGTCCTGTCCAGATGGACTCAACATTCGCTACTTTCTGGAGAAGGACATAGGTGGGTAGACCTAGCGAGGGAGGGAGTGAAAGATTGAGTGGATGAGCGAATAGTTGAGCTAATACGAAATGAAGAAATGACTGAGTGAATGAAAGAATGAGTGCGCTAGTAGAAGTCTTAGTCTTGGGGTGATTGAGTGAATGAAAAGGACGGTGTGTGAGTGAATTTGTTTGTTTGTTTGTTTCGCATTACCGGTAAACCGCCTTCAGGCGTAACACACCAGTTTTGTACATGTGCGTACATGTACAAGCTGCGTAAGACCAGACTGTAAGGTTTTGGACCACTCACACCGGGAAGATCCCCTACTCTTTTTGATAAGTGCGGTGGGTTCTTTAACGTGCGTGGGGTGTGGCTCTCCCAAACACGGGACCTCCATTTAACGTCCTATCCGAGGGACGTCCCTAACCGAAGCTAGGTACTCATTTCCACCTGAGTGAAGTGAGTGACTGAATCGGTGGCTTAGCCTACCAGCAAGTGCAAGGGCTTTGAAAGGGCTAGCTATATCACATGATATACATGCAGATTATTTGAAGACATATGCAAACTATTGGTAGGCAAATCAGCCAACCGTCACCCACTTTTTACCTACCATGACATCATGGCGATCGCTCGTATATGATCCCCTAGTAGATTATGTTCAAAGTAAACAAGTGCAGAACATAGTGAAACGTTAAACTTTATTCCAACACACAATTTACAGGGATCAAATTTTCAGCGACCACTGTCGCCTTCATCAGGATAATTAAAGATCAATCACTTCACAACGTGATCTCGCGAGAGTTACGGTTTACAAACACGTGACCTTATTCACACGAGACTTTACTGATACGTGACATAAGCAATTGATCAAAAGTGCCAAGGAGTTTATATCGTCCACCATGTCTATTAAGTGCAGAACATGTCTTACACACATTACTGATTGATTATACCCTAACCTGTCATGCAGGCATCAAGCCTGAGACGGTTGCGGAGATAGGTCGCTCCAGGCTGCTGGTGCGTCAGACGTACCCGTTCAAGACGCGTGGGCTGCAGAAGGTGGAGGAACTGCGCAAGAAGCCGGCCATGCAGGAGGTGTCGCGGTGTGTCAACAGTGACGGCACTGTGGTGAAGGTCTTACACAACGGCAGCACACAGGTACATGGACAAATTTATCTCATACTAGCCACCCACTTCTGTATTAGTTAGGTTAGCCTTATGAAAATGTAATTGATACTTTGTACCCTGTACAACTGTTGCGCAATAAAGTTATTATTGTTATTATTATTATCATAATTATTATATAATACCTGGGCCTGTTCGATATGGACTAAGCGTATCACACGGGATTCTAACAGTTATCACACAGGCTTCCAAATGTTCCATAGAATAACAGGTCATATCTTTGGCCATTGAGCAATCTGACATGGGCCACGCTAGGCCCGATGATATTATTTACTGAAGATGTATCTTGTTTTCAAGCTGACAGTGATATAATTTAGTTACAAAGGGGAAACAATAGTACCAGGCAGGTTGGTAGCACTCTCTGAAACATACCTTCAGAAGGAAAAATTAGGTCTAGATCAAAGTGGAAGTTCCAACGGATGGCATTTCAGCACCTAAATATGGTTCGGGTGTATTGTGTTGTGTTCAGGTTCTGTTTGCTGATGGGACTATCAGTGAGAACCCCGGGGCAGGGCCAATCGGACCCTACGGCAGCAGGAGCAACTCCCCCTCCCGACCCCCCCAGTCCCCCACCCAGGAACCCCCTGAGGACGGCAAAGAGACACCATCCAAGATGAAGAAAGGTTTGTCTTATCATACCCTTAAAACATGTCTCAAATATCTCTTTGTTACAGTATGATACATTTAAAAGAGTGGAATGTTATACTTTGAAGTCTGCAACTCGTAAATGCGTTGCAGTACCGTCTGTAAATCAACGCCCTCTATCAATATCAATCAGAACTGCAAGTAACAAGTTTTCGTGTTTTTCCCCTCTCCAGCTGCTAAGGGTGCGAGGAAGTCCATCACCACGCTACAGGAGCCAGAGCCAGTTGTTGTAGCTCCGCCTGTGGACGAGAAAGCCAACCAGTGGGTCACCACCTCGCCCAGCGGGGAGCGGGTGGCCACGAAAGGCGACGGAACACCGTTTGACGTGAAGGCGGCTCTGTTGTGCCAGGCCAGCGATCCGGAATCTGGCGCTGTAAGTTAGAAATACGGCCTACAGTTGTAGCTTATGTTTTGGTTTCTTTCCTGTTTCCAACATTCTATCTCTTAGGATTTATTATCCATAAAAGTAGAGTAGCTTCTTAGAACTTTAATACATGTACTGTTGGATAAATGTTAGCAATAGCAACTTAGTCTAATATGTACATATTGCCATATGGTGTACCAGCTACAGAAATGAGTTGTTATGCAATCAAGTTCCTATGACCACTAGTTACCATCCTTAGTGTATCTAACTTCTGACCTGCAGTTATCACAAAATGTGCTAGGTGGCAGCAATGAGTGGACAGATTTTTACATGGCATTGCCCATTCTTTCTTCTGTGCAGGTTGTGGTGACCCGCGAGGACAAGGTGATCAGCGTCCACCGGCCTGACGCCAGCGTGGTGGTGGAGCACTGCGACGGAACCAGGATCACCACGTTCTACAAGGACGTCATCCGCGCTTTGTCCGTGGATGAGAACGAAACTGGTACGTGTTGTGTTTAACTTTCTACCTGCTGTCTATCCATGTAACCAATAGAATACTCGTATCAGTAGCCAAATGGTTACTTGGTTTATAAAGGTTAATGTTAGTAACAGAAGTTCAATATATAATCATGCCTTTTTCACTTACCTTGGCAACAGCCAGCATTATGTAATGGCTATTTGACAGGAGAAATTGAGGTTGAAGATCAGTCCTTTTCATGGGTTGATAAAGGCTGAACATTTTTCTATGACTTTTAGGTTACTATGCAATACTTTCTTCACAAAATTGGGTTTCATGTTCTTTTTGCATGCCAAGGTTCGCATAATGTGAACCTAGGAAAAGTGTAGTTTACAACCCCTACAGCACAACAAAATAACACATAAAAGTGCCTTTGATGTTTACATACACACAGACAGCCAATTCAAATTGCTTGTTGTATTTTGCAGGTGAGAGTCCCCGTATGGAGACCGCCCGTGTGAAGCACATTAAAGTGGAGTGTGTGGGTTACGCCACTCTACTGTTCAACAGTCTGGACGGGTCCTGTATGACTGTGTTTGGAAATGGCTCCAGCCTCATGACAAACCTCAACGGGACTTACCAGGTTAGTTCATCTTTTGGTTATGTATCAATACTTAGCTGTAAACTATCATAATGATATTTTTGCAAATATCATTGAAATGTTATGTACATTGTAAGTCTCTTTTGGTAAACTCTATCCTAATCTACTGTAGAGTATGACGTCTTCTAAATACCTTACAGACTGTATAGCTGTAAAATTATGATTTTTTTGCAAACATCGCTTGCTGTAATCCATGTTTTTCTGCATCATTTAAAGTAAGCTGTGATTTTTTTGGGTAAACATTCCATACTGTAATCCATGATATTTTACAAATATGTACAAAATGTATGCTAGTATTAGACTTGTACAAATGTTTGGTCAATTTTTGACAATATTTGTAGTAGTTTAAGAAATTTAAAAATCAATCTTTTTGAACTTGTGCCACGACACAGCTGTACCACAAAGACGGCGGTCGGCTGGACATGGACGCGGACGGGACCACGGTGTACGCGCCGCGGCCTGACAACGACCTGGGGCGCGGCGGGGAGGAAGAGTTGGCGCTGGGGTCGTACCTGATGAGACACACCACGATGTGCTGTGAGATGGTGGACATGCAGGGCAACGTGTTCCAGGTGGCTGTGGACGGCACCACTTCAGGTGGGCTTTCTGTTTATTCAGATGGTTTAACATGAATATAGGCATGTTTTAAGTTAAAACTTTTGGTCCAACACAAAAAATTCTCACCTAGAGCTTTCGACCAGTCACTCTAGTCTTCCTCAGTAGACTGACCCAGTGAAGCTTGTCATGTGGCCTCTTTGAAGTGTGACGTCAACACTGGGTCAAAGGTATCTGGTAGACGATGTCGGCCCCCGATATAGGCAGGACTGCATGGGGGGGAAAAGTTAGCAGGTCTAGGAAGAAGGTTAGGTAATAGGTATGTGCATTATGTTTGAAGGGATTTAGAGTTTTAAGTACACTTTGAAGCAAATATTTGTGTCATCTGATTTTCAACTCCTACTCATAAGATCAAGACTTTGAAAGAAAAATTATGTTGTAAAAAGAAAAATAGGGGTTGTAATTTCACCAGTGGCATAGCATCATCTGATTCCTGTCTATTGGTAGATTTTCAGGTAAAAAGTAAGCTTAACTCTCTGGTGATGTGGAAATTTTGACTGCCTACTGATGGTTAACAAGTTTGGATGGTTTCAACGAGATCCAAAAATGAATTTCTCTTTGTTTTACTACAGTGATCCGTGCTGGGCCGTATGGAGAGGAGGAAGGGGAGGAGGAAGAGGGAGAGGAAGGAGGTTTCCCCAAGAAGAAGAAACTGATCCAGTATGGAGAACACTGTCCCAGGTTCTTCATCATCCATGCCAACGGCAGTGGAACAGAGCTGCTCAGGTAGGACAGCTTTCCTCTGTATACTGCAACATTAAATGGTGGGAAAGAAGGATGACTTAAAATGGTCCAATTCTGTGTTGAAAAGGCTGGTATTTGTGTCTGAATCTTAGTGGGTCATGTTGTACAACTGCCCTCTATGGCGTGACAAACTGTGCCAGCTTTGCAGGGTTGTGGTTGGACTGGTTATATCATAATGTGTACTGATTTGTGCAAATATTCAAATACTAAGATTAATGGGTGCCAGACTATTTTTAGCAACCAAAGGAGAGAATAGAGCTAGAATAGGATGGATCCCCTGACAGGCTAATTAGAACACTACTTGACTCCAAAGACACAACTTGTCTGGGAAACTATTAATTTTCAACCCTTTCTGCATGTTTATCACAGTGTATAGGATGTGTTGTCTTGAGTCATTGTTTCTGTTGATCCCAGGCCCAAGGACGTAGCCGAGTACCTGTCCATGGCGGCCAGGGATCCCACGTGTGCCCTGATCCAGGATCCCCTCCCAGAGTACCCCGGCGTCACTGGGATCACAGTCCTCAAGCCTCACACCAGCGGCATCAGCCAATCGTGGCTCAAGAAACTGGACGAGGAAGTCATCATGCCCAAGGGGTTGAAGTCGCGCGACTTGAAGACCATGTCAGTGTCCGCGGAGAAGACTCCAGGGCCATCGTTTGGGACTAACGTGGGGAAGGGGTTGAGCGTGGGGTCTGTGATGTCATCGCCCAGGCCTGAACCAGTCTTACACTGTCCCGACACGCTGGAGATCAGACAGCTGGTGCAGGTAGGTCTGACGCGTGGAATCCCACTTCTGACACCATCTGTGAAGGATTTGATGTATCAAATAGATGGAGTAAAAAACTTCTGAATCATCTTTGTCTCTATGGTGCAGAAATGACAGCAGTGCCCACTTTGGTTTGCTGATTGAATGACACGTGTGCAATGGTACCATTATCAGTATCAAATTAGCATGAAAGTTCACCTGAGTTGGTAATTTACATAGTCAGTATCAAATGTTGCCAGCATATAACTTTCCCCATCTATGTCAATTCTGAACAACTTTCTTTATTGATACAATCGTGCAATCAGGATGTTTGATTGTTTTGTTGATTGCTATTCTATTCTGTTTTGTTCAACAAGCTTTGTCACAGACTGTGCATGTTTTTCTAGTTACCATACAAAGTCATGTAGTGTACAGTGTACAGCTCTATATTAGAATCACAGAGCCAATCTGGACAATTTACAAGTTTGTACAAGTTTGTACAAGTAACAAGTTTGAAAAGCTAATCCCCTACATCTCTTTCGACAGTACAAACCTGTGAGTGATGACCTGCGGAAGCGTCTGCAGCTGGGTCTGAAGGCGTACGCGGAGCACGTGTTGGAGCGGGAGCTGAGCAGCGCTGCCCTGATGGTGCAGGACCCGCGCACGGAGGAGGAGAAGATCCATGCTGCCGACCTCGCCTCACAGACGGTACTGATTACCTCAATTATCTCTAAAACTAACCATGGTGATTCTGTGTTATTTGATATCAACTTGTCAGTATACTCATTAGTGACTAGTAATTGCTTTGTTCAAATACGTAATTGTCTGATTTACCAAATTGATTACGTATACATGTACCAAGCAGTAGGGATGCATTGAGTCTCAGATAGCATGACAAAGGTTAATTTCTAAAGGTTTCATTATGATGTGAGTTATCTATAGGGTAACCATTCTTTTCCAGGTCTTACTTCAGAATTCAGAATACAATAAACCGGAAAACTCTGAATTGGAAGCATTAAAATTGATTTTTTTTCCTACTTTTTATGTTAGATTTTTGGACATGAAGCTGAACACCGTGAGAGTGCAGACAAGAAAGTCACTGTGATGGAGGGTAAGTATTAATTACACATACATAATATGTAAGTGAGCTGCTTATCAATTACTTAAATCTGTAACAATTATACAACTTTACCAAATTGAGATCATGAGAAAGCTGTCTGTATTCTAAATATGATTAATCATAAATCATTTTACATACACACCATGTATATATCTGAATGAAAATCTTGTAGAGCTAACAAGTTGCCTGTCTTTTGTCTCAGGTGATGTTACTACTGCGTATGAAAAGGCTGTAGAAGTGCCTCCTCCCTCACCTCCTCCCACACCCAGGAACAAACGTACACAGGACGACTGGGACAGAGACAGGTAACGTCTTCTCAATATGATCTTAACTAAATTTATATTTCTGTACTATAGAAAATAATCTAGAATCATGTATTCATAAGTCATCAAAGTCAAGTCAAAGTCACCACATTACAGTGAATAATGATAAATGATGCTTCAGCAACAGTTCTATTTTTTAGAAATGTATAATGTTGCTTTTTTTATTTTTTATATAATGTGCTATAGTGAGCAATACCCACTGATTGTACATACACATGGTAAGAATACAGTTTAGTGGGCTATCAGTGGCTCACAGCTGCCAAGTGTTCTCGCTTGTCAGCATCAATGATAACAGAGCATTTCATTCCTTATCACAGTTGCCTTAATTTACTAATAACAACATAAATTTTTATCCCTTTTCACCAGACGAGAGCTTGCAGAGGAGCAGGAAGGTAGGAACGCCCTGAAGAACAAAGACGTGCCGCCGTACTTTGAAAGTGAGATGGGGAAACACTTCCTCATGAGCCAGGTAGGAAGTTTTACAGTTTGATCAATTTTCTGTCCAGTTTTTGATGTAATAAGTAAAAGCTAAAACATACATGACTCCCCTCGGATGAAACTACATCTTTTATTTTGACCACTAAACCAAGGCAGTATAATCAAAGATAGGCTAATTAAATGGCACTTATACCGAAAAACTGGATATGATTTTGAAAACGGTCAGACGTTACAGGTACATTGTAGCATCCACTACCTTTTGTCAGTGACACTGGAGAGTTGTCAGAAAAGTAGGTTTATAATATTATCTGGATGTCTAACCATCACTGACATAAATGTCCTAGTTTCTACCAGTCAAAAGCTGGATATTAGTTTTTGGCGACACCTCAGGGGTGGAGTGATTTTAACCCATGCCACGGATGAATTGTCGATGTTGTAAAAGTTGCTCAGTGAGATCTAATTAGAATGTTGTGACTTCCCCAGGCTCCCGACATGGACGCCCTGACCAGGGAGTTGGCACATGACCCCCGGCGTGACGGGTCACAGGTCATCCGCAGTAACCCCGACAGCCCCATCAGTGTGGGGGAGAGTCCTCAGGGGTCCAGCGGTCATCTAGTCAGGGTGCAAGGTTAGATAATAATTCTTGTCAAATCTACAGCAGTGTTCGCAGTCTTGTTATTTCCTAGAACTATTGTAGAGTTGCTCTCCTTGCCAGTACATTTTTTGTAAGTACATTTATTATATAGAGGCACCCACTTTAGAAAGTTTTAACAATGCTTTCATTAAGCTGCAATGGTTAAGCAAGGACACACTATGATATCAGTATGATATGGCCAGCTGCTATAGTCTGCTTATTGAAGAACAATGTGTAATACAGACCACAATTGCAGCATCATGACTCCGCAGTAAGAGGAACATAAGGTGACCACAAATTTTCAAAGCACATTTGAGTGCAACAATCTCGGTCTAGGTTTCTCTGTGACCTTGACACATTTTCTCCCTGTTTTACAGAGACATTTTCCACCACCCCTCCTGGAGAGAACACACCTGTCACCACCGAGGACTCACCATCGCTTGGTAAGGCAGAAAAAATCCACAGAAAGGGCATGCATTATTATTAAACAGAATTGTGAAAAATCTTGGCAACAACAATTACATAAAGCAGTGTTAGGGGGGAGGTAAAGTTGTGTATTACTTAAAAAACAATACTTTCCATTTTATAAAGATCTGGAAAGATACAAAAACAAACAAGTAAGCAATACCACCATTGTATACAAATGTACAAGTTTTTGATGATTCATTTTATTTCTTCTGTTCAACAGGTTTGAGAGTCACCTCAACTACCCCCAATCTCCGGCCTACAAACCCCACCCCAGCTCATGCCAGTGGCACAGGGACCCCCACCCCCCTCAGGCCGAAAAACCCCACCCCACATGCAGCTGGTGTTTCCATCCCTGCCAGACCAGGTACAGTATGATAACGTTAATAACTCCAAGTTTATGAAATAAGTGCATTCATGAAGAATTGTCTATATTTTTGTAATACAAATTGTGCATTAATATGTGGATGTGAATGATGAAAGCACTGAATATAAATCCGTTTGGTACCAAACAAGCACAGAACAAACTGTACTTTGATGTTTTTTTAATGAGTTTAAGGGCTACTTCACTTAAGAAGTTTGAATAGGTGTCAGAAAAAAAGATCAGACCCCTCATCTTATTCTAGTGTCCAGTATTCTTAAAATTCCCTTTGATTTTGAAAAAAAAAAGGTTCTGCATGGCCAAATCTAACTAATTATTGTTCTATACAATAGGTGGGTACACAATGTATTACATGTACTTGGTACAGCAGTTAACCATGCTGGTGTTTGCTCCCCAGGGAACCCCACCCCCACCCAGGACTCCAACTCCCAGGGCAGTGTGCCGTCAGAGACCCCCTCTGCCTCCCTCTCTCTCCGCCCCACCACCATACCTGAACACCCGGAGCTGGCAGCAGGTGGGAAAGGTGTGCACAGATAACCCTGCTGCTCTGTAGTCATATTAACACACAAAATAATTCCAGTTTTGAGGACTTTTCAATCCTATGTCTGTTAGCTGTAGGAGATTCAGTACAGGTACATGTACCTTCCATTATTCCTGCCATAATTTGGAGTGACTTCAAGGCCAGATCCATGTCCACCCATTTGACTGGAACCTTCTTACAATGTACACCACTGATCCCTTTCAAGTCAACAAGGCATGTTGCATTTGCCAAAGTCAGTCACACAGACAAACGTGTGGACATGGAATAATGGACTTAAAGTTATGGGGGACTGGCAGAAAGGACTCATCTATGGTAAACATGCTTTAGGGTTGAAAGGTCCAAAAACTGAAATAATTTTACATGACCCATTAAGCAGTTACTGTAGCAACTTTTACAAGTTATTGGAACGCTGTGCCTCCTTGGTGTGCATGCTGTGGAGTGTATAAAAGTGATCTGTACTACTGCTGGCATGATTATTACATGTAATAGCACATGTCACCTTTCTAAAAAAACTGAAATCCTTTTGTTTTGGCAGCACATTCTTTGAATATACAATGTAGATCTGGGTATTTTGTTCAGGGAGAGTTGAATTAATCCATAACTGAAACACATTCTGTAGTGTCTTTATCACAAATTTCTTTCTTCCCTTCACAGAGAATCTAGAGAATTCTGGTCAGTTCACCTTGCGGTCCAACCAGCTGGCGTCGGCTGACGGTGAGCTGGTCACAACACGCAGTCTTCTGCTGGACGTTAACAACCAGCCGCGTAAGGACACCGTCCGCCTGCCTCGCGCCCTGGACGGCGGAAAACCCGGGTCCTTACCTAATGAAAAGGTACAGAAATAACTGCACATGTACTGTAATCATAACTCTATAGTAGAGGGGATTCATTCCTCAAGTTACCGACATCTTGCATTCACGATCGTCCCACAGTGAGACATCTGGAGCCATATACCCGTAGTTCCTGTTCAGAACTTTCATTCAGCCTGCCACATGAGTGTGAGATGCCATTAGAGATTCTCTTAAAAAAAAACGACCTGCAACACAATCAACTAATGCTGACAAAGTTCTCACTGCTTCAAAGTTTCATACTTTGTATTAACAGCCTTTTTTGGTAGAGGTTTGATGCCATCTTAAAATTGTTAAGTATGGACCTGAGATTTAGCTTATATTTTACATGTACATACATGTACTTAACTATATTTTTGTCCCCCTGCCCAGTTTTCTATAGTTGAGGAGCCTGTACGTAGGAAGGTCCAGACATCGTCAGTAGCAGGAGCCACATCCAAGGGTGTGAGGCAGATGGGAGCGTTGAGAGGGCTCATGGCTGTGCCTGAGGTAGGGTGTTCAACTAGTATCATTACATTTGTATATAGAACACTTGTCAATGGTGTTACTTGCATGCAAGCCTATTTTATCACAACACCAGAAAACCACAATGAACATGCATGTAGATCTATAGGCTAGGTAAAGTTGGTCAGAAGCCATGAAAAATGTTGTGGACTTCCTAGAGGACATGACAATGTTGTAGTATTCTTTGACCACATTGGACAGTGATACTTAAATTTTATGCTTCCAAATGACCGAATAGGTGAAATTTTCCTGTGGCAGCATTGGCAGTAGCAGATTATTTAAACCCAAATCCAGAACATACATGTACAATATTCATCTAGCATCTGAATTATTATTTTCTAGATATATGCCTGAGTGACTTTATTTTGTAACTTTTCTTGGCTCTACAGTATATGCAATTTATATATTATTGAATACTACGCAACAACATTTTGCTTCAAAAATCTTCTCCTCTCCCCAGGATGTAGACTTCGGTGTGCTGCGGGAGGGGAACACCTATGTGTACACGGTGCAGCTGAAGAATGTGGGCGTAGACAGCTGCAGGTTCAAGGTCAAACAGCCTCCGCCCTCCACGGGGCTCCGTGTGCTGTACAACCCTGGTCCTGTAAGTACACAGCAATCCTCTATGCATGTCAGGCTTAAAATCCTAGTTTGTTATTAAAACCCTTGTTCTGCTAGCAATTTTTACACAATATTTTCAAATAATTTGAAGTCTTGATTAGGTCACAGACCCTTGACTTTTTTTGGTCCGTGGTGGCATAGTTACTTTCGCATTCATTGCGTTTTGCTGCGGTGTGATGCATTGCATGAGAAACACCCCCAAATTGTACAATTATACATATACAGGGCACTATACAGCTGTTACTACATGTGCAACCCATATATATATGGGTCCCGCAGGACAAGGGTTAACACAATATGTCTCGAAGTGCTAAAGTTTGTCAGAAAAATATCACAAGATGAATTAGAGAACAGTTACGTCAACTCTCACAATTCTGCTGGGTACCCTAGAACAGACACACACAGTCACACAGAAAACAAATCTAGAGATGTACTATTGCAAAATTAGTAATCCTGTACAGTTCTGTAGAGGTCTGTACAGTTCAGACATCCAGGTGTTCAAGACATTCTTGGCCTCAATAAGTGTTTTTAAAGTTACAGTCTTAGGGTACCCAAGAGTTGTCACTACATTCTGTGAATCACATGAACCTAAAATCAGAATCAATTAAAAAAAAATGTTGTTTTTCCCCCAGATTGCGGCTGGCATGAAGGCTGACCTGAGCCTGGAAATCTACGCCATCGCTGTGGGAGCGGAGGGGGAGAAGGGAGTCGGGCAGATCGCCCATCACATCGAAATCACCACGGAGACAGACCTCATGTACCTTCCCGTCACTGCAAATATCCTTTCCTGCAAACTTCAATCATATAATTATGTATAATATTATGTCCTAAGTGCTAATTTTTAGATCTCTGCATGGTGTTCAGGCAAACTTGTTAGAATGTAGCTAAGTCTTGAAAAGTTATAGCAAGTTCAACAATTTCAATAAATTCCTCTGTCCACATACACATTGAATAGAATTTCACTGCATACAAGTTCAAAATGTGACCTGTTTTTACTGTATACAAGTGCAAAATGTTTGACGCTAACATTTGTACCTTTCTTACTTTCTTTATTGGCAATGACAACAAATCAATACACGGGTGGAGACTGGTATTAGATAACCCACAGATACAAACGTGGAGACAAACATCAAATAAAGAAATCTGCTGTAAATACAAGACCTGGATGGTTAGTTTTAAGGAAGATTTTTATGGATTATAACAGAGAATTTGGAGTAGGCAGCCATCCAGTTGACTATTCATTTTATGTTGAAATGACACCATTCTGTTCCTTAACGGTTCTTACCTATCCTAACCGCCGCGGAGCATGATAACCGCAGTCTGGGGAGCCCGCGGGGAGGGAAGAATCCCGCAGCGAAACTCATCTCCACAAAACCCCCGTCCGGACAGGGCATCCTGCGGCCGCGACGGGACATTCTGATTGGTCATTGCACATCACACCACTCTTTTTGAAATGTTGACAGTTATCGATGAAGCTATAGAGGTGTCATGTAGACTTACTAGCCAGTGGAAAGTCAAGCTCTAATTCAAAAACACTTAAGCTACTGTACACTAGTACCTTTTCATATCACTTAGGCCACACTGATTTAATTTTATGGATGACATCCTCTGAAGACCTCCAAACTAGTGCATGGGCGAATAAAAAAAAATTCTGGCCAAAAATAAATATGCTACTAAACCACAAGAATACAAAGCTGGTATTGTGAATTTGCGGCAGTACATAGCAACATATATGACAAGCCGGCACATGCTGACTTTTTGGGGAATGGCGAAAATCAATGCGCGCATGGATGTCATCCATAAAATTAAGTAGGTGTAGCCTTAGTTACTGTACACTATACAAAATGTGAATGCAGTAAATGGTGGGAAATACATGTACTATATCCTGATATGGTCATTTTATCATAATGTAAGTAAAAGAAATATGTACATTATAAGCAAAAACTTCAACCAGAGCCACAGTTACTGTTCCTCACCAACACGTTTTATTTTACAGAAGGACTTCCTTCCATGGGCTGAGCACTCAGAGAGAAGCATGATGACATCCAATTCTCTATGCAACATTTGAATTCTCATTTGGTGGTCTTTGTAGATAATTCCTGACCTTGTACTTTTAGTATTTGGTGTTGAAGATATGGAGTGTATATATTGAACAATGGAAAAAATTATCACATTCAAGTATCTTGAAAACTAGCTGCCTTGTGATATGGTGTTTGGATGAAATTGAGATGCTTTATACTGTGTATTATATATTTGTATTCACATCTTGAATAGTTGCCATAATATTTAGTTTACACACTGACAACAAAGTTAATGTAGTGCCTTACTAGAGCAAAACTTCTCACACTGTCAAGCTTGACGAATAAAGCACTTGTTTGTGTAACGAAGTTTCAATCATGGGTCCCAACTTTCTTTATCAGATATTACAGTTAATTTATCCACATATCATCATGGTTCTTAGTGCTTGTGTCTATGCTTTTCGTGTCTACTGTGTCTATGTTCTTTCTCCCTACTCCTACTTCTGTAGTGTTCTCGGTGCTTGGGTCTATCGTCTCTTTCGTGTCTGTCTCTTTTCCCGTGGCTTTCGTCACCGGAATCGCGATCGTGTTTGCGGTGCTTCTTGTCGTGTGAGTCGCGTTCCTTCCTGTGATGTTTTCTGTGGTGTCTCCTCTCGTCTTCGGAGCTGCTGCTGTCACGTCGGTGTTTCTTCTTGTGTTTGTCATGTCTGGACCTGCTCTCTGAGTCCTATTCAAGAAAAATTTCAGTTTTAAAACAAATGCATCATAAAATCAAGACTGAAGACAATTTACCACAGTGGGAGGCAACAAATACAAAGCCAGAAAAGGAAGACATTGCACAAATCTAGTAAGAGTCCCATGCAAAGATAGACCTTAAAATAAAGGAATCGGATATCTATGAAGATTCAATCCAACTACAACTATTTGCTAAATACTGTCACGTGTCAGCCATTACTTTGTGTGTGCGTGTTTGGGGGGTGCACCTCTCAAACTTTTAAAAGAGTCTAAGTTCAGACAACATTTAAAATTTAGTACTTGGTAAGATGTAACTGAGCATAAATACTGTCACGTGTCTTCAATTATTTTGTATAGGGGGAGGCATCCTCCTAAGTTCAGACAACATGAATACTTGGTCTGATATAACTGAGTACTGTATAAGCCACCTTGCTCCTCCTGTCGTGCCCAGTGTCAGGGGACCTGTCCCTCCCCCTGGTCCTGCTGTGTCCAGCCTCCTCCTCATCCTCCAGGATCAGATCATACTGTTTCCTAAAGGACACATCAGATACATGTAGCATTATTATCTTCTCAGTAGATTGCACACAGGTCTATGACCAATGTCTTTCAGTTGTCCCTGGGTACAGCACAAGGAATAAAACAATTTACATCGACGATGTAAAACAAATAATAGTTCATTGTCAAATTGAATACAATTAAAACTGAAAATCAGTCCTATTTCAGTCCCTTGTTATAAGTACTAAATCAGCACACAAATTTGTTTCACACTAAATAACGAGATGTAAGATTTCACATCTCCATAAAATTGAGTTGTTAACTCTTTGCTTTATTAATAATAATAACGAATGTCTTTTTAGCTTCTGACGTATTACAGTGTCACACAGAGTTTACTGTACTCACCCAGCTCCCTTGGATTTATCCTTTAGCTCAAACTTGGACTTCTGGCCTCCCTTGGTTGCATTCGGGCCACCTGTTCAGCACAGAAAAGTAAAATTACCAAATCATTGTTTAAGAAATAATTTTTCTTGTCACAGTCATTAGCATTAGAAAGTTATGTATGTACATGTAACTTTTTCTAATTGCACCTAAAATTTTGGCCAATGTGCAATTTTGCACGTGCCCGAAAAAAAAAGGATTTAGAGCCCTACACACCTTTCCAAACCTTGGACACAGACTGGCTAACAGTTACTGAAACATTCCTTTCCAAACCTTGGATACAGACTGGCTAACAGTTACTGAAACATACCTTTCCAAACCTTGGACACAGACTGGCTAACCGTTACTGAAACATACCTTTCCAAACCTTGCCCACAGACTGGCTAACAGTTACTGAAACATACCTTTCCAAACCTTGGACACAGACTGGCTGAAGTCCACGTGGATGCGGCGGTCATCGATCAGAACGTTGTCCATCTTAAAGTACGCCTCTTCACAAGCCTCGGGCTGGTGGGAAGGTCATGATTGGTTATTGATCAATTGATTCATTGGCACCTGTATTACATGTCAAAGGTCATTCCATCATGCAGGTACCAGTATACATGTAGCAAAGTGCCCTTTCATTTTGGAAAGACCAACTTTTAGACTACTATTAAAAATTCAAAATCCTTCCAAAACCTATCAATATATAAGGCTGGGCCCATCTCAACTTCTACATGTAAAGCCCTTGGGCCATACAACAAGCACTACCGTATGGGGTTTGTCCTCTAGTAGAACTTTTACTACTTAGATTGAAAGATTTCAGAAACATGCCACCGTGACTCACCTTCTCAAACTCCACAAAGGCATAGCAGAGGGAGTCTCCTGTCTTCTGGTCCCTGATGACCTCACAGCTGCCATGGCAACAGAACATCAATATTCATTTCACACAATAGGTTATTGTACTGCAATAAGCTAACAATAAAGATATCAAATCAACTAGAGATAAGTACAACAAGGGCAAGTTTCTGAGATCAAGAGCAGTCTGCCACCCAAAACTCATGACCCAAAGTTATCACCTAAAATGTTCATAAACATGAGATACATAAAAAACAGTTTTACTCCAGTATTACAGGTGGTCGGAATGGCACCCTTGCTCTACATTTATCAATATATACTAAATCATGGATTTATCAACTGTTCCTTGAGTTATGCTGTTCACAAACAAGGGGTCTGAACCAAGAGGTCATGGGTTTGAATCCTGCCAAGTCACCATTTGAATCCTGCCAAGTCACCAAACTTGTCTGCCAAGTCACCAAATTTATGGGAAGGCCACTTTACACCACTTTTCTCACTTAGCACAGGTGAAAATGAGTATGCCAGAATGATCATTATCATGATCATTAAAGGTGTTGCCAAAAAAATCCTCCTGAACTGACCATTTGATCTCGCCGAACCTGGAGAAGATGACCTCGAGGTCCTCGTCCTGTGTGACGGGGTTCAGCTTGCAGACAAACAGCACGTTGTCGGGGGGCGCTACATCAGCCTCGGGAAGGTCTCCAACCTACGGCAGCAACATATCAGTCTTTTACTTGTTTTGTGTGTGTTATCATACCAGTTTTGTACAGTAGGTACAAGCTGCGTAAACTGCATAAACTGTAAGGTTTGAACTACTCACACTGGAAAGGACCCCTACTTTTCTCAAAAAGTGTGGTGGGATCTTTAATGTTCTTGGGGTGTGGCACCTCAAACACGGGGCATCTGGCTTTACATCCCATCCAAGAAAACCCTAACCACAAAACCACCTTGCCTCCAATCTAAAATGGATTGATCTGTTACCTGAGGTTCTGAAGATTGTAGAATCCTAGCTACATTTTACTTTAATTTGCCTGTCCTGAGGCTCATGAACACTTGTGCTTGTCTCTATTCTGAGGAAGACATCTGTGATTTCAAGGCCTGTAATTCAGATATATTTTGAAGAGATAATTTTACTGCTATAGAATGTAGAACATCTAGGACTCAAACACAGATGAACTCAGAACAATGAAAAAAACAACAGATTTAAAACTGCAACTACCTAAACTTTTTGCTTATACTGTATAATGATTCACAAAACAGTACTAGATTTTCCATCAAATGTTAGCCCTTTAAGAGGGTCTGCATGGGGGGGTCCTGGCAACGGTTAACGGTAAATTCAGCAGGGCCGATAACGCTTAACGGTAAATTTAGGACGGTCGGCAACGCTTAACGGTAAATTGACAGGCTTTTTTTCGAGCTGCACTGGATTTGGTATCTCGCTTTGTGATCACTGACAAAATTACGTGTAATGAAGCATGCATTAAAGGTATGTGTTCCCTGTGTTTCCCACCTGCCCTGGTCCCCGAGTGCGTCAACAAATACCGGGGTGTCCGAGTCGACGTCGGCCAGCTTGCATTTTTTCAGTCTGCCCAGTTTTACCGATGGATTTTGAGAGGGGAGCGCCGAAGGCGCTCGTAATCTAGGGGGTCCGGGGGAATGCTCCCGGCCCCGGGAAATTTAGGATTTCTAAGTCTTCAAAAACGCAATTTCCCACATTTTGAGAGGCAAATCATGGTGTTGAGAGTGTTTGTCGGTCCTTCTGATGTTTTCATATTTTACTCAAGATTTTTGTTAATTTGCCTGTCAAGGTTGACGGATTCGTTAAAAAAATTCTGTAACTCTCCGCAAACTTCCGGAGATTGAAGGGAAAACTGGTTCTGGCTAGAGCCGAAGGGACCGAGCGCAGCAGAAGAGCGAGTCGAGCGGCAAAGGCGCGAGCAACGTAGGGGGTTCCGGGGGCATTCTCCCACGGGAAATTTTGTATTTTCAAACCTTCATTCACGAATTTTCCTGCACTTTGAAAGGCAAAATTAGGCGTAACGAAGAATTATTCATTAACGCTTAACGCTGAATTTAGGATGACAAATAACGTTTTACGTTGAATTTAAACGACCCATAACGCTTCACGAGGAATATACTGATAACGCTTAACGTTTAATTAGAGCAGGCCGGCAACGATTAACGGTAAATTAAAATAGCCCATAACGGTTAACGAAAAAGGGCATGCAGACCCTCCTTTAAGATTAACCTTTCTTAAACTAAGAAGAAGCTGTCCTGACCATCTCGAGGATCTGTGTGCGAGCCTTGGCCTCCTTCTCCTGCAGCATCTCCTCCACCTCCTCATGACTCCGCCCCGCCGTGTCGTCTATCGCCTCGTCCGCACCGATCCGCCCACTCTGGGGACACAGCAGCCACAATCAGGACACACTACAGAAGTATTGGAGACAGGCATTTCTTTTTACACAACCGGTAAATTCTCACCTTGCTGACGTTTCGGTGTCTGTCAGACACCTTCTTCAGAGCTTCTCATCTTCTTGAGAAATACCTGCCTCCTAAGTTCTACCAACCTGTGAAATTATTTTCGGAAGTACGGAAGTATTGTTTTGGGTGGCAGAGCTGTGCCGGGTTTGTGTGTCTGTCTGTCTAGAATCATCACTATCAGAATTACAATCAGATATAAAAAACATGACTATGTACAATAAATATCTATAATATAAAATGTACAATAATGATTGTATTTGATACTTCCAAGTGCTGAAGTATTGTTTTGGGTGGCTGAGCTGTGTGTTTGTGTGTTTGTTTGTCTGGACAGAGAAGGTTGAACTTGAGAGCTTGAGAGTTGGTGAAGATTGACAGGCAGAATGACAGGATAAAACGTCAGAAATTATGGGGTGAACTTGATTGGGGTCACTCACTTACTCATTCGCTCTCTACCTGTTTTGACGTCTTTAAAATGTAGAAGTGTATTCTGTTTTTGATAGACTAACTGAAATTAAAAAGCTGACACCCCTCCCCCCTACCTCCAGTTGTTCCTTGGTAGGTTCCGGTGAGCGATCCGGGATGTGGTCGGCCAATCCCGCGGGGTCGTCAAACGGGTCGTCCAACACAACGGTGTGGTTAATTCTGGAAATAAAAATTGCATTATAAAATTTAAAATTATATCACAAAATCTTTGAACTAAACGTGCATCATGTTTGTGGCTAATTTGAAGATTGTACTGAGTCAAAGTGCCCTCGTGGGTTTCCTATGCAAATATATAAATAGATGTATATGAATACCATATCTTACTTACTGAGATTTAGGGGCTCCTGTGTCATTCAACACATGAAAAAGTCAGAGCAAATACCATATCTAATAGTACAATGTACATAAAGAAATGTAAATAATTATCTAATAGTACAATGTACATAAAGAAATGTACTGGTGGTATACAAAACAATTGTGTTCCCAGTAAACCCACCTGATATCCTGGTATGGTCTGTGCTCGTTATCACAGATAGCTTCATTAATCTGGTTCAGTATGTCCTCTCCCTCGCTCACCTCCCCAAACACGGTGTGCTGTCCATCCAGGTAGTCCACATCCTCACGAGTCGTCAGCAGGAACTAGAAATACGGGATTAAGCAAACAAGAGAGTCAGAATGCAATTATATGTTTGTATTAATAAAAATATAATGTCCTTGCATATTACCAATCCTTAAGAAAGAAAATTACTCTGGGATCTTTGATGCACAAATGTGTAGGCTGCAGCCCTTGGGCCACACAGTTGTGCAAGCACAACTGAACAGTTATCAGACTCAGAGCTCTAGTCCACTGGTGGTCGTCACTGTTTTCAACTCCCATTGATTGGGGCAAATATGGTAGCCTCTACCAGGCTTCAGGAGGCGGCTGGAAAGAGTAGAAAATCAGCCATTTTGATATGCCAGAGGAGTTGGCCAGTGCTAAAAAAACTGCTCCTGAGTTTGCTGCTCCAGAGAGCCGATTTCTACTCTTTCCAGCCCCTTTCTGAAGCCTGGTAGACTCAGGCTAGAAATATGGTAGAGTAAGAGGGAGGGTGACAATGATATCAACTTGCATGCCCTCTGCTATAATATTTATTGGCTTTGCAACAAGAAATTCAAATACAAAACATACTCAGGTTGTATTAAAACACAGTTTTTTTTCAAAGATCTGCTCTACGCGATGTGTCGTACCTGGGATCCGTGCATGTTGCCGCCATTGTTGACCATGGAGAGCGTGCCGACTTTCCGGTGTTTCAGTCGCGGATTTGTCTCCATCTCGAAAAACCGTGCCTGGTCTCCGTACAATTTACTGTCCGGAAAACAGTGTCAACAAAGTTTAACATTTATCCTCTCGCAAAGACACAATAACAACTCTCAGAGCAGCGGCAGCTTGCATGTATTTTTGACATTTGGCTTTATTTTGTTACCTCACAGTCAAATCTTGAAAACCTCAAAACACACCCTGAGAAAAGTTGCAGACTAAAAAGAATTTACCAGAAGATGGACTCCCCTCCCCGTCCTGTGCCAGTGGGATCTCCCGTTTGAACCATGAAGTTCCTCTGAAAAGAGACAAATATTTTAATACGTTTAAAAAGTTCTACACCGAAAATTATGCAAAACAACTGGTAAGCAAAAAGGAATTAACATGGCAAAAAATTAACTTAGTGACATTTCACTTGTCCATTGCAAAGGTAAATTTAGGTCTACGAAAACAATAGATATCTTTTTTAAAGGTGCCCTACAAGTACAATTTAATAATTTATCAGGGCATATAAATACTTGATTAATTATGACAGAAACCACGTAAAAACCATCTCACCTGTACTGAGTGGAAGAGACAGAAGTTGTAGTATTTCATCTTGCACAGTTTTAGGAAGTTCAGGCATGCTGAAAGAGGACAAAAATATATCAACATTTCTTTTCTTTATCGAAGATTATAAACGGAGAGTTAACGTTATATTTCTAAACGTTTGAATAAATTATGTGATGCCGAGAGACAATTCTATTATGTAAACATACATCTATATCTACATGGACTGAAACAGTGCACATCGACATGGAACTCTGATATTTTGAAAGCGTCGGCACTACGTACACTATCGCCCCCCTCCCACACTACATACACAAACTGTTGTACACTCACTTCTAGGCCTTTCTTCGGTATACAGGTCGACGGTAATGTCCCCAAGAGTAGTCTCTAGGATAACTGCCATTTTATACAGTTGCCAAAAGCCTGCAGACGGTCACTGAACTGCCTTTTTTTCACAGAGTAAATTTTGAACTCGACCAACATGCGCGGCGGTAAATCTGAATCTTGTACTGCAGCGACCTCTAGAAGATTATATTAGACATGCAGCTAATTTCTGGCTAGAAGAAAGCTAGCATCTGATTCGGATACAATTACGAATAAATAAAAAAGAAAGTTTGGCAAAAACGTTTCTTTCATTGTAATAACAATAATAACATGAAATCTACGTGGTCATCAAGGTTGAACAAATGGCTAAATACACAGATTATGCTATGGAAAATAATAATAGACCATTTTCAGCCATCAGCACACCTGTGTGTCCTATCCTCATCTGCATATCCTACAAGTACATATTTCATCGGTCAAAAAGGACTTGTTACTGTTTTTACTGTGCATTATTGAAAACCTACCTTATCTGTTGACATTGTTATCAAACAAGTTATCGTTTTTTTAAGTTTTAATCGACTCATCATTTGACTAACTAGATACATTTGTACTTGAAAGTTAACAATCACTCAAATAAAGCAAATGAGCACATTTGTTGACATGCAGATGTCTTTATTCAATGAAAAAGTCTACATACGATGATGCATTAACTGGGAAAACTGTTTGAACCCAGGCTCAAAGCTGTTATATCTGGGACGTATTTGCATGATGTTGATGTGTTTTTGTGATGTACAAAATCTTCGTTATCACATGTTCCCAGTGCTATTAGGATGCAGTGCAACACATATGTATGTAGAAACAGAGCATATCAATATTTCTAGATTAAACATAATAAGTACGTCGTAACTACTTTGAGTAAAAGTGTCAAAAGGGCCTGTTTTGTTGTTTCTAATTCAAGCGTCCAAGGTATTTACCATCTCATAGATCAGATCATACATTTCACCCTGTCGCCCTTTTTGAAACTAATTAATTGTATATTACCTTATTTATCCTTACTTTATTAGGAAATGGGTTCGTAGGATTTGGCTCACAGTTGCTAGATAATTCATCTCACAATCGTTATACTCGGGATGGCAAATGTGCAACCCTTAAAGCTTCTTTCATCAATTAACACTGTGTTTAAAACGTCACCTTTATTGCCATTGAAACTAAGGCACTTTTCTATTCAAGAAACAAGCAGCATAAGAACGTTTCCGACCACATTGGTGGTTCTTACACCACAGGGCAAAGGTCACCATTTCCCGCAGGCGCAGAAGGCCAAACCAACTGAAAACATCCCTTTTTTGTATGTGTGAATAAATGCTGGCATTTTCCAGCTGGGGAGTTTTTTTTAATTATTTACTTCATCGGTCACCACAAAACAAGGCTCATGGGAGCCACTTAAGGCACTTATTTCTCTTTCTGTTTTGTTGAAAAAAAAAGTCTTGTTTTGGCTGCCTGGTAGAGCTCTAAAATCAATACCAACTTCTTGTTTTTTGGTGGTGTAAAGGGGGTCAGAGGTCATGCTCTCAGTGTTTGCATTTCTCGTAGTACATTCCACTGATCAAAAAGGGATGATATTTTTTTACCTAAAAGGACAATTTGGAGGTCTAGCCTGTCAATGTGAGTTTTCAACAGTTGAACACTCAAGTAGGTGATTTTTGATAACTCAGTTCTTAGACCATATATTGGCTGGATGAAAATGCACAAATCCTACGACCACCATATCAAATGCTTTCTTTCCTTATGATTAATTATCACTATTTTGTTATAGAAAGTCTCTTGAGTAAAAAAACGCTATTTCTTAAAGGATTTCCATGTCTGGCTGGTGCCCAATCTGTATTGCTGTAACAAACCTAATTGGAAATGTATTTTTTATCTGTCTCTCTCTGTCTCTCTCTGTCTCTCACTCCTGTCTTCTCTCCTCTCCCCTTCCCTCTCACCCTCTATAAGACAATTTAATCCGAGAGAGGCCACTGCCTCCTCCAATCACACGATTTGTATTGTGGAAAATCGTTATGATCACTTCGAAATGTTCAACTGTCACAACTGCAATGTACATGTATGTAGCGCTGACAAATCTGGACCTACTAATTTGAACTTTTTTAAAGCCAGCAACACTTGAGAGGACGCCATTGACGGTCCAAGCAAACATGGGAATTTGACATTGCTACTAAGTTATTGTTATTGCAAATATCTTGATAATGAGTGAAATTTTTGAATGACAAATCAATTGAGTACTTTTAGCTGTAAGCATCAGGTGTCAATACGACCTAATCACAATGATAATTTTGGAAGGAATGTTCAAAATCAACCCTGTGTTGACTTGAGAAAAATTTTGTTAAGGAATTTACAAAATGTCATTCAAAAACCTTGCTCAGATTATCATCAAAATGTAGATATGAATGATATCTTGAGTATTTTGTCCTTTGGACATTGTCATCATGTGTAACATTTATGGGTGACCTTTAAATGTATTAGTTTTTAGATTGTGGGTATTAAGATCTAGGGTGTGAACATACAGGTAAAGCAACTTTTCGTCTGGGAATCGTCATTTTGATTCCACAAAGGTTGGTCGGTTTGAAAGGCGAGTTGTGTAATTAAATCATTTAAACCACGAAAATATCAACATGAAAATGGTAGGGCTGGCTACTTGCAAAAGGTCTTGCCCTTTGTCTCATTCCTCCTGATACAGCCCCTCATCACAAGGCGTCATCCCAAAATGTTACCAAGACGTCATTACAAACTTTATACTAAAGAAAAACATCTTGGGTAAAATCTTATCCTATTTAGTAACAACATGAGCAAATTTTCTGGATGGTATGTGAATCAATCTATATTTTCAGCTCAGTTCGGATTTGAGAATCATCAAACTTCCTGATATGTCTTCGGCACCAGCAACTGTAGCTGGTGAAAACGTACACGAAAAAAAAAAGCATAAAACCAACAGGACGGTACCCAGGCAATGCTGCTATCTACTATCTCTATCTTTGAAATATCACGTTTAGAAGTGACGCTTTTCATTAAATTGGAGTTGGTCATTCAAGAATGTGTATCTGGTTCGGCAAGAAATTTCTGGCCAAAGTTCAACCATCATCGAGGTACATCCAGAAATTTTGCTCAATGTTTCTAATTGTAATAAAACTCAAGAAAGAAAAAAAAATGTCTGGGGTATAATGATCTTAGCTAAAAAAAACATCACGAGCAAACGTCTTGGATGGTCATTGGGTGTATCAATCTTTGAACTTGTTTGATTTTAAGTGGGATTTGCTTTTAAGTGTCAGTTTTAGGTGAAGGTCCACACTAATTCACAAGAATTGGCATAATCGTTTACAGATGCAAGTTTTTTTGGGTGTGGCCCAAAGTAGGGAAAATTGTGTCAGGTTTCAAGGTATGTGCACATCATCTCGTAAACAATGGCATACATTCCACGCTGTAAATGTGGTCCACAATCGAGAGACATTATGTGGTTTGAACCCTGCACCAAGGAGGACCTGGAAGCCCTGACCCCCAGTGGAAGGGCATATGCGGAGTATTGGAGGGGGAGCAGAGTGTAGCATTGAATGGTTTCAAATTGGTGGTATGATATTAATAAGATATTGTCATTTGTTTTTTGAAAGTAAAACATGAAAATGTAGATCATCCAAAACGTTGCCCGACATGCTTTTATAATGAAACTGGTGACTGTATCCAAAATTGAAGGCAAGGTGCAAACCACACATAGGCTAAATCTTGACGTTAGGGTGTTAACTGTAAACATGACGTCAGCCTGGCTAGCCTGTGGTTTTCAGATCGCCTGCTCTACTCTCTGTCCTTCAGACCGTGGTAGGCCCACTCCCCCCGGCGGGAGCGCTTCTGCACGATGGCCGTGCCCAGCACGACAAGGGCGAGCGCCGCCAGGACACAGCCGGCAGCCAGCATGGCCCAGGGTGCACCGCGGCGTGCAGGGCCAGTCTCCTGGTCATCCACCAGGCGCACAGCGTGTTCAGCTGGGAAATAAAACATCGTTGCGTCAATAGAAGTGTATGGATTCCATTTCAATCTATTTCCGTCTTTTAATGCACACCCACCATGTGTAATGCTGACTATTATTCTGCCTACGTACACCCACCAATGCTGACTGTACTTCTCAGCAGCCTATAGCTAGTCGAGCGTAGACACTTTTTATTACAAGAAGAACAGTACGTGTCGACCTACGGAGAGAGTATCTACAATTATAGAGTCTAATCTAATCCCTACGTTGCCTTGTAATTTTTCTATAGCATGATAGAGAAAAGTACAGTGATATTTTGAAGGAAAATTAGTCTTATCAGTCATTCCGACTTAGTTGAACATGTCCATGTACCTTCTTTGTAATCATCCAGAACGATTGGTCCCTGGTAGATCATGTGACGTCCCCTCATGTCGACCTCTCCTGCAGCTCTTTTGCCCCTCCTGACACAACCCTGGGGGAAAATAACATTTGTGGTGTCATTGAGACATCTTCTATCTTTTGAAGCTAATATAGTCCCTGCGTAAACCACCTTTTTGCTTTCAATTTTGTTGCCTGATACCTTCCACAGCAAACTGTCTACTTTGTTAACAGAGAAACGACATGTGTGTGTAGTTAAAGATAGTTATACTTGGGGTAAAAGAGGAGTAGGGAGACCGTAGAAGGATTCGAAAATTAGGAGTGAAAAAGTAGGAATAACAAGGGCTCGGGTACACTGACATGGACAGGGTATTATATATGAGTCATTACCATGCAGGAACAGAAGCACCGGTAAAAGCAACCGGGCCAGTTATTGAAAAGTAATTTCACTTCATTCTCTGCTGACCTAGGGTAGAACTATCTACATCACTACCATCAGTACTTTCAATACTACAATTATAATGACTTGAGAATCAGACCTGTGCACAGCGGGATCCAGCATCAGCGGCGTCACAGACCAGCACCTCACAGTGCACGTACACCGTCCTCACCTCCCGGATGAAGCGGAACGCCTCGAAACCGAACCGCTCCTTGCCGGGGTCGTCAACGTCGTAGGTCTTCAGTGTGGGGTCAGAGGCACAGCTGGAGGAGACGAAAAAAGAAAAATAGATTGAATTGTCAAAGATCCCAACTTAGATACACATCATCGTAATCATAGTGGAAGATGTGTGATGACACGTTGCAAAGTCGCAAATCGCAAAGAATACTCAGCGTGAATGGTGTGTACATTATCATGATAAAGTTTTTGTGTATGTTTTATGCATTTAAAAAGTATGGTGTTAAGGTAATATGTTCCCTCTAAAGAAATCCATAGTAAAGTAGCATCAAACATTTCTGCCTACCCGTCCCTGATGAGTTGATACTGCAGGCTGTCGTTAGGTGAAGGTGACATGGTGGCCTTACAGTTCAGCGCCAGCACGGAGAGTTTCTGTGCGTGTCCCTGCACCTCCAGCTGCATGTAGACGTGTTGGCGCAGCCTGAGGTGGATGGGGTACTGGTCTGCCCGGTACTGCCTCTGGTACTGCCGGGTGGGGAACATGGAGAGCCGGACCTCCAGCTGACCGAACCCCTCCTCCGTGAAGTTCAGTCCGCCCGGGATGGGCAGGAAGGTCGAGTCCACCCACTCCTTACGCTCGTAGTTACATCTGTGCAGAGAAACAACACATGGGGATTTTGCCTTAAAACAGTCTTGTAGTACAGCTTTAGATATTCTCTCTCTCTCTCTCTCTCTCTCTCTCTCTGCAGTCAATAGGAAATTGCTTTTGAGGTAGCCTTCGGCCATGTTATCTTTGGACCAAGAGAATACTCTTCGGACATCTTTTTGTGGGGGACCCAAGGGCACACCACTAGTCTGGCTGGAATTCTTAGATAGAGAATAACATACCCCCCTTAACCGTCCTAAAGATATGGGCTCAAGATGTACGAGTGAACGTACTTGGATGTGATCCAGATGTCGCCCTCCCGGGTGATGACCCCGCTGTTCAGGTGGGTACCCAGGATGTTGATGGTGTTCAGGAACGTCACGTACTTCGCGCCGAAGGTCACCTGACGGGAGATGGCAGATTCTTTAGAATTTATAAAGCTCTGGCATCATCAAGAATTCGGTACTGCAGAAATTGAGTTTCCAAGAGGCTGCAATATCAGTGTCTCTGGTGATTGTTATATGCCTTGGTATGCTCATCGTTACTGTCTTCATCATCCGTATATCACAGGTCTAAAATTTACAGATGTTGAAGGCACACGTACCTCTGTTCCACAGTCGTACAACTCTGTACGGAACAGGTAGTGAGAACCGTTGGTAGTGGCGCCACAGTTCCGGTCAGGCCTCCAGTGAAGGTTGTTCAGGTCGATGTCGGTCAGCTGATCCTCCGGAATCGACAGTTCCATGTAGTCGTTGCTGCAGGTGGTGGAAGCTGTGGAGGAAAAATGACATAGATAAGAACAGGCTGTGTTGAAAGGAGACATGAAATGGCATCTTTTACCTTACCATCTTTTAGTGGCATGATTTATGCAAATAAAGAACTTTGTTTGAATAAGTAATGAGAAACCAAAAATATGTTAGCTGTAACGTTAACCGAAGGGCATTCATTGTTATAAGTGCATCTTTGAAGTAAGATATAAGCTACACGATTACATATATGACCTCAAAGTAACCAAAAAGGTGTAGAGGAGCCTTGAATGATCAGTTTAGCTCAGTGCTGTATTTTCAAGAAAAGGTCTTTAACTGAATAAGACATCAATATTCAATTGTCTTACCTGACAATTCTGATACTGGTGCACGTGCACGTGCTATATGAGGAACAAAGCACATGTGAATGATAATAGAATAAGATAGTTATTATATCATACATAATATCTTGCTGACTTAAGTCAGATCAAATTGTTATTAAGACCAATACCATTCTGAAACATCACTGTTAAAGGATGAATTGCTTCTTTAGTTATTGAGGAATGTCTAAAGATTAAATTAAGACTGTTACTGAGAGTTGATGCTAAGAGTAATGTGAGGCCAAATCAAGACGGTCGCAATTTGAACTGTCACATCAAGCTTTAGGAACTAGCTATCCATGGGTATTTAGGTTGGCCTGTAGGAAACATTGCATGTAGCAGTGGAAATGACAGGCGTCACGTATTGATACGTAACGTACATAAATCTTACATGCCTCAAATGCCATAAGTATGAAATTCTCACCGTGAACCGCTTTAGAAATATATAAACGTCATGTGCTTTATCAGGCATGATTTCCACAAGCATATATCACAGGTTACTTTCATCATACCTTCTTCTTAGCAGGTTTCTTTGAATCATCAACACTATACGTGCAGTTGCACTAATTTTCATTAGTGTTTTAGTTCAAAATTGCGTACATTAGAAAAAAGTAGTGTAGAATACTGTGACGGGGCCTTTCCTTGGTGCTGAAAAGCTTGTGTAAGACACATTCAATTATGCAATGGTCCCCATACCTACGCAGGTCCTGCAAAGCGGTAAAGAACATAAGCATGTACTACTTACCACATCGATGATACTCAGCCTTGCTGGCCTCTCCGAAGACTCTAATGTTAGTTGTTTCCCAGTCAATCACGTTGCCATGGTAACTACAGTCCGCTGCTATTTCGGCTGAAGACAGCACGCGGTCCCAGAGGTTCACTTCCGACAGCTCTCCGATGAATGACTGGCTCGCTTCGAATCCTCCCCCAACTCGGTCTTGATCCTGACCGAGGATCCATGTTCCGCCTCTGCGCACTCTTCCTCCCACTCTAAACCCCGAGCCTGAAGCCGTCAGGTCGCCGTCAACGTAGAACTGCCAGGCCCCATCGCGACTGCGCCAGGTAGTACACACGGTGTGCCACTCACCGTCCCAAACGGGTGGGTCTGCCATTCGGATGTCGCTTTGGATGTATAACTGAATGCAAAAAATGACATAAGCCAAAAGATTTAAAAATATATATTTCACATTATACCATGGTATGGATGAAACATATTATGTTTTCTCCCATGTCCGTCTGCTCGAGCTCCTGCCATTTCGTAAAACTAACATTTCGTACGGAGATAAAGTGGGCAAATACGACTAGCTTTTTTCCTCATTTTTTTAATGCAGGCCTTTAAAATTGTTTTGTTTAGGTTGTTTTATTTGCCTTTCATTCTAGTCAAAACTTCATTTTTCATGTGATTGACTAAACTACATATCAGGACATACTTGCACATAGTTTACATACATATAGACAGCAGAAGCTTAATATTAAAAGCGATTGTCTACTTACTTGAAATCCACCATTAACAAACAAGAGCAGCTCGTTGTTATGTTGTGACAATGCGTAGCTGACCAGGCTGATCTGATTGCTAGAGGCCATGTTGGAGCGCATGTGCACACATAGGGTAAAACTGGTTAAGTCCCCAGACAATGTGGTCTCCATCCTGGCATAGTCATCAACGTCTCTTGGACCGGGGAAGATGATCTTCTCACCTGGTACAACTAACAAAGATTGAAGACATGTGACAATGTGGTTTGGAAGTCACCAAGAAATTTACAGCTTAAAATCACAATCTGCAAGATTCAAAAGAAAGAAGTACAGTGCCGAGTGACATCAATGGTAGCATCTTTTATTGTTGCTGAAGTAGGACAGATTTAGAAAAGAAAATACAATCATGTAAAACGAGAAAGCCAATCATTTACTCGGGAGGAAATACATCATGTTTCACTCCATCTCCCTCCCCATTTTAAGATGGACTGCTTCCATATCTAGCCTCCTTCGCAGTCTTGTTGGGCGTCGGCGTTATTTTTCTCTGTGAGCGACGCGCGTAATATGCCGCCTCGAGGGACGATTTGCTGCCGAGGGAGTTTTTGCCGCGGAGGGAGCGCAAATCATTCTCTCTGCGGCAAAAACTCCCATATTACTCGCGTCGCTCACAGAAAAAATAACGCCCAACAAGACTGCGAAGGAGGCTATTAAATTATGCTGTTGACAGACCACAGCCACTCCACCATGACAAAACCTTGCCTTTTTGTCCATGTAATTCAGACTTGGTGTTAAGAGTTGATACTAGGTACACATAGATATTTCCGAAGGGGGGGAGGGGTAGCTTTTAGGAATTGTATGTAGCAGTGGTAGTGGCAGAAGGGAGAACGTGATCGTAAGAAGTCCGGTGACTTCAAGCGGGAACGTATTACCTGCACGTGTGCATCGGGATCCACTTGATCTTCCATCGCCCACGAAGCCAGACCGACAGGTACAGTTCGCCCCGATCCCGGGAGCCGGGATGTCTGCACAAGTAGCTTCGGCATCGCAAGGGTTGGGAGAACAACCGTCGATATCTGTGGAACAAATTAGATACAATGACTGTTCACTTGAAATCTAATAGGCTGTACACACAAAAATATCATCGCCACTCTTTCACGTATTTCTATCATTTAGTACGTATACGCTTCTTGTCGTTACTTCCCGCAACTAATTCACTAGTTCACGGAGGAAAGAGGAGTTTGTATTGTTCGAGCCACAAAAATACAAACATATCAACAAACAAACAAAACAACAAACAACAAATATATTGTACAGAAGTACAAGAATATCAAATGAGGAGACGTAGACGCAAGCTAAATAATGCAGATTTTTCTATTAGTTTTATCGATCATCACTTATTCCCAGTCACCATTTAGCATTGTGGAATTCTATTTTCATGTATAACGTTGTGGGCCACCAAATCGTTACTTACTGTAAATATGTCGGTGTTGTTGTATTTAAGAAATATATGTACTTGATTTATACCAGTTGATAATTACCTCTCTCACATCTGCCCCCTTCGAAACCAGATCGACAGTTGCAGGTGTAGTTATTTGCTGCGACCACACAGTCTCCATTCTCACAAGGACTGGGGAAACAAACGTCCTGAAAATCTGTAGCTGGAAAGTTGCAACAGGCAAAGTCAAATTCTTTGAACTCCGAAAACTCTGTCAGTTATCAAGCATTGAACTGAAATTGAACATTACGTATTTTAATATGATCACTTCTTTAAAACTGTCGGACCCGGTGAGAGTACGATGACTTACCGCAGTAGGTTAAGTGGCAGCGAACCCCGGGTAGTTTATATACGTAGTAACCAGCGCTGCAGGCCTTCACTCGGATGGGGCTTGTCCAGCCAGCTACACAGGGGTTACTGCCCCATAAGGCACACGTCTGGCGGGAGACTTCTCCATCGGCAACGCTGGGATGTTGTCCATTCATCCATATCGGGGCATGCGTACCACATCTGTAGTCGGTTGGCGGGGGTTGTGTGGGCATTGAAGTACCGGCAGGACTCATGAAGCGGTACCACTCTCCGTTAAAGCCATTGTCACATTTACCTTTATAACCAGGGATGTCGACACTTCTCCACGGCTGATTTAGTACACGGTAGCTGTTGCAAGGATCTGGAGAAACAACAGCGAGTAAATTATGACTACCAGAAAGTGACGGTTAATTTGAAAATACTCTGAAGGGTAACTTCTGCTGAGGTACATGTATATTCCCCTGTCAACATGTCAACAATATGGACGCTACGTAATAGGACAACTTTTAACTGACTGTTACATGAAATGAGTGACATCCGACCCACCGCAAATACGCAACTCTTATACTTGCCACCTGTTTTATTCATGGAGTATACAATACGAGGCCCAGCGACAGATATATACCTGTCATACCTTATTTGCCATCTACGTAACCAAAAACCTAGGAGGGCAGTGTCAAGACTTGCGTCAGCTAGATAGATGTGTCTTGAAAGGACACAGATGAAACTGGTGTATAGTCTGTAACGTTACATAACACTATATGCAATCAACAAGCGTGGAAAATCCGGTTCTTTCTTGCCAGAAAAATTTAAAGCAAGTTGATGCGTGCGTGGATATCAACCATTAGATAAATCAGAACGTAGAGGACTTACCGCTATTTTGACGGCGGCTCTGAAAGGATAGCTCATCAGCACCAGCGCTTCTTCCTCTTTTCTGTATAATATAAAGGACGAGTTCTCTCTCTCTCTTTTTCTTTCTTTTTTCTCTCTCTCATTACTGGTGGACGCAGATGCGGCAACATTTTCAGACTACATACTGTATATCTTTACATACTGTATTGCATTTTCGTAAAATGTAGGGAATACATCAAACATAAGACAGAAGGTAATATGTTAACGATCTGTCAGTAGTGACGAAAAAAGCTAGCCTTGGAAGCATCCTACATGCCCTTGTACGCAGAGTTCCGGACTGAACCAGGATAAAGCAGTGGCCATAAAGTTGGATGGGGAAGATCTGGAAGAGGTATCCAAATTCACTTACCTGGGTAGTACAGCAGACAAAGAGAACAACGTCAGTGTTGAGATTGGAAAAAGGATTTGGTTAGGGGCAGCCGCATTTACGAAACTGAAAAGAATTTGGAAGGACAAACACATAAAGATTGGCACAAAAATACGTATCTACAATGCATGTGTGCTGTCTACAGTCCTGTACGGGTCTGAGACTTGGCAAATGACCTCCAACCAGGAAAAACGGTTGGACGTTGCGGACCAAAGATGGCTTCGGGCCATGTTGAAAGTCAGGTGGCAACAACACACTAGCAATGACGAGATCAGGCGTCGGACAGGTCAGCCTAAGCTCTCTAAGCTAGTACAAAGAGCAAGGCTGAGGTGGCTAAGCCACGTATCTAGAATGTCAAGACAAAGATTGCCAAAAGTGGTGTTAACGTGGTGCCCACAAGGAAAAAGGAAGAGGGGCGGGCAAAGTATGACGTGGAGAAAAACAGTGGAAAGAGACCTTGCAGTGATGGGTTGCGAGTGGGAGGGGCGCAACGAGCCGCGCAAGATAGAGGCAGATGGAGAACAATGATGGCCCGCCTCAGCAGTAGCTGATATGCGGTGGAGCGGTAGGTAGGTAGGTATGTAGAGTTCCGGACAGACTAGATATCTGTAAATACAGCTTGCCTAGACGTAAACACCCATTGACACAAATAGTACAAACCATTTCAATTGAGGTCCTTACGAGGTTTTCGAGGTCCTCAGCATCTTGTCCTCTCTTTTCTGTTGCTCTTGTTGACGACACATCAGCGTCGGTGCCCTCGGCGTCTCCATCAGCGTCTCCGGTGTCTCCATTGGTGCCCTCGGTGTCTCCATCAGCGTCTCCGGTGTCTCCATTGGTGCCCTCGGTGTCTCCATCAGCGTCTCCGGCGTCTCTATCAGCGTCTCCGGCGTCTCCATCAGCGTCTCCGGCGTCTCTATCAGCGTCTCCGGCGTCTCCATCAGCGTCTCCGGCGTCTCCACCAGCGTCTCCATCGGTACCCTCGGCGTCTCCATTAGCGTCTCCGGTGTCTCCATCGGTGCCCCCGGTGTCTCCATCGGTGCCCTCGGCGTCTCCATCAGCGTCTCCGGTGACTGTATCTGTGCCCTCGGCGTCTCCATCAGCGTCTTCAGTGAATCCATCGGTGCCCTCGCTGTCTCCATTTGTGTCCTCGGTGTCTCCATCAGCGTCTCCATCGGTGCCCTCGGTGTCTCCATCGGTGCCCTCGGTGTCTCCATCAGCGTCTTCGGTGACTAAATTGGTGCCTTCGGTGTCTTCCGTCTCTTCATCAGTGTCGTCATCAGGGCCACCGTCATACACATCAGGTTTGCCTCCTTTGGCGTCTCCAATGCCTCCTCCATTGTTTTTGAGCGCCACAGATAAACGATGAAGGATTCGAAGGGCCTCTAGCTCTTTACCGGAGACGGTGTCGCCTGCATGTGTGCAAAAGGGTAGAAAGTTGACTTTAGTATATATTTACCTTCGCCATGAAGGCTTTGTTTTCAGTAGCGTTTGTGTGTGCGCGCGTGTGTGTTTGTATGTATGTATGCGGTTTAGCACGATAACGCAAAAAGCTTTGGATGTTATGACATTTCTGAATCGGTGTCATCCTGTGAAACCTCAATGCACTAAAAGTAGCCTGGTTTTGTAGTAGTTGGTAAATAGACTCTTTCCGCATATTGGGACGACAAGACCGAGACAGCTATCCAACATGAAAAACACAAGTGAGGCTGAGATTCCCCCATTTTCCTGTCAGTTGTTTCCATAAGACAAAATTTGTACTTTTCTGTCATAATCAACGCATAACATGAACTTGCGCGTACTGAGCGTGTAAATAAGTCCATGTAGAATTAGCAACTGCATGCAGCCAAGACATATAGAAGACAATTCTTACCAGTCACTCCAGAAGAGCAAAGACCCAAAAACACCAAGGAGAAGAACGCCAGCAGGTACATGTTCTTCATCTTTGTTCACAGAAGTGCAAAGAACAAGACCAGACCTTAGAGTGTCACCTGAACGAAGTGACAGGTTGGAAGGCAAGTCGGACTAGGGGGCTGTCATTGGTTGGTGACTGGCATTTGACTAACATCCCGGTCAAAGTTACTGATCCGATGTACGAGTACACATACGTGTCTAGAATATCTTGCTTGGGTTAGTGGACAGTTTTAGATGAAGTACATTAAAGTATAGAGAATCTTTAAATTTGGATTTTGGATTTGACCCGTGGCGTAAACAAGAACGCAGCGATAGGGGGTAAGCTCATAGTCAAGTTTCGCAAACTTCGGGAAAACATTAGCAACGGCAATCTGTAATTTACTTCATTACTAAATGGGCCTTCTCTCTGTATGCAAAGAGAGAGGAGGTTTGAAGTATCTGAATTTGTCAAGTTTTCGGCTAAGTTTACTTAAGTAGGAAAGGGTAGAACAATGCCGTATGTCTCACAAAACTGTGCGGTATATCCCGCAGAACTGTATGGTATGCATCACAGAACTGTGCGCTATATCCAGCTGAACTGTACAGCATGTCTCACAAAACTGTGCGGTATATCTCCCAGAAATGTACAGCCTAGCATGTCTCACAAAACTGTACGGTATGCCCGGGCCAGCAGAAATTTGCGGACCTTTCGCAGAAATCGAGTTAATTTCGCAGAACTATCCACATCGCAATACGAAACGCTCCTGCGAAACCTCCTCTGCGGAAGAAACCATAGCCCCTGATCATAATCTCCAAGCAGATTCGGTTGGGCAAGGGGACTTTATGTTGGCCGCCGGTATCCACTGGCCGGCCGTACCCTAGCCTAACAGGTCGTCCGGTGTTCGGAAGCAGTCTAACCAGATTTAGGCCACACCTATCTTCCTCGCCGACCATGTACAGCAGCCCAGAATGCTTGCCAACCTACTTCCAATCATCTGACTCCTAGCCGAAGACTGCCGACCCCCTTCGAACCATTTTCCAACCCTATCCGGAATGATCCAACCCTATCCCCTCACGAAACGACTTGAGAGAAAGTTGGACGGCACATGCACAAAATTGTTGCGGGCTGCTCTCAACATCTCCTGGAAAGAGCATCCCAAAAAGGAAATGCTCTATGGAAACCTCCCCCCCCCATATCTCAAGTCATCCGTGAGAGGAGGCTCCGTTTTGCTGGGAATTCATGGAGGAACAAGGAAGAGATCGTTAGTGATGTGCTTCCTGGGCACCCAAACATTGGCATGCCAGTGTAGGCAGACCTTGCACAACATACATACAACAACTGTGTGAGGATGCGGGCTGCAGACCAGAAGACCTGCCCAGGGCCATGAAGGATAGGGAGGGCTGGCGGAAAAGAGTCACGAGCATCCATGAAACTCGCACGACCAGATGATGATGATCCGGAATGAAAATTTGCAGAATCGGGGGACCATTACTTGAAGCACAAATATGCCAAGCAATGAAAGCTGGACTTAAAAGTTTAAGGTTTAAGGCCAGCCCCTGTCACACATTCACGAATTTGGCCTCCCGAACTCGTTAACGCTAGCCGAACGCCCGCCGGTCGAATGTTTCATAATCTTTCTCGTAAACTGGCCACGCTCGAATTTCGATGTGTAAATGCAATCGGTAAAATGAGCACCATTAAATTTCGTTGTAAACGTCCCATCGGAAAGAGCAAAGAAAATTATGTAGTATGTACTAGCCTCTTTCAAAACCCCGTTTATTCTAATGAATGCGGCTCTATCAATAGATCATTTTGTCTATCCCCGATTAAATTGAGGCCACAAAACTTGTATTTTTACCAATCTTCCGACAAAAGAATTTCTAAGTTGGTGGCATCCTGTCATAAACTACTGTACTGACGGCCCAACACGGATCACACCCTCACATATACATGTAGTCAGTAAGTTTTTAAACACAGCCTGTCCGTTGTCCTTTGCATACTCAGGAATTAAAAAAAGCAAGTTCCAACTTTCTTCCAGCCGACCAGAAGAACACCGCACGTAAGAACGCTTTGTCCAGTATGTGCCGCCAGGAAGTGGTAAGTTATATGTACGTTCATTTCCAATAATAAAAAAAACTGCAATCGTACGCATGATGTGATGATGGTTGCCGAAATAAAGAAACTAAATGGAGTAAACGTAAATACGTCTACGATGCTGTAATCATAACATGCTTAAAAAACAAAAGCAGGAGCATTTATTATGAAAGCAACAAAACAAAAAACCTGGCGTGTGAAACCTCAATGCACTAAAAGTAGCCTGGTTTTGTAGTAGTTGGTAAATAGACTCTTTACGCATATTGGGAAGACAAGACCGAGACAGCTATCCAACATGTAAAACACAAGTGAGGCTGAGATTCCCCCATTTTCCTGTACCTTGTTTCCATAAGACAATCTGAACAAAATTTGTACTTTTCTGTCATAACCAACGCATAACATGAACTTGCGCCCACTGAGCGTGTAGATAAGTCCATATAGAATTAGCAACTGCATGCAGCCAAGAAATATTGAAGACAATTCTTACCAGTCACTCCAGAAGAGCAAAGACCCAAAAACACCAAGGAGAAGAACGCCAGCAGGTACATTTTCTTCATCTTTGTTCACAGAAGTGCGAAGAACAAGACCAGACCTTAGAGTGTCACCTGAACGAAGTGACAGGTTGGAAGGCAAGTCGGACTAGGGGGCTGTCATTGGTTGGTGACTGGTATTTGACTAACATCCCGGTCAAAGTTACTGATCCGATGTACGAGTACACATACGTGTCTAGAATATCTTGCTTGGGTTAGTGGACAGTTTTAGATGAAGTACTAGTACATCAAGGTATAGAGAATCTTTCTACTGGGTTCTCGATTTGACTCGTGGCGTAAACAAGCGATAGGGCAACGATAGGGCGTAAGCCCAAGATTCACAAACTTGAGGAAAGGATGAGCAACAGTAATGTGTAATTTATTTCATTACCAAGTAGACCTCTCTGTATGCAAAGGGCCGGGAGGTTTAAAATTCTCGTGTGTTTTACACATTTAGCCCCGCCGTGTCTCCTTAACCTATCTAGACTGAGCTTTTTTGGGATCTTTGGGACTGGGGACTGGGGGGGGGGGTTACTCGAGAACGGTACTAGTGTATCGTATGGCCACCAAATTTTCAGAGGATGCATTACTAGTAATAATTAATCATAACAACAATTTTGATATCATTATGACGTAATATGACGTCATTATGACGTCTTTATGTGATTTATTGCCTAATACCATAATGCCTAAAAACTTAATGGTATACAACACAAGTTTACCATCAAGTGATTATGATAGAATATTGAGGTCCGCCATCTTGGATGTTGACCAACGACGTCATCAAACTAGCACAAGTTATGCATAATTATTGACGAAAATTACATGAAATTATATAAGATGCTATTAATATTAGAAAGCATGTGTAAATCATCATAAAAGCCTGAAAAGGTCATTTTTTAAACCAAGATTACGTATTTTTGCAAACCCGTTGCCATGGCAACACGAAAACTTATTAATTCATCTCACTGCTATGAAATTGAACAATATGCTAGGAAAAGTCACCAAGTTTGGTGGCCCTGGGTCAAGTGCAGGCACTTTTAGCCACCCCCGTCTAGAGAGGGTTAGTCTAACCCGGCCCGCCCAAGTTTACTTTTAGCTGATACTCTGGGTCTGGAGCTATCAATGCTTCTCTCTGTATGTACGCAAGTGAAGCAATATGTTGACAATTCGTATGTGCTTCACATTGTTAGTCCCGCTAAAACAAACAGAACAGATGTCACTGTGGATTAAGTGCTTAGGGAGTAGCTCCTCGCGTTTTATCTTGGATCAAACCTGTCTTTTGTTCTCGTTGTTTTTCGCTGAAATACAGGATGTCTGGTCTGTGAAGGTATGTACTCGTACGTGAGAACCATACGAAGGAAAGTACGTAAGGAAACAGCTTGGAGGTTATGGGCTGAGGCCGGGTGCTACACCCGACTGGCTTTGGCATGAACAAAATATCAGCAGATAGACCTTCTCTCTGTATGTACGCAGATGGAGCAATATGTTGAAAATTTGTTGATCCAGAGCAACTAATCAAAGTGTTAAATTCAACGGCGTTGAATTTAACACTTTGATTAGTTGCTCTGGATCTTGAGCTATCATGAGCAATTTTTTTCAAATTCACGGGTCAGGTTTGATTACTAGTAAATGGTAAAAAACTTATATCACTCCCTCAGAGTCCCACTCTCCAATGTTAAATAGTTTGGCGCCTCTCGATTAGACCGAGTTCATCTGTATTTATCATCACAAGATAGAACAGATATAACTGTAGACTTAAATGAAGCTAGTTTTAGGTGCTTCTTCTTTTCCTAGACGATCGTTTTAAACAATCTCTAAATAAGAAGCCAAACTTGCGTGCTGAGCTTTGCTTTTCTCTTTATTCTAACACTGTTTGGCGTTTCATTAATTCCTGACTCGGTCGTGTTCATCCTCATCCACAAAAGAACAGATGTCACTGTGGATTAAGTGCTTAGGGAGTAGCTCCTCGCGTTTTATCTTAGGTTCACCTTCCGTCAATTACTAGACGGTCCTTTTTGTGCATCACCTGTTGTGACAATAATCTCCAGATAAGAAGCAAATCTTTTAGGTTTAAAGGTTTTGTTCTTCTGTGCATTGTAATGTTCGGCGTTTATCTATTCGGTCATGCTCATCCTTACAACAAAAGAGCAGACACCACTATGGATCAAGTGCTTAAGAAGAGGCTTATAAGGCTTTTACGTTTCGTGGATCGTATTTTAGCTGAAGTACAGAATGTCCACTCTATGAAGATATGTACCTGTAGGTGAGGATCATACATGCCACTGAGCGAAAAATGACACATGTCAGTGTAGACAGAGGTGAATCTTGGTTTAGGTGCGTCTTCGGTCCGTCTTGTGTATCACCTTTTGTGGCAATTATCTCTAGATAAGAAACCAAACTTGCGTAGTCAAAGGTTTTTCTTCTCTTTATTTCAATATTGTTTAGCGTTTCGCGATTCGGTCATGGTCCATGTTCATTCTCACAACAAAAGAGCAGATATCACTATAGCTTAGGTGCTTAAAAGGAAGCTTATAAGGCTTTTCACGTTTCGTGGACCGAATCAGTTTGTTATTTTAGCTGAAGTACAGAATGTCCACTCTATTATATGAAGGTATGTACGTGTACGTGAGGACCATACATGCCACTGAGCGAAAAATAACCCATGTCAGTGTAGACAGAGGTGAATCTTGTTTTAGGTGCGTCTTCGGTCCTTTTTGTGCATCACCTTTTGTGGCAATTATATCTCTAGAGAAGAAACCAAACTTGCGTAGTCAAAGGTTTTTCTTCTCTTTATTTTAATATTGTTTGGCGTTTCGCGATTCGGTCATGGTCCATGTCCATTCTCACAACAAAAGAGCAGGCGTCACTATAGCTTAGGTGCTTAAAAGGAAGCTTATAAGGCTTTTCACGTTTCGTGGACCGAATAAGTCTGTTGTTTTAGCTGAAGTACAGAATGTCCACTCTATTATATGAAGGTATGTACCCATACGTGAGGCTCATACATGCCACTGAGCGAAAAATGTCCATGTCAGTGTAGACAGAGGTGAATCTTGTTTTAGGTGCGTCTTCGGTCCTTTTTGTGCTTCACCTGTTGAATCAGTTATCTCGAGATAAGAAGCCAAACTTGCGTAGTCAAAGGTTTTTCTTCATTTTAATATTGTTTAGTGTTTCGCGATTCGGTCATGTTCATCTTCACAACAAAAGAGCAGACGTCACCATGGATTAAGTGCTTAAAAAGAAGAAGCTTATAAGGCTTTACTTGTTTCGTGGACCGAATCAGTTTGTTATTTTAGCTGAAGTACAGAATGTCCGCTATATGAAGGTATATACGCGTACGTGAGGACCACACATGCCAGTGAGCGAAAAATAACCCATGTCAGTGTAGACAGAGGTGAATCTTGTTTTAGGTGCGTCTTCGGTCCTTTTTGAGCATTACCTGTTGAATCAGTTATCTCGAGATAAGAAGCCAAACTTGCGTAGTCAAAGGTTTTTCTTCATTTTAATATTGTTTAGTGTTTCGCGATTCGGTCATGTTCATCCTCACAACAAAAGAGCAGACGTCACCACGGACTAAGTGCTTAAAAAGAAGCTTACAAGGCTTTACTTGTTTCGTGGACCGAATCAGTTTGTTATTTTAGCTGAAGTACAGAATGTCCGCTATATGAAAGTATGTACGTGCCAGTGAGCAAAAAAAAAAAAAAAAAAAA